ACCACGCCTTTTATGCACTTTCAAAGAAGTTCACAGCTGCAATTAGGTAGCTAAGTACGTCAAGCGTTTTAATATTGCATCGCCCAAATCAATGTCTTTTTGCACTAAGCGCAGAATTTGAAGTGAAGCCTGACGAAATTGAATATAATCGGCTCGAAAACATGAAGTGACGTCGACACGAAGCGAGCGCTGCATTAAGGCCACGTCTGTTACTCCACTACTGGCACCATACAGAAGACATCTTAAGCATTCAGCTTGACTACTGGGAGGTTGACTACCAAGTAACATTGAAAATAAATTGTGGTTTCAGAGTTTTAAAAAGTTATTTTTTACAGAAGTCACTAAGAAAACCCTTCACATAATATTAATTTAATAGTCAAAAACCAGATTAAAACAGAAAAAAAGGGAATTAAAACGTATGTGGGAAGTAAAACTTTCAGTGCCTTTAATGAAGTGTAAGATAGTGTTTATAACTTTCGATTTTGATTTGCCTTCCTACGGTCCCTAAATAAAATAAAACGACAGACTTAACAATAGGACTTATCAAATCGATATCTGTAACGAAATTAAATTGTCTAGACTCTAGCTAGAGGCATTGGACTGAAAAAGCTTTGGTAATGGAATTGTAGGATAAATATAATGACTATTGAATTGGTTATCGACATAATATGGTACTTAAACAAAAAGATATAGCCATTTATATCGGTCTGGTTCGAACTTTAATGCAGCCTTCTAACTACGAAATAATTTCTTATTATTTAAACACACTTTGTTGCAGTAGGTATCTCAACGAAATCTCTCTCTTCGATTGCTGCAATGTTAAATTAACTACTAACTTTCAGGCGGAGATAGTTTACAAAAGAGAAACAAATAATTATTTATTTTATTTCTCAAAGCCATCTAAATCAGCAGCAATTCAATCTCAGAATCACAACAGTACCTATTTTACAATGCATTTTAAATTAGTTGTTAAATTCATCCCTGAACTTTGCAATGCATTTTGATTTGGAATATTAAATTCACCCCTGAGCTGAAAAATCTGCATACTGTTCATAACATAACTGAATTCCTCGTTCCACATACACTATGCAGTTATGCTTAATTAGATCAGTCCCGTTGACCTCGTTCAGTCGGCCAGGCAACCAGGTTGCGTAGTTTTCCCCAATCTCTGAATATTGATCAAGCAATGTGTGTATTTAATTATGCAATTCGTATTAACACGTATGGACTTGGCTATGAATGCCGATTATGCAGACTGGATATCTGCAACTATCACATTAAATTTTGATTGAAATCTTTTTCACATTACCGTCTCGACGCAATGAAATAAGGAAATCTAAGGTAGAGCACAGTAGAGATGGCATGAATTGTACTTCATTTAGGCATTTACTTACAATAATAATATAATAGTAATGATAACAGGTAAAAATTCTCGAATACTTAGTATTAAATTAAAAATGAAAGTTTAAGCTGGGTAAGTCTGAGCTTTTAAAAACTTCAAGTTTTAAAAACGTTTAATGTACCTACTCGTAAGCCTACCTAGGTAGCCCCTGGATTATTACTGCTATTACTCACTTCCTGACTTTATGATTGGTACCCTACGCTTAAATATTCGTCAACGTTTCAACGCCGTCAACCAAGTAAATCTTTCAAAATCTAAGCAAGCTGAAACACCCTCAGCACCTGAATATTACATAAGCTCATAATATTGCTCAGCGAATAAGAGAATAACTGAGCTCGTAAAGAAAATAAAACGGAAAGTTTTTACAGCAAAAATGTTTGTGTCACTTTTGCAAATACGCTGTGTATTTTCAAGAATAGGGCGGAAGCGGCGCCGATGCCTGCCTACCTAATATTTGAGATTTATTTTACGACGCACTCGTAAATCTAAATGGCAGAAATCTTCGTGTTGAAGGGAAAGTGTTCTCGTCTAAAGTAACTTGTAAAACTGANGAAAAAGTACTGTTTTTGCGCCAAACGGCGTAAACGCTCTTAAGTACTTAAATACAATTCGGCAGAATTACTCTCTCTAATTACTTACTTCATTTATTTTATGTAAATGATTATACCTTACTACACTTTTTCCTTGATTAAACATATCAACTGCACAGATAGGAGGAGTTTTTAGGTAGGTGAAGCTACTTACTATTATTAGGTGTTGAAACGGACTACTGTTTTCCATGGTAACTTTTTTTTGTTATTTATTGCATCTCAAACTTAATTTCTATAACTTTGCTTTAAGTGGGAATCGAACCCAACACTCTTCGCTTACCGGGCGACTGTTCCGTGTTCCATGGTTTTCCATTTCTTAAGTTAAGTAGGTACCCCGTACTTTGTGTTGTGTTTCTCTAAGCTATTTATATTATACTAGCTTTCCGACCGCGGCTTCGCCCGCGTGGAATTTTGTCTGTCACAGAAAAACTTTATCGCGCGCGTCCCTGTTTCAAAAACCGGGATAAAAACTATCCTATGTTCTTTCCCGGGACTCAAACTATCTCTATGCCAAATTTCATCAAAATCGGTTGCGAGGTTTAAGCGGGAAAGCGTAACAGACAGACAGACAGACAGACAGACAGACAGACAGACAGACAGAGTTACTTTCGCATTTATAATATTAGTTGGGATAGTTGGGATTAATCGTATCTGCCTAAGTATATTAAGAACACTCATTATGTAAGTAAATGATGATGCGTTTCCTTTTTGTAAATTTAATCCAAATATAATTATTGGTTCAGGCATATTACCTATAATAAGTATCTACATTACCTACTTAGGTAATTGCTTGTTTTATTTTAGGATTCCAATTAATTATACGGTAGAAAGTTTACGGCAATATTGACCTGGTATGAAAAGTTTTTAATGAAGCTAACGCTCAAAGGATCAAAAGCTTTGATCGTAGTTGTGCTTGTCGTGTCGCTGAACTTCTGCCGCCATTCGCAAATCAATCGCCTCCTGGGGTTTAATTTAATACTGTCTATAAATTAGCTAATTATTGCTTTGTTCGCTACGGATCAAACATATTATACCCATACCCACATAGTAAAAGGTAACTTCGTGACCGCTAGAAGTTATTGGCGTTTTATTAAAGATGGATGATTCTGAAGTAGGTACCTACTTAGGTTCCTATTTCTACCTAGATAGTTAAGAGTTCCAACGGAAGTCGTTCTTCATTTATTGATGATGCATACTAATGTATTAAGTATGTCCCTGAAAGCTTAAAATGCACTATTTCTGATCTACCTATTAAAGCAAATAAAGTAGGTTTAGAATCTGTTTTAGTTTTATCCTAATAAATTTACTAAAGCGATCGAGCTAAATGTATGGTTGCCATTTGCAAATGGAAATGTAGGTGTACAATAAATTAACCATGTAAGTAGGCATAAGTATCAAAGGTTCGGATCAGATTACAAAAAAAAAAGAAATATGTACTTACAATTAAATAAAATAGTATAGTTTAATTAATTATTAAAGTAGGTATATTTTTAAACATAGTTTAAATACTTATTAGCGCATGTTTAAAAAACATAGCCAAGCAGTAGGTGTACAATTCCTCACCATCAAGATAAGTACCTACATTAATATTTATTGCTGCATGAAATGCTACATAACATCTACTACGAAAATGAAGATCATGACCATGAGAAGAAGGTAATTATCTCGTATCATAAACTGATTGGCCATAAAGTGTGACCATTATGATCTATTGATTTTAATTGTATAGCCTGACCAGGAACATAAAAACCCTGGCATAGAGGCGCGTCAATTGCATTTGATAGTGCAACACTGAGTACAGTCGTACCTGTGTTAAATTAATAGGCTAACTTTATGTATCAGGATTCAGGATTACGGGCTAATTTGATATTTTCATAAATTAACGAAAATATATTATTATAGGTAACCTGGTTTAAATAAATTAAATGTAACCATCAATCGAGTTAGTAGGATTTATTTTATTATTCATCAATAATCAAATTCAGAACTTGAATATTCAGCTGCAATGTCTGCTCATGAACGGCGAACGCTTCAAACTCGGTACTTCTTTCCCAATTCCATAAAATTCAACACTTAGAAAGTGACAAAAAACTTTAAAATAGGTAGTTAAAACAAACCACAGCTAATTTTCATAGTGGACTCTTAGATTAATAAAACCAGTGGACTGTACTATACGATAAACATGTTAGTCAATTTGACAACCTTTGTCGGAAACATTATTCAATGAAAATATTGTCCGAACCCTTAGTATTTCTCTTCGACAAATACTTTAACACTTTGTGAACCACTTTTCTTTCACGACTATAAAAAGATTTTAGCAATTTCGTCATAAGTCCTAAGACACCCCCTGGTACCCCTCAGGTTTTTGGGGTTACCTACCGATTTGAAGATTGAAAGACAATCGCACCCCCCCGTATCATGACATACACCGCAGATTTGCCATGCAGATGCGCCAGTGAGTACTAATCTGCGCGACTTGTGTCACCCCCTGATGCTTGGCACCCGGGGCGGACCGCCCCCACCGCCCCCCCCCCTTACGCCGCTACTGTGTCAAATTCCTCACCATCAAGATAAGTACCTACATTAATAATTTATTGCTGCATGAAATGCTACATAAAATCTAAGTACGAAAATGAAGATCATGACCATGAGAAGAAGGTCATAACATAAACTGAATGGCCATAAAGTGTGACCATTATGATCTATTGATTTTTATTGTAAGATGATTGCATGTATAGATGACCCACGCTGAACTGTCCCACCAAACTCAATGACAGGGGGGCGCTACCATCGTTCAACTATATGGTTTCCAACATGGCAAAAATCTGAACCAGCGATCCGGTATTGACAGTGGCGCCCCGCTGTCAATGTCATCGACAGGACAGTCATTTTGGAACTATAGAATTATAATCAATGCTTTAGTCAGTCAAATTAATGACAAGCAGTGATAAGTTAGAAAAAACAAGCAAGATTTTTTTTCACTTTTCATAGGCTGTATATCTATTGACTTTTGCCAACCTGATCAAAATTTAGGAAAACAATAACAATGCGTTTTGACAGTTCGCAGCTGTGTATCGTTGGATTGTTTTCTGTTGTGGAACTTTATGCCGTATTTGTGTATTTATTACTTTACTGTGCTTAAAAAGTAAAGAAAAAGCTATAATTTTTAATAGGTTTCCGTTTTCCTTCAATAATCCACATTTTTTCAACATGATCAAGGTAAAATGACGTCCATGGATAATGCCGTATTAGCATGGATGAGATGATTGTGTACAGATTTCGACATAAAAATGTATTGTAGACTTGAGAATATATCGATTCATTACATGTAAACACGTATTTATAAGATTTTCCATAATTTACTGAGCTGGTTAACCTGTTGACATTTTCCAATATGGCCTACTCACTCCAACCCTGGCTTATGTATAACTTGAACAAGCAGAAAATAGCAATTTAGATAAAGTGTATAGTCAAAGCTACTTCAATAATTAATTTGTATCTCATTACATAACCTATAGTTGTTATGCCATAGAGTGTTACATTACACTTATCTTTTTTATTTACAGATTTCTTCATTTTGTAAAGTGGTAATCACTTAACAAAACGGTAAGTATCTAGTCACAACAACAATATTTCTGAAGCCTGTTTAGTAATATTATTTTCTCAATTCAGAAATTTGTTTACAGGAGAATGGATCCGTCGATTGACAATGATTGGCTTGGTATCAAGAATGACCCCCTCGAAGAAACTCAGTGTGTTGGTAATGTGGCAAGAAGCTGGCAGTGGCGGGAGCATGGCATTAATCCCCCACACAGCCAGCCCAACAAAACAGTACTCGAAAACATTGCTGAAGACATCTTAGTTCGGAAACAACTTAAAATTCGAGTAAGAGATTCATTAAACTTTTTATTTTTTTTGTATTTAGTTATGTTATTTTTCAATAAATTAACACATTTTTAATTTAATTTTGTGTGTTTCAGTGTTGTGATTTGCCAGGTTATCCAAGATCAACATTTTTGATGGTTTTTAGTCCTGATGGGTAAGTTTTAGTATTTTAACATAGAATATATAGTTGCAGCTAAACTACCTATCATCTGCTTGAATTAAATTGTGATAATACACAAGTGAGTTAATTCATAAATAAAATTTTAGGACTAAAGTGGCATCAACTCATGGTAATCACAATGTGTATGTATCAGAGCTAGCTAGTGGCAAGCACGTCAGAATACTGAAGGGACACCCCCGAACACCGTGGTGTATTGCATTCCATCCATCGCACCCACAATTGATTGGATCTGGCTGCCTCGGAGGTCAAGTGAGGGTGTGGGACATCTCCAGAGTGAGTTTTGATTTACTTTAAAGTTTTAAATACAAAAAAGGTCTAAAAATTATTTATCTGTGCAACAGTTTTACCTTTACATTGTAGTCACTATCTGTGTAGGTATGCTATGTAAGGTGGCTTTGTGTGTGTATGATGTGTATTAAAAAAACATAGTTGTTTTTTTAAACTGCTTGGAAAACTATTGTTGACACTCAATCACATCCCTCTATTAAAACTGAACCTTATTTGTATAGAAATCAATAATCACAAGATGAATCTGAATTCTTTAAATATAAAACAAATAATCTAAATAAGATTGCACTTTGTGCCAATCCTATTTCTCCAATGGCAGCAGGACTATTGGTTACGTTGAATTATGAAATTCTTTCAGTGATTGAAAATTATGTAATCTAGTAATGGCATATTAGGCTATTTTATGGAAACATTTATCAGCTATTTATTTATAAGCTATATCTGGGATGTGTATGGACTATTTAAAAGGGGCCTACATGTTATTAATTTGAACTACACAGGGTGGCAGTGAAGTTTGGAATGTGCGGAATGAGACTGTGATAGCATCAATAGCTTTTCATCCTAGAGAACAGCTATTGGTGATAGCAACATACAATGAACTTTATTTCTGGGACTGGAGCCGACCTAAACCATTCACCAAAGTTTCGACTAATAATGTCAATGAAAAAGTTAGGTATGTGAAATGGATGCTTTTATTAAAATCATTTACATATTATTTATTTTTAAGGATGCTAAAATGTTACTGTTGATTTACTTCCAGATATGTAGCATTTGATGCACTCGGCTACAAATTAATAACAGGTATATCGCTATGGTCCAACCCTAGTGGGGGAGCGCCAACGGTACTGCAATCAAATGGGACTTGGACTGATACGACGTCGCCTAACAATGCTAACAACTCTCGCAGAGATGACTTTGATGAAGCTCCTGGGAGTAGCAGGTCTCAAGAAAGCTCGGGATCAGCACAAGATATGATTGTTAATTCATACCAAAACTTAGTACAAAGATATGATAGTTTGGTAAGGAATTACCAAAGACTATTCATGGTGAGGCATCGACTCACCAACACACCACCTCCACCAAATATGGTATGTATTTGTTTGATATCTACGATAAATACTAGTTTAAAGAAGAATTCATTAATTTATGGTACCCTTACCTTATCATTACAGATTGATCGAGGTACTGATCCTATGGAAACTGATGCATCACCAAGTACATCAGGCTGGTCACGGTCGACCCGACCGTCAACATCTGCAGAGCGATCTGACAACGGTAAGATAATAATATATTGTTTATTGTATTTGAGATACTTTAAAAAATATTTCTACAATGTCATCTTATTGCTTTAGCTAATCCAACTCCCGGACCTTCACGTCGGCAAGATGGCGGCGATAGTGGTGATGGAGAAGGGAGTAGCAGTCGTTTATTAAATCTAGATGTATTGACTTTCGACAGTAATCCCACCAGGTATAATACTATTAAGGATATTGATGAACAAACATTTTATCATTGATGAACAAAATACTTATCCACGTTTTTTCGTTTTTAGGAATGAAGACAGTACTCCAGAAAATTCCACATTTGGATCAAGAGCCTCGCTTTTTCAGCGCTTGAATGAATCGGGTCGTTCTTTTAGGACAGTTGATCAGAATGAACGTATAACTAGACTTTTACCTAACCCATTTTCATCTACTCTAGGTAGATCACAAACAAGCAGAACAACGACGACTGATAATCCTAGTGATTCCAATGCAAATACACCTACTACGTCCAGGACTAGTATTTTTACATCTTCAAGGCGTCCAGAGCTTCTGCGTCGGCGGCGTAATTCCTCGCCTTCGCAACACAGCCCTCATTCAAATATAAATAATGATGCATCCCCCTCTAATAACGATTCTCCGTCTATTTCAACGCCACGTCCATCAACTTCTCAATCTAGCATTCCTGAAAGCATGCCATCTACATCTCGAGGGTCGGCCCGGCCAACAATGACGAATTCCTCTACTCAAATGAGTCCCTCCCCTGTTGATGCTCAGACTATAAATGAGAGCCTCGACTTGATACGGGACATATTGAGAGACTCCGGTACACGATTATTAAATCTAATCACGAACATGTCCTTATCGACCCTGGCTAGCGTGGAACGTAATATGCCTCGCCGTACCGGCTCGCGTGCCTACTCTGATGAAGGTGACAGCACCCGGTCTACTCCTAGGGTAGGGATGCGACCGGCACGCTTGCGACTTTTGAATTCAAGCATGCCTCGAGATATTTTTTCGTCCAGTTCAGATTCCGATAGTGATCAATCTCTTGAAGTGAGTATTTTTAGGACTCGAAATTCATCGTTTCGTGAAGATGAATCACGAGAAAACGAAGATCAATCGAACAGCCCATCTGATTCGCCTGATTTGCGTCTAAGTCCGACCGACCGTATGGTGATCGAGTTGACCGCTGATCTACAAGCCGACGAACTAACTCGTGGTGGTGCTTATACTATGGCAATGGCAAGTGGTAGATTCCGCGTTCGGTCAAATAGTGATGACGACGAGGACGATCCACAGCCATCGACCAGTGGAACTACTGAGGAGAGAAACGAAGCGTCCACAAGTTCCCGTACTCAAAATAACTCTACCAATAGCACTCAAAATAACTCTACCAATAGCACTCAAAATAACTCTACCAATAGTACTCAAAATAACAATAATTCAGAAAGACCTTCTACAAGTCGTGACACTTTTTGGGTTAGAGGTGGTCAGCTCACGCTCCCTCCGCATGAAGCATATCGCAAAGTAAGGATCGGGGTTAATGCTTTGCAGAAACATACTTTACAGCTCACGAATATGTGGTTACGGGGAACTCGCGTAACTATGAGAGAGCTAAGAAACATGTGGGAAAATTTGCGTCGGCGGGTTTTGATGCTTCATAGAGAGACTGGCAGGAATGATATACCCAGTTATTATACCAGATCTTTGTTAGAGCGTTGTATGATGTTGACTGAAATGGCTGAGAATGTGTCTCGCACGACAAGGTCGCCTCGTGCTCCTCAAAGAAGTGAAGGAAGTGAAAATCCCGAGGGAAGTCGTACTGCACCTGCGAGCGATGATACTGGCGTTTCTAGTTCTCCAGTGAGGGACTCCAATCCGCCAACTCCGTATAGCATTGGCTCAAGACAGCCTCCAGGAAGGTCCCCGTTATCCCGTTCGCCTGGTGGCCATATTTCACCTTCTATGAGAAGAAGATTACGAACCGGCTATAGGTGGCGACCCGAAGACGAAATAAGACGACGTTATAGGAATCTAACTACAAATCGCGGAACTCCACGATATTCTAACAGGGCGCGTCGTGATTTTGCGCGTGCGTTAGAAATAAGCGCTACTCGACACGTCATTCGCGTGAGAGCTATGCAAGTACTATCAGTGATGTTTAACATGATGATGATGTGTTTAGAAGAGCGAGGTCTCAGCCAAGTCATCATAAACATGTTAAGGTCACTGAAAAAGGCATTAGCTCTGACGTGTTTAATGTTAATGACGAACAGAAACGTAAGATCTAACAATAATCCGGCAAATCCTAATCAACGAGTTGAATCTCTAAATGTTGTTCGTATTGAAAATGTTGAACATCCTGGCCCCGTCAATGTAGACGGACCCGATGATCCTTCTTCCCCACGAGTGCCAAATGATACTGAAGAAGATCGTACGCAAAAAGTTGATAAAAGTACTGAGCACAAACCAGAGGAAAATAGCCCTCAACCTTCAACTTCATATGAAAATAGAATGCAAGACGATACTGAAACGTCGCAGTCCGCTGCCCAGCATTGGAGCAATCGTCTTGCTGTTCAAATCGCCGCTGCCAATAGAAATAATTCTGCAACAGCTAGAAGCAGACGTGAATTATATTTAGAAAGTAGAAGATTGAAGGCCTTGCACAGGACTAATCCTACAGCGCATCCAATGATTAAAAAAAGAGCTTTGCCGCCCTCTTCAACTTACAGAATACCTGCATTACGTCACGTACCCACTAAAATTAAATCAAAAAAGGTGACATCAAGAAATGAACCTGCTAACGAACCAGTTGCAGGCCCTTCTAATGCGTCTCCCCCAGCTGAAAATCCGAACGAGGATGCTCCTAGATCAGAAGTTTTGAATGAGTTTGAACACAGAGTAAACCTTATCAGAATTGCTCATTTACAAGCTATCAGACTGAGAAATGCTGCTAGAAATAGGTTCCGACGACTACAGACTATTCGATTGTACACTCCTTCGTCTGTGAGAGACATGTTCGCTTTGCAGCCAAATAATTCTGATAATCCGCCAGAAAATAGGTCTCCGCAAAATGGGTCTGAATTTAGCCGGCGGCCTTTCGCTGCGTATCGGCCTCACATATTGACGCCTCGCAGCGGCGAGTCAACCAGCCGGGGCCCAGAGGAGCCGCCGGGTCAGTTCCACACGGTGCTGAACAACGTCGCCATGCCCTTGATGCAGGTCAACGACCTGCCGGCGAACCCTGAAGCCCCAAGCGGCCAGCAACAGAGGCTACCGCGTATTCACGAATACTTGCAACCCATCATTCTGGCTCAGGTAATTCCATTTTATTAATTTTTACTGCCAAATTCATTAAAATAAAAAATAACTGCATACATAGGTACCTGAAAACTGCTTTAAATGCTTTGTATGTTATGGTTGTATCCCTGTTTTGTGCACCTAATAAAATAAAAAACATCAATTGGTTTTAATTTAGCAATAAAAAAAGAATTAAGTAGCTTTGAAATCAACAAAATAGTCAATTGAGCTGTCTAAGCGAGGCGTCATTCCAATAGCAGTCCAAACTCTATGATGGAGTCGCGTCTTAAACAAAAGCATATCAATTCATTGTCATCACATAACCTCAATTACCTTTTATTTTAGAACGCGATGCTAGTCGACGACGACGCCGGCGGTCCTGAGGGAGGCGGCGGGCCGGGTGGGCCTGGCGGCGGGCCGGGCGGGCCTGGCGGGCCAGGGGGCATCGGGCTGGGGGGTGCGCGGCGGCTGGGCGGCATGGCGGGTCTGCTGGACGCCGGCATCATATCCGAGGCGCTGCCGGCCCCGTCCCACCGCGTGCAGGCCTGGGACTTCACTATGGGCCGCCCTCCCCACATTGCTGACAGTAAGATCCTAGTTATAAAGATCCTAGTAAAGGTATGTAATAATACATTTTTATGTGCAACAAAAGTTAAAAAAAAGATTTTCCAATTTGATTGTACCAGAATAGGCTAGATGACAAAATTTCAATTATTTGTCCGTCAGACAGATAATTAGAAAATATTAGACTCATATTTTTTATTTTCTTTCATAATTAAATAATAACAGTGCTACATTTCAACTCAATATAATACTGTAGCTAATTATTCGATTATGGAAAAAAATAAAAAATATGAGTCTAATATTTTCTAATTATCTGTCTGACGGACTAAATAGAATTTTAATTTCATTACCCAGTCATCATCCCTATTAATGTTAGGGGGCGTCAAATGCATTCAATGTTGACTGCGTATGCGATGTGACATTAATGTATAACGGATTGTACAGCGCCCCTAGCGGAAACTTTCAAGAACTAAAATCTTCATATTTTTTTAACGCGCTCGCTATTGACGACCTTTGATGTAAACTCACACTAAGCCCTCAGTACAATATACTCGATCACCCACCACAGCCAATCATCGTGTTATCCTTCTCGGTATGTCACGCAAAACCAGATTAAAAATTAAAATTAAATGTCTCCAGGTACCAAGAACGTGGTGGTTCAGAAGTGCAGGATCCACAATGATGCCAGCATTGATATCTCCAAAGATGGCAGGCTGCTAGTGGCGCTTCTCCCTGTGCCGCGCCTGAGGCATACGAATCATTGGCTCGGTGAGTGTTCTATTAATATCTAAATAGACGAAGCTCAGAATAAAATATCACGTGCGATTGCGGTCGAATACCTGCCTTGATATGCATAAAAAACGCGTGTTGAATACTGGTTTAAAATGAATGTAATTTGCTATTTCAATCAAAATACAATATGAGACGACAGGCTATTGCGACGGGGCTAATGTCTCACCAAAAAATGTTTTTGGTCGCATTTCCAACTGGTGTCACCGAATAGGAAGGAAAGTCAAATGGAGGGATTACATGTAAGGGCTCCTGCACACGACGCCGCCACCGCGCCGACGCCGCGCCGTCGCCGCGCCGGTGGCGTCGTGTGCAGGAGCGCTAAGTGGTGTAATATTAAAAAAATGTGGTTCGAGCAACTATGCCAAACGATTAGGGCTGATTTTTCATCGTCAGATATCTTTTTACTGAAGAATAACCTTGTCATTTTGACATATTTCTCATACTAAAACTGTCAATGTGCCAAACTTATTCTTCAGTTAAAAATTAACCGACGATTGAAAAATCAGCTCACTAAGGGCTTCACAAGGGTTCTGTTGTGTTTTTACAAAGTGTTGGATTTATCTCCGCAGGCGTATACTCGCTAGAGTGGTCTCGGCTGGGACAGTGCCTGCACACGGCGGTGTTGGAACAGAGCGCGGTATCAGTGGCTCTGTCGCCCACCGCGCGGCACCTCGCCGTCGGGCTCGGCTCGCGGCGCTTCTCTTCGGCGCCGCACGCGCGTAACAACGTGTTCGCGCTGCTGTACCGCCTCGACCCACTTGGTACGTGTCCCCTCACTAGCACACTCATGTTACTGACTATACCAGTACGCAAGCCTACCTATACTGGCACACCAGCCCACTGCGCGCTATATCTAAGCTGTTTGTCAAAAATAAAATAAGGGTTAGTCCCAACGACCCCGGTGGATCTGCCCCGTCAACGGGGTGGATGGGAAAAGGTGTTTCAACGACCCCGGTAGTCATAGCTATAGAGTATAGCTAAGACTATGACTACCGGGGTCGTTGAAACACTTTTTCCCATCCACCCCGTTGACGGGGCAGATCCACCGGGGCCGTTGGGACTAACCCAAAAATAAGTCTTACGTATTATAAACGGACATGAACCGTTTTTGCCTTCTCTGCAAATCTTTAACATATGGTTTAAATGCAAAAAATCGTATAAGGCCCATTGCCCACGGCGACACTTTGTAGCGATACTGTGTGCCCTCGCCCACATAAACACGGTTCAAACGCGATAATGTCGCGCTTCTGTCACGATGCAAACGCGATTCAGTAACGGCACAAAATTACCTGCGATTGATGCAGTTGCCTCGCCACCCTCCCCCCGTTCTCTCCCCGATGTCGTCCGCGGGGAGAGAACGGAGAGAGTCGCGCGTTGGCATCGATACAGTCTCGATGCTGTAGCGCGTCGGCATCACTTCTGTAGCGCGTTGCAAATGCGACTAACGCGCTTTAGTAGCGAAGCTGTCGCTCGTTTACGGAACGCGCGACAGGATCACTACAAAGTCTCCGCGGGCGAGGGCCTAATGTGTTAATTTCGTCTGTCAAATCCGGTTACGAGTTATCAGACAACAACAAATCCTACTTACTTTTTCTCCTCTTGCAGAGAGCTCCAGCCGCACAGGACTCTCCCCGATCAAGGAGCTGGAGCAGAACTGGGAGCACGGCTTCACGAGCCTCAACTGCCTGCGCTGGGCGCCGCAGCCCGGCCAGGGGCTCGTCTACGCCAACAACACCGGACAACTCATCATCATGAGCTAAGCCCTCAGCCATGCCACTGCCATCGTCCTAACTCAACCCCAAATACATGAAAGGACTCTACAAACATTTTGACTCAAAATATTCAGGAACTACTTTTTGACGGACACAATCCTATATGAAATTAAGATACTCAAGATCGTTTCTTCCACGAAGACGCGCCCAATTTTTGGTCGAGGGAAGCGCGGGTAGCGGGGAGTTTGATCCGAACGTCATTATTATAGTGTGCGTGTGCACTCATGGATAATGTAGTGTACCGATAACACTCCAACGTTAGGGGAAGAATGGTGGGGCGCGTCTTTGTGGATGAAACGATCTATGCCTTCGCAGAAATTTTTCAAGATGGCTTTATCTTATACGATTGATCTCAGAAAGTTCCAATTGATTGGCTTATCTGATCGAAGATTCCGCTTCAGTGGCCAATTTCGCTAAGTAAATTTATTCTGCATGGTTTATCTTTCATGCAAATATTAGTATTGTTGCACAAATCGCCACTATGTCAATATGAAACTAACTAAACGAGGCTAACTGACTCGCTTTTACTGCGGCCTAACAGATTTCATACGTGCATTCAAGAAAATGTAAAACATTTCACATCGAATTCACAACTTCATACCCTCTCTATTCATATTTTATACATTATGTAGTACCTACTTACCCAACTTTTTCAACCAGTTTAATCATCGTAGCATTACACAAATAAAATAATCAACTCTAATATTTGAACGAAAGTAATTCTCAACCAACATTTTAATCACAATTTATGGAAGTTGAATATACAAGGTTTTATCAACCTTACATACTGATTGTCTGAATAATGTGTTAAGATATATTGTGATTAAAGTTTTGGATTATAGTAGCCTAGTAATAAACGACTAATTGTTAGAATCTACTGGTAGATATTTATTAATAAATATACTATTATAATATTTAATATTAAATCTCTTCTATAACTTTTCATCAGGTCGTGTCGTAGTAAAAGAGAATAGTAGAACATCCTTAACATCTAGCGTCTAGACTTTGCACTCACTATTTGTGGGTGGTGGCTCGACGCAGCCCAACGTGTGCAGAATGTGTTGTACTATTTTTATTTTACTGTATCTATAAATTGATGTTAGTCTTGATTTTTCCTTTTCATTTGCTCTCATCATGAAATCCGTACCCTTGAATCATTGGGGTGAACAGCGTAAATATTATTATTATGCTTATTCAATAGCAGGTGTTTTTTCAATGACATAACCTTCAAGGGATCATCCAGCTGCTATGAGTTTTAAGTGATAATTGTTTTTGTTCATAATCATAATTAGTTTTTTTTTAATAATGTTGTTTACTACCTATTTACATAATTGTTTCAAAGTTATTATGGGTAGACTTATTTATCTCTGATAAATTATTTATCAGCATGTATGTGTTGAGTTAGTTGCATCTTATATTTTGGATTCAAGAGAGCATTTCCTTTGATTTCTATAAATTAACTATATTCATAAAAACTCCTACTTTACACAATCTATGTGTATCTTTTTATTTTCCGGATTAGTAGTATTTAAATTTTTCTTGACGTATGAATATTAGGTTGTCCTTAAACCTTAATAAAATTTATAAGACCGTACCTAATCATATTAATTAAATAATGCAACTGTAACGTTTATCTTATTTTAGACTAGTGAAGTTTTAAAGTGTGGACACACTATTAACTATGTATTTTATCAATAAGTCAAAGTTATACACTTTATTAGGTTTAATATTTAGCGTACAATTACGAAAGCAACGTTCTACGTTAATTTCAATAGCAGTGATGGGATGGATTTATTTAAATTGATTTTATTTTTGAGTTCTTCCATTATGTTATCGCTACACACTCCAGTTGGGGATACTGGTGTATATCTGCTAAGTAAAATTAGGTTACTATCATGTTTTCAAATATTGTTAATGCAATATCATAGCCATATAAATGTTCTGCGCTAAAAACTTATTTATTTTACTGTAGTTATTAAATCATTGGATTTCTAGTGTAACTAAGCTAGTGCAAATATGTTTAACTCATATTTTGTTTAATAGACTGATTGATTCGACCAGGGTATAATAATGGATAGATTTATTTGGACCGTGTGGAACAATCTGAAGGTTAAAATAGGTTTTTACATATTTGCCTAACTGATAACAGTCAATTCAAATTGAAATCCTTTAAAATAATAGGGATAATTTTTGCTTTGAAACGTAATTTAGCCAATCTTGCGTTGTATTTTTGCAAGGATGGGCATAATTTTATTGACACGAGGTAAATGCAGGCATACGCGGGCTACGTATGAGGCACGGGCTGGGGAGACATTAAAAAAGACGAGTTTATTATAATATCTATTAGGTACCCTTTTTTGGTTTGGTTTAGTTACCCAAACCAAAAGTAAGTCCTAATAGCAACCTGAGGGTGCTTTTGCCAATTCACACGATTATAATAAGGTTTTATCTGTTTGACTGTAATAATATGAAAACGTATGCGTTACCCGCAACATGATTGTCAACTGACTGTGAATCTCGCTATGATTTTCTAATTAAAATTGTAATTATTGAGTAATCTCAATGATGATAATTAATAGTACCCATTTTATTTGTTGATCTGGACTGAAATACTTTGTTGGACCATGTCGAAGTCGCCCACGTATACTAAATGTATTTATTCGTCTCCTAAACCTTCGTGTCGGCTAGTTCGCCCAGTCAAAATTATTGAATGCTATGTTCGGCTGATCATGTAGCTTTCATGTTTATAAAACCTACTAAGTTTTTCGTCTTCTAAATTGCAAGAAAGGTGTTCCGTCTAAACATCTCTTTTTATTTATTTTGAAAATTATAAATAACTTGAAAAAAATCGAACTGCCTAAGGCGGGAATTGAACCCACGATTTCTTTTTATTTATTTATCTACTTCTATTTGTTTAAAATGCTTATTTATTTAGTAGGTTTGTAATATGTGTCTACGTATATAACTTGAAGAATTAAATACATAAAAACCATATAAATTGTTGGAGGCCTACATGGCCATCACTATTTAATATTTCTTTACTAAGATTTAATTAAAGACACGAAGATTCTGGAAATAGAGTTTACAGTTAGTAATTTTTGTTGAGGACGCGGATGAATGAGTGTTGTGCAAAAGCACCTCAATATTGGAGAGAAGCTTCGAAGGAGACGTTTCTCCATGTGCTTTAAATGTTGTAAAGCGTAACGTAAAAACTGACACGTATCTACCAAGCGTACCTTTTTGGTAAGGCTGTTTACAAAATATTACTACGATCAATGCCTGCTATAAAAATACGTCTACCTATAATAGTACCTATGTGGAGCTCAGTGCAGGTTTAGTACCTTCAAGTGGAAATGCATTTTTATGAAATAAATCATCAAGATTTGTTCACGAGTTGAGGAGACTTCACGACAGAACTGAAAACGTAAAACATTTTTGATCTTGGACATTGAGGGTTGTTTACTGTGTCGTCTTTTATATTGTGGGCTAATCACGACGCCTCCATTTATGTACCTTAGCAGTGCAATATTCAGTTAAAAAGGTTTGTATTTAATTCTTCTTGTTTTAGTTTTATATGAAAAACTAAATGTTAATATTAACTTAAGCAATAGCTGCTTGTAGGCATCCATATTCAAATTTTATCAACGCATATTAGATACTAAGGCACATAATATTTTGATGTCTAACACTTCTTTTTCTCTATGTAAATACGATATATATTAGAGTTTCAATACTTGGAATGTATATTGAATAAAATAAAACTGAAATAGTTGACTTTGTATTAATTCACCTTTATCACACATTGGTCTTAGATATTTCGTCAACTTTCGAGGATTGTAAACAACTTTTCTCAGGTGGCAAACGTTATGAGCCGCCATGTAAATCAGACACCATCAACATACTACCTTCACAGGACTATTAGGATCTCGCTCACTTCATTCTTTCCGCCTAGGGACAAAGTAGAATTCGTGACAGTTTAAATTCCGAGTTTTTCGCTCCGACTTTTAATGCCTACATAGAGATCGTGCAGCGAGAGTTGATAGACACTAGCAAAGATTTAGAGTAGGCGCACTCCGTTGATTTTTCGTCGGGCAGTTGATCAGTATGGGCATGTATGGGAGTGCGCACACTAGATTCGATTTGGCCGATTCTTCATACAAATTAAAATCGAGTACAACTATCGGCCAACTAAAAATCAACGGTGTCCGCCTATTCTTATGAACTTCAAGATGACGGGATCACTTCTTGTATTAAACAGACGTTGCCACCATTTTTTTGTACTCATTTAGAATGCAGCACTTGCAGTAATGACGTTTTACGTAGTTTGACTGAAAAGTTCTTTCTGTCTCGCACTCATTTAGCCAAATATTACATGAGTGTGATTACCGGGTTTGCCCCAACTTTCGCTGCGTGACCTATAGCTGCTTATTACGTCACAAATTTTACTTGGTCTATGGAACTACACAACCAAAAATAAGTTAAAGCTAATTCAATGAAATAAATAATACATGAATTGATATAAATATCTTATTTTATTCAGTTTTCATAGAATGTAATTGCAATAATGATGGTGATAATAAAAATCATACTTTAATAATATACATAGTACAAAAATTTGACAACAAAATAGATACCTAATTTAAATTATGTAAATACAACGCCTATGTGATTTTTCGTACTTAAAATAATATTGAATTATCTACTATACTTTCTTGCAACACACTTTTGAACAATAAATCCTGATTACTTTGAAATAATGATTGAATAAACTATTGTAATGTTGTTACCAATACTGATAAATATACGTATAAAACTAGCTTTCATGTTTAACAATTTATAGTTCTATAAATGATTTAGATTATAATGGAAATAAAAAATAATTAAAAACATACATGATTAAACACAATTATAGATCTTGCTAAACTGTTTTATCACCGAACGGCTAAAACTTAGGGACACAAGAAGGCTGATGTGACAAAATATATTTCGATTGTGACTCTGGATCTGTCACTAAACACGTCATAAAACTAAAAATGGTTTTAACAACTTACGAAATATATAAGTCAAACCATATGTAACACTAATTACTACAAATCTTTATTAAAAATGTTAATTTGCTCGTAGCACAAATATACTTTCTTCCCTGACTCATCACAGACCAAATGTAAATCCATTTAGAATTCCAATGTTTATGCTGAACTCGTCTGCAGCTCGCCGCGCGCACCCTGGGGTGACTTAGAAGCATTAAATATAATAGCATCTATAACTAACTTCTGTTCGCGGAGGAAGTTGCGAATATGAAATGCAATAACTGTTAGTGTTCCACTGGCTTGAGCTCTTTGATCTGTTTTATAAGGTAAGCCTTCTCGTCGTTGAACTGCTCGTCCTCGGAGCGGTCGGTGTGAAACTTGGTGAGGAAGTCCACCAGCTTGTCTTGATTTCGTAATAAGATGTCCAGAATGGGTTTTGGTTTATTGGGATTGGCTACAAATACCTGAAAATAGATAAATAATAAATTAGTCACAAATAAAATATTATAAAATGGTATGTCTGTATTTTTTTGTCAAAATCGCCCCTATTACAACTAAAAAAGATGGCACCGTATGTAGCTTGTGACATGCTGTCATCTGTACTAGTACAAACTGCACCTAGAATTGTATTGTACCTTAGTAATGTTGAACTAAACTGGTACTAAGTCTGAGAAATCAATGCCTAATATTTTAGCTAGTAGTTATGAGTTAAATATAATAGAAGAATACCTTAAAAACGTGGAAAGCCTCAAACTGTATGTTGCGTGACTTCTCTTTTAACATATTCATCATGAGTTTAAGGTTATCCGGGTTGGTGATGTAACGGGTCATGATAGAGAAGTTGTGTCGATCGAGAAGTAACTCTCCAAGCAGCTTGAGACTCTGCCGTCGTGTTACATAGTTCTCCGAGTTGAGCAGTCGTTGGTAGTGGCTGAACACTTTATCATAATTAGCTTCTAGAAATTCGGCACACAACATTTTGTGTCGGGTTAGGAGTTCCTGCAATCGTAAAAAACAATAATTTATCAATATGAAATGGTAATTATAGTTATTTGAAATTTGGTTTTGTGGAATGGTAATGAGAACACACTAAACTAGCACACATTTAACTTACTACTTACCTTAAAAGTAGAAAAGGCATCTGAGGCAATATCAAAAGTGGAAACTTCTACATAACGAAAGAAATTGTAAAAATCGTCTGAATACAACATTATCTTAGCCAAAGCCTCATATCTGGCACACTCCCTGAGCATAGTACCACAATTCGATGCTATTTCCTGGTGTTCATACCTAAAAGAGGAAAAAGAATGACTGATAATTTCATTGAATATTCCATTGTTCACTTTAATTAGTTCATGGTCCAAAACCTACATAATAATTCTGAGTCTTGATAAAATTGTTGGTAAACCAATAAAAAGAAATAAAGAACTACAACTAAAGGCAGTATTATTAATTTTATCAAACCTCACTATTTTTTGATAACACACCAAACATTTTTACTAGGCCAGTTAAGGATCTAATTCTTTTGAAAAATACTGTGAGTTTTTACAAAAATCTATTGGGTAAAAACCTAATTGAAGAATAATAATTAAGTGACAAATGTCTTTAGGTTTTCAAACTTTTTCCTTATCCTTTTCCTCACCTTTTTAAATTACCTACTTGAATAGCAAAGGCAAAACATGTTGAATGATATGCAATACTTATTAAATGATTATATTACCCAGACATCAAGGTGAACAGGATCTCAGGTTTAGTGCAAATGTACTCTACGGTAGGCGAACGAGTCCCTATTTGACGCCTCAGAACATTATTGAAAACTTGTGCAACATCTTTCTTCCCCTCAAAGTCAATCCGGTTCAGATTCTAAAAATAAGGAAAAATATATTATCATTCAATTGTATGAAATCCTCTATTTTTAAATGAAAAGAAAATTGAATGGACCATCCATGAAAATGCTGGAACATGTATAGCGCCATACAGGATTAAGCTAATAACCCATTAGAATAGAAAATATAAATTAATATTAACTCTCATGACAATAATTTCATTTAATTCAGTTTACCAAACTCACATAAAAATGTTGACCAATATTGTAAAAAAATATCTATTTCTACTACAAAAAGAAGTGTTACCTGAATCAGAAGAAGCAGCAAATTTGTATTATAAAGTTCCTGTGCCAACTGTGCTACTATGATGTCAGTTTGTGGCTCTGCATCTGATGTCCCATACAGCATGTTCTTTATCAACACCTGATATCATAAAATATGACGTATATTATGACAAAATTAATTAAGAACCATGTGGTATTATTACATATATCTAAAATCATAGAAAACAAACTGTAAATTAGCCAGTACTTATCAAGGTCACTTACCAAGTTTTTGCTCACATCTTCCTGAGCTTTCTCGGCCTTTTTGTCGCCTCTTTCTAACGCTGTAACAGCATCCTTCAACGATCTCACGAGCTCCGCTGGGCTTTTCTGAGACTTACCAAAAAGAGGCATAGTATTTCGATAATTTACACAGTTATTCTAAGTGATTCTGTCTACATAAGATTGTACCTGCAATATCAAGAGAAAAGACAAGGAACTTATTATCAAATCACAAGATCACAATATTTATGCATTTGCATTTCTCACAAGAATGCAAAAAACTAAAAGGAGATTTGTCAATTTCATAAAACGTTTGCCAACCTGAGGTCGAGCCAATTATTATTACAAATTCCTTAAGTTAATGTATTTCAACTATATTATTGTCGAATACTCAATTATTAGGGCAAAAACTCACTTTCAGAATAATTATTACAATTTTTCCTAGCAAGAACCACAGGCAAAACGAACAGCTGTGATGTCAAATGTCAGTCAATAGAATGATTGCCAGATAAGATAACAAATAAAAGAGTTGCCAGCCTTCAGTCACTTGTCGACCCAGTGTTGCCAGAAGGTTACTTTTGTAACCTTTTAGGTTACTTTTGAACTGCATTGGTTACTTTTAGGTTACCCTAATGAAAAGGTTACTTTTAGGTGATTTTTCAGAAATTGTAGAATCAACTTTTACAGGTCATTCAGTAAAAAATATTAATAGTGACAATTTAAAAATTATGTCATAAACTGCATTTAAACATGAATTTGATTTATTATTTGTTACAGAAAATGAGTTTTGGCGAATGTTTTTCGATAATAAAACGCAAATCCATGAAACGGTTTTATACGACCGGTCACTTTTCGGTCTTCATGGAATGGTCAAAATTTCGAATTATATTATAGGTAAACGATTGATGATCAATTGTATTCATTTTCCATCCATGAACAACCTTACACAATCGCTCCGCACCCCCCCCCCCCCTTATGAAGGTTACTTTTTATTCAAAAAGGTTACAATTTTTTATATTTCTGGTAATTTCTGACAAGACCCGACTGGCAACACTGTGTCGACCGGCTATTGGCTATCGTTTTAGAAAAAGTTACACACTTTATTTTGGTGCCTTTGGACAAATAAGTTGATCAAAAAATCCATAGGCCTAAAGATCGTAGTAACACCAATACAGAAAAGGTGCGCGTGTCAGTTCAGTTCAAACTGTCAAAAAAAGAATTTGAGGTTAGGAAATAGGCTGGGAATTTTATATTCGAAATTATAATTTATCTTTTGCGAGTGAACTGGAGAGTAATTAATAGTTAATTTGGCACCAGCCATGGCAGACTCTACTGGCGAGAAGTTGTCCAAGAAGTGAGTATTTTCTGAGATCCTGTCCTATACATTCGGACAAGATGATCATAAAAAGTATTGCAACGTTACCTGCGGCTTTCATCAGAAATCCAAGACTTCTTCGATTCCAGAATTTTTCGGCTTCTATCAGTAAAGGGTTGGTTGAGTTTATGTTCATAAATCTATTTTTTTCCAAAAATATTCAAATTCGAATGTTCTGTTTCTTTTGTAGTGAATTGAAAAGGAGGTTAAAAGCTGAGCAAAAGTTGAAGGAAAAGGCAGAAAAGGCGGCACAGCAGCCTGTTGTTACCGCAACAGCAGAAAAGAAATCTTCCAAGCCAGAGGAAGAGATAAGTCCAAATGAATATTATAAGTTAAGGACAACAGCTGTTGCAGCTCTCAAAAATGGTGACAAAGAGGATCATCCTTATCCACACAAGTTCACGGTTACGACTTCACTGGAAGAGTTTATTGAGAAGTACAACAACCTTGCTAGTGGTGAGGTGTTAGAAAATGTAACCCTCTCAGTTGCTGGTAGAGTTCACTCTATCAGAGAATCTGGAACTAAGCTAGTTTTTTATGACTTAAGAGGAGAAGGTGTTAAAATACAGGTCAGTCTTATTTATTAGGCATAAACACCTGTCTTGTTCTGCATTAAAACAAAACAATAATATAATAGGTACTGTAGTATTGAATGACTAACTTCTATATCATCAATGATTGCAGGTGATGGCTAATGCAAAATTGTATGAATCGGAAGAAAAGTTTGCATCAGATACTGATAAACTGAGAAGAGGTGATATTATTGGGTGTGTAGGACATCCTGGAAAGACTAAGAAGGGGGAACTGTCAATCATTCCCAAGAAAATACAGCTTCTGGCTCCATGCTTGCACATGCTGCCTCACTTACATTTTGGTCTCAAGGACAAGGAAACACGATTCAGGAAGAGATACTTAGATCTTATCCTAAATGATAAAGTAAGTTTCAAAATACAAATTGAATATTACTTATGAATTTAAAACTTTAAAGTAAACACAAATTAATTTTCAAAAATTTACAGGTCAGACAAATTTTCTATACAAGAGCAAAAATTATTGCCTATGTAAGACGGTTTCTAGATAATCTGGGTTTCTTGGAAATTGAGACTCCAATGATGAACATGATTCCTGGGGGTGCTACAGCCAAACCCTTCATCACTCATCACAACGATTTGAACATGGATCTGTATATGAGAATAGCTCCAGAACTGTACCACAAAATGTTAGTGGTTGGAGGCTTGGACAGAGTGTATGAAATCGGAAGGCAGTTCCGCAATGAAGGCATAGATTTAACCCACAATCCTGAGTTCACAACATGTGAATTTTATATGGCCTATGCTGATTACCATGATGTAATGACCATCACGGAATCAATGATTTCAGGAATGGTGAAGAGTATTCATGGAACTTACAAGGTATTTTTTCACTCTTGATTAGTAAACAGTAATAAGAAAAGTTTGTAATGTACATACCTACATGTATTTTAATTTTTTTCAGATTAAATATCATCCTGATGGACCAGAAGGTGAGGAAGTAGAGATTGACTTCACCCCTCCATTTGCAAGAGTGCCAATGATTGCAACATTAGAAAAGGTTTTAAATGTGAAATTGCCACCACCTGACCAGTTTCACTCTGCTGAAACCAATGCACTGCTGAGTCAGCTGTGTGAGAAACATGAGGTATAAAAATGCATTGTATTTTTCATTCACTTTACTGTGTACTAACTAACAGATATTTTTATGTTTTGTCTTTGTAGGTAGAATGCCCACCACCAAGGACGACAGCAAGACTTCTTGATAAACTGGTTGGTGAATTCTTGGAGGATAAATGTATAAATCCTACATTTATTTTGGATCATCCACAAATCATGAGTCCCTTGTCTAAATACCATAGGGATATTCCAGGTCTAACTGAAAGGTAATTGATATGTTAGATACTAAGACTAAGTCAAGACTAACTGGGGCTGATATTAAAATGTTTTGTGCCAGGAAATGAATTCTATGAATGACTAAAATATCTAAATCCCACTGTATTTTACAGGTTTGAATTGTTTGTGATGAAAAAAGAAATATGCAATGCATACACAGAGTTGAATGATCCAGCTACTCAGAGGGAGCGGTTTGAGCAGCAAGCCAAGGACCGTGCAGCTGGTGATGATGAGGCTCCTCCAACTGATGAAGGCTTTTGCACAGCTCTCGAATATGGGCTGCCACCAACTGGAGGCTGGGGCTTAGGAATTGACAGACTGACTATGTTCCTTACTGACTCAAACAACATCAAGGTTAGTTTCGAAGTTTTTTTGTGAAATAACTGGCACCCAGTAGCTCTTTATTAAAACTTCTTCTTTGTAAATGTTTCAGGAAGTATTGCTGTTCCCGGCCATGAAGCCAGATGACCCTAATAAAAACAACACTGAAGAGGAAAAGGCAACTGAATCAACATCACTACCAAATGGAAAATAATCACCAGTTATTAAGAATACAGTTTATTGTTTGTTTACTTTGTTCCAAGCTATTTACTATACCGTAACAATGTTTTGTCTGTTTACTAACCCTTATTTGCTTACAAATAAATTATCAAACTTCTTAGAAAAAATGATTTATTTTGTTCATTTTATTGACTGCCTTAGGTATTAAAATTGGTTTGCTATAAGTTAAGCATCATAAATGCACAAATTCCTGTAACTATGTGTCTATTTGGGTATTTCAGGACTTCGGAAGTTCTTCATTGATGCAGGTTGAATTATAGTGCTCACCTAAGCTATACATATGGCGATGATAAGTAATTACTAAGGGAGGACCTTCAAATTCATTACCCTGCTCTATACATTCAGGCCCTGTGGCCTGGATAATGTTTATGGGGTTCTTTAAAACATTAGACAAAGCTCGGATTTCTAATTGTCCTCCCCACACAGCTGTATTCGTAATCTTATCACAATAAGCCTCAAATTCATCATCATTGAGCATCTCTAGAGTATCTGGATTGGTCATAAAGGGCAAAAAATCATCCTTATTCTGTCTAACATAAGAAGCAACCTTTTTTCTTAAATCTGCTGTTGCTATGATTTCATTTTTTTTTATTAACATCTGATGAGCTACTGCTTTGTAGAGGCAATCTCCATCAGAAGGTATAGCAAAAATTTTTAGATTTCTCTTCTTTAGCCTAGCTGAAATTTCTTGAATTTCTTGGTTCCTAGGGCCATGTAAATTTTCTTTTTCTTGTAATTTAATTTGTAGTTCTCTTTCTTTCTCCTGCTGCGACTTTTTATCGCGACGTTTTTGTGCTTTTGAAATTTTTACTTTTGCTACCTCATTTTCCATATTATCTAAATTATTATCATTGGATTCATGTACTTCTTTTAATCCATCTTTTTGCTCAGCTTCTAGTAATTCTTGTTGATGGCGATTATCCATTTCAATTTCTAATCTTACTATCTCGGCCAAGATTTCCTTTTTCTTCGTTTTATCGTTTTTAGCAGCTTTCTTTAACGCTTGGATTTGAGCTTGTAGTTCTTTCTTTTCCTTTCTGTGTCTTACTTCGATGGAGGAATCGCAATTGTCCTCAAGTTCCATTTGTATTGATTTGAAAGTTATTTGTCAAATTTTAATTTAAATGCAAGCTGAAATAATTAATGTGTAATTAGAATAATAATTATTTAAAGGGCATTGGGTGGCACTGGCGTCTGGCGATAAATTTAAACAAAAAGATTTATTTTTTTAGGTTATTTTTCGTGCAATAAATTTTTTTACTCGCGTCGCCTGACATTATTTTTTTTCTATGATCTAATCTNTCTATCTAATCTTTATGCTCGGTCCAATTAGGTAGGGTTTTAAATGTTTCTTGATTATTTTATTTAGAGGACGCTCAAGGAAAGTTGAGGCGAACACGTACTCACACAAAAAACATTCAATCAAGTGTATTGCACTTAGTCTTAGTGCAATCGCATGATCGCATGCAGCAAATCGTCCGCGCAGACAGTGCGTATAGATACTTTTGGACTGTTTGTTGGAAGGTTTAATCTATCTAGTAGTTGTATTATCTTATCTGTGGACTCCACAGATTAGAGAGTATGTCTAAAGTTGGACTCGTCCGTTTCTCCTGTCACACATCCTCATCATTTATTTTAGTCAACCGCCAAGCCGTTTGTTTCTACAATTTACATTTTGTATGATTAAATAATTGATTTAAATGTGGTAGATTTTCTAAAGTTCGAAAATATGAATCCTTGTTTTGTTGCAACTCCTCAAGTAGATACGGAAGGCGATGGTAGATGGAATAGTATCGTAAGTGCCATCAATGAATTTATAATTGATTATTTTCGCGATCGTAGCTATTGCTGCAAGGTTTCTACGTGGTCCTATAATATTTTACCGCTGTTAAGTAATTTTATTAATTAGTGTCGCACAGCAATTACCGTTGTTAAATTGGAATCATTAATTAAGTGTAATACTTATTTCCTGGCCTACTTTTGATTGTATTTTGTAATAATTAAGTATCATTTATATTCCAGCACAATAGGTTTCTATCTGATGCGAAAGGAAAGGATGCAGACGTAATTTTTATAGGAGATTCAATTTTACAAGCTTTAGAACACACCGAAGTCTGGAACCAATGGTTTGCTCCACTTCACTGCCTGAACTTTAGTATCCACAAGGATCAGACTCAAAATGTCTTATGGCGCATCAAAAATGGAGAATTGGATCATGTGGACCCAAAAGTAAGAAATTAATTAAAGCAATTATTACTAGTTACTCCAATTAGAAATCATGTCCTAAATAAATCATATTTATTGTAAAAATATTAACTACATAACCACAAATGATTCTAAATAAGTGTACTTTATCTAACAAATATTACAACAAAGTTAATATTGATGAAGTATTTCAATAACAATAATGTTATTTCAGGTAATAGTAGTGCATGTTGGCACCAATAACGTTGAACACACCCCCGAGCAGGTGTGTGAAGGTATCTTAGAGATTGTCAAGACTATCAGGGAGAAACACCCAAGTGCTTATATTGTATTACCTGTAAGTATGTCTCATGCATCATTTGCCTACATTAATCACTTTAACATACTATTTTTTATTGATTTAATTGTATCTTTTCTTTTTCAGAGCCTTTTACCTCGCGGTCAATATCCCAACATTTTGAGAGAAAGGAATGCTAAAATTAATCAACTCTTAAAAGAAAAGGTTGTAAATATGAATAAGGTAGAAATGGTGTCAATAGATAAAGGTTTCATTCAAAATGATGGCACCATAAGCCATCACGACATGCATGACTACCTCATTCCAACTAACGCAGCCTGTCGAAAGGCCTTTGAACCCATTTATGACCTGCTTCAGCAAATATTGTCTGAAGGTGAACCAGAAAAAGACCTAACACCATCTGAATAGGTATATGGTTTTAACCTTCAATCCTTAAGATGGTAAATGAATTTATAGCTTTTTATTGTGCAGCAAGCTCATTGTGATGAAACAGTACTTACAGTTAGCTTTTTTATATAGGCTTAAGTATGTATTTTAGAAATATTTTAAAGTTATTAACATGTACATTCCAAATTAGACTTATATTTTTCTTATTGGCTGTGTCTTTTACACCTAATTTCTTTATAATTATCAAAGTGACTTGTTGAAGTGTGTAATTTTTCACTGTTTATTTGTTATCTTGTAATATAGTAGCTTACCTGAAAGAGCTCAGAGATAGGTTTCAGGAAGTTGTAAGGATACAAAACCACTATGGAATGTGTTACTTGAGATCCAAGAAGAGGCCTATATTCAGCTTTGGACATCTGAAGTCTTAAATGATGATAGATGAATAACACATTACCACAGCATTATAGGTTTTGGTACTTTGAATATTGTTAACTTGGCTTTTATTACCAGTCTAGTAAGCAACTCCAGATTTATTTGAATCATATGATTAAGAAAAAGTTCAATACTAGCATATCAAAAGAATATTCTGAAAATCCATGTAATTCTATAAGTGTTTTATTGAACATCATGAAAAAACCAATTTGATAGTCTTAACTTTTTAAGATCACACTTGAATATTTTGCTGCTATAAACTTGTTTTCTAAAATGTATAATGCATAAAATGAAGTACAGTCTCACATTTAATTTGATTGTATACCATGGTTTTAATGGAATTGATTGCTACCAAAGATATTATATTTATATTTCCAACCAAAGTTTATGTGAATATTCCTTTGTGTAACAGTAAACATAAATTAACAATATTTTTGATATTTACATGTAAAGGCAATATTATTTGTTAACAAACAACTAACATTTGATCAATTTGTGTCAACTAGTATGTCTGTAATTTATGAAATATGCATGTAGGTACTTTATTTTTCAATATTGAAATCCCTCTAGTTAAGTATGATATTATCACAGTAGCATTATGTGTAGCTAGTTATTTATGTATAAGGTACTTTTAGGTACTCAAGTTGCCAAACATACATACTGCTTGAATCTCAAATTGTTAAGTATTTATTTGCATGAAAGAAGCTTGAGAGTAACAGTGCAATTTTTTCAATGAAATGTTTAAAAAATAAACTGCTTTTATTTTAACCAAACCACCCCAAGTGATAAAAACAATACAATTTATATTGGTTTAGAATAACATTTATTAATGTCCCATAAATTAATAATCATTCTAATATTAAGTAACTACAAATGACTACTATAAACATAGAGATAAATTACATAATATAATAAAACTAAGCACTAATATTTATTCATTAGCCTCCTGTAGTAAAGACTAAAGGGCAGGGTAGTGTTCTGCATCTGAAGTGACTTATCAAAGATATTGAAATTAGCTTTTTGTAGTTTTTTCAAGTATGCCTCAACGGCAGCTGCAGGCAAAAATATTTGATTCACTATTTTTGGTATAGCTATTTTTCTGGCCTGAAAAGAAGTTGTTAAAAATATAAAGTACACATTCTAAATTAATGCATAATTTTATACAATAGTACATTTTACGTAGTAAACAAACCTTTTCTAAGTGACTATTAGCCTGGCTGGCAACTTCAAATGTAACATTTCTCATATTTTCACTGTCAATACCTCTTAAAACTTCCTCTTGGCTAATACCATGCTTCATGAGTATATCCATAGGAAGAGACATAATTTTATGATTATTTGAAACATAGATTGATCTGGAAATTGGATAAAGAAATTTTTATGTTATGTCATGGTTGATCATGAACATTTATTGAATAGATATCACCTTTAAATCTCACCTAAGGACATTAGCTATTCCTTGGGCTTTTCCTAAGTGGGAAGCAGCATGGTCTGCATGTATATCAGCAACACCTGCTACATTTAAAAGCAAATAATATATAGGTGAAACAGCATCCTCTGCATATCTCTCTAAATCTTCTAAGCTACGGAAATAGCGTGTTTTAATTAAACCACTTCTCGACGTCACCAGTCTCTCTAAATGTCGTCTAGGTAAGGAATAGCAGCTACACACCTGTAACAAAATGCCGTTATTACCGCATTTTTATAGAAATAAATAAGTCATGTTAACTTAGTGTCCAAAGACATTACTTTGAATAGTTCTTGTGCAATAGGATTTGCTGGAATATTTTGTTGTTTCTGGTCTTTTTTGAATATTATAGTCAGCGCATCATGCCAGAACTGAAGCCTGAATGCTGCTGTCTGCGGGTCCGTGGTCTGGTCTTGTATTCGAGCTACTTCTACATTAAAAGCTCTTACAACCAGGGCTGGCGACCGAATGGCTTTCGTCATTAGTAGAGTCGCTAGGAAATTCTCATAGTCGTGCTGTCTATCTGTAAAACAACAACAAAGTACCAGAAATTGTCAAAATTATGTAATAAAAACACTGCAGAACCCATGTTAAAGCAGAAAAATACCTAACAATGTTTGCACAGTATTTTAAAGAATTCTTATTGGAAGATGCATTTCTAACGAACGGCCCAAAAACAATAACCGGATTTTTAAATACACTATTCAAGTACAATAAATTACGTAGTTTCATTATTATTTTATTCTATTTACAAAATGCAGAGATTTGAAATAGGTTATTTTTGAAGTTTTGACATTTGACAAAGCTGACCGAAAAGCTCACTCATGTCAATGTCATGGTAATTTTTTTTATACGAAGAACGTCCACAGAATAAAATGATATTATTTATTACTTTTACTTTTATTATCTGGATGATATTTTGGAACTTTAAACAAACATGCTATAGATGACCCACGCTGAACTGTCCCACCAAACCACGGTAATACTATCATAAGTAATACCGTGACCAAACTCAATGACAGGGGGGCGCTACCATCGTTCAACTGTAAGGTTACCAACATGGCAAAAATCGAACCAGCGATCCGGTATTGACGGTGGCGCCCCACTGTCAATGTCATGCATAGGACAGTTCAGTATTTTGGAACTATAGATGACCCACGCTGAACTGTCCCGCCAAACTCAATGACAGGGGGGCGCTACCATCGTTCAACTATATGGTTTGCAACATGGCAAAAATCGGAACCAGCGATTCGGTATTGACGGTGGCGCCCCGCTGTCAATGTCATCGATAGGACAGTTCAGTATTTTGGAACTATATAAAATTGATGATCTTAATATTTCTAGTGAAATTTTGGCTAACAATGATTACNTCTAATCTATAAGCTCGGTCCAATTAGGTAGGGTTTTAAATGTGTTTTAAATGTTTCTTGATTATTTTATGTATAGGACGCTCAAGGAAAGTTGAGGCGACCACGTACTCACACAAAAAACTTTCAATCAAGTGTATTGCACTATTTGCACTTAGTCTTAGTGCAATCGCATGATCGCATGCAGCAAATCGTCCGCGCAGACAGTGCGTATAGATACTTTTGGACTGTTTGGAAGGTTTAATCTATCTAGTAGTTGTATTATCTTTGGATCTGCTACCTCCTCGCTGCTATTGTCAATCATCAAGCCAGAGCCCCGATTACGGTAATTTTTAACGTCAACAATCCAGACACGCTTCTCGATTCTGCGATACGATTGGTCGTTCAACAGCGTACATCAGCTGTTTTGACCAATCGTATCGCAGAATCAGAAACGCGTCTGGATTGTAGACGTTATAAAAGTTACCGTAATCGGGGCTCAGGGTGTGGAAACTTCCGTACAACGGTCATCGAAGTGAAACTTGCTTCCAAACAGCGACATCGGTGAATAAATTCAAATACTTTTTAACTACCCTAAAACGCTCTAGATGTCGCTGCTCCTGTTTCCTTCATATTTTCATTATTTTCTTAATTAAAATATATTTGAGAATATTGTTAATTACAATGTGAAAACTTTATTTAAATGAAATTAATTTGTTTTAATTTAAAACTGAACATTGACATTTTTGTTATAATTTACATAATAGAGTAGTAGAAATTACTATTTAACATATGGCAACTTTGTTTTTCCTCCAAAATGGCCGGTGTTGTTTTTGCTATGTTAAATGCATTCTTGTTTTCTTAGCCATCGTTTAAGTGTTCTGTGGCCCTATTAAAGTATTGAAGAGTCGAGTCAGTCAAATTCAAGTTCATTCCTTCGAACCTGCTGCTGTTCTGGTTCATCGGAGTTTTGTTCGTTCTTTCGTGAATCGCGAAGAAACTTTCTGTTATGTTCACAAGTGATCTGAGTTTTCTCAATGTGCAAATGCTTTTTTAGTGTTGTTGAAAACTTTGCGAAAAGACGCTTTTGGTGTATAATATTATATGTGTTCATAAATAAAGTAAAATTATTAAATTCAAAAGTTTTTGTTTATTTGCATTTCCATGTGCAATGTAGAATTTTTCCAAATCCATTTTTTGAAAATAATACAATACGTACACTATAAAGATAAATATTTTCAAAATAATGGATTTGAAAAAATTCTATATTGTACATCATAAAAACAATAATGAGGATCAGTACTGTTGTAGANTAACAATGATTACAGATGCATAAGATTGATTAAAAATAATTAAAAAAATAATAGGTTGTTGTTTTGTTTGGTACATTGATGTGTACATCGCCTGCCAAAGTGCCAAAGGAGACTTCACTTGTTTTTACCGCCACTTATATTATCAGGGTTTGGTTTCCGCCTCAGAGTACAGAAAAAACGTTTCCGCCTTTATTGTCTTCTTACATTCTTAGTTTCCCTGCGTGATCGAATCAGAAATGAGGATATCCGTAGGAGAACCAGAGTGACTGACATAACCCGCAGAATCGCTAAAATCAAGTGGCAAGGGGCGAGGCACCATAGCTCGTAGAGCTGAAGGTCGCTGGGGCAGAAAAGTTCTTGAGTGGCAACCACGAGCTAGAAGACGTAGCATGAGCAGGCCTCCCACTAGGTGGACCGACAATCAGGCGAAGGTCGCGGGAGGTGCCTGGATGCGAGCGGCGCAGGACCGGTCTTTGTGGAAATCTTTGGGGGAGGCCTTTGTCCAGCAGTGGACGTGTTTCGGCTGAAACCGAACGAACATTCTTGGAAAAGCAGAAAATGCAGCATTCTATTATAATAATAAAAAATGTTATGTTGTTATGCACCTTACCAAAATTTTTCTTTTTTTGGAAGGACTGACCTAAGTCTTCAAAAATATTATGGTACCCACCCACATCTTTAATCTTAGAGACTTAATATGCTTATTCATCTCATCATCATCTCAGCTATAAGACGTCCACTGTTGAACATAGGCCTCCCCCAATGGTTTCCATGTTGCCCGGTTGGTAGCGGCCTGCGTCCTATGCCTAAGTAGGTAAATAAATTCCCGTTTCTCCGTTTTTAACTCGACACTGGGACACTGGCAAGAGGCATAGCGTAGCCATAAAAAAAATCGACAGAAAAAAAAACGACGTCGTGACGTCGCTGTTTTACCGCCGTTTTTACACAGTTGCGTAGTATGTATGGTGTAGCGTGGTTGTTACATTTTCAATACTTGCATTGAAGGATATCCTGAGTTCACCTTCCCCGTGACTTATGTTAAATTGATGATTGGTGTAATTTACGCTGGACTTGGCGATATTATGACTTAATTGTGAGACAACCAGTTGTTGGAAAGGTAATAAATAAGTAATATCGTTNCCTCATATCGTTGGCCAGTCCTTGCTAACATCCTGTGTGCAGTTTTCAAGTGAGAATGAAGAAATCAGTTTTTCTATTAATTTTAGTCCTAAAAATAAATCAATAGGTAGGTACATACAATAATTTTTATTTTTAGGGATGTAACGATTTCGATGCCTACTTAAATAGTCAGAGCACCTACTTAACTAGTATGCAGACCTGTGCCCTGTAGGTATTTATTTATCTCTATATTATTTATCCACTATTTATCCGCTATTTAAGGCCGGGTAGCAGAGAAAATGGCGAAAATGAGGTTTTCATTTATCATTTTTGGTTAGTATATTTATTAGAGAATAAATTTAAGTAAGTAGCTATTAAAAGATATTCGAATGAAAAATTAGATAAAGATTAGTCTCAGAGCGCAGTGGCGTGAAAAAGTAAGTAAGTTTCAGGTTCGATTCCTGGTCGGGTCAATATATTTTATAAATTACCCCGCATCTGGGTGTCCGGGGACCTCTATCAAAATATCAGGGCAAACATTAAGTACTAAAAGGGGCAATTACGCTTCATACAAATTATTAAAACAATATTTGCGCTTAGATCGGCAACACTACTTATATGAAGTCGTGGCCTCACGCCTGCCTGAGACAGTAAATAAGTAAGTTACTAAAAATATTTTGCACAGGAAAGTATGATCCTATATTATTTTGATGGAGGAAATGATTGCAACAAGGTGTACCTATTATGTACTTCTAATATGACATCGACAGATGATCTCAATTAACTATCGACTAGAGTCAGACCTTGTGTCTGTTAGCTAAGCGGTTTTAAAGAGCGCGAATGCAACTACACGGTTTAATCCGATAAGATACTTCTCACAGATGGCTGGCCAGGGAACAGAGAGACCGTGGCAGGTACGAGCAACATTTCTGGCTCGCAACACCAACAATTTAATCAGGAACGTCATTGAAAACCTGAAAGTTCAACCCAATCCGGAAAAGAAACTTATCCCGCTTTCTCTCGGTGAGTGTCCTATTTTTTAATAGTTAAATTATAAAGTAAAAGTTACTGAAACGTATGTTACGTAATACCTACTTATTACAGACTTTGAAATAACTTTTAGGCACTTTAGATTATTATTTTTGTTCGGTCAGTTTATGTAGCTTACTTAGAAAATATAGAGATATTTATGATACTAAGTGAGACACACATATATAATTATCATCAAAATTAATTTTCATGGCATGTTTATTCAATGTAAAACTTAGTTTATAAATCATTTAACAAATCATTTATTTCCCGCGTAGGTCAGAATTTCATGAAATTCTTCTTTATTCACGATTGAACGCTCACTAATACTGGCCAAGGACGTGAATTTGTTAAAAGGTGAAAATTCCGTCGGCCGTTTGGTGTAGTGGTTCAGAACGGACTATTAACTATGCCGAGAAGTCCCGGATTCGACTCCCGGCCGGGCTGAAATGATGAATTTTAATTTCTGCGATGTGTCTGGGTGTTACTGAACTATGTATAAAGTTACGTTAAAAAGTATTAGTATATCCGTTAAGATAGCACCCACAACACAAGCATAATATAAGTTGCTTTGGTTACTTTGGGGCTAGCTGGCGCTGTGTGAAATTGTTCAAAGATTTATTTGTTTATTTATTAAAAAAATTACATCTTAGGTGACCCTACAGTTTTCGGGAATATCACCCCGCCTGAAGAACTGTTGCAAGCCGTTCGGGATAGCATAGATAATAACAAAAGCCGTACATATGGGCCCACTAATGGTCAGCTTGAGGCCCGTCAAGCTGTCGCAGACTACAGCATCCACCAGGGACGCGTGACGGCTGATGACGTCATACTCACCAGCGGATGCGCGCACGCACTGGAGCTCGCCATCACAGTGCTGGCTGAAGATGGACAAAATATCCTCGTGCCGAGACCAGGGTACATGATCTACATGACGCTAGCTGAGGGTCTGGGAATACAAATCAAGTACTACGACTTGTTGGTACGTTATATTGAATTACCTAGAATTGAAATATTTTGACCAACGCCTCTAGAAGAGTAGAGAACTCTACTTTAGGTCAATTGCCCTGCTACTAGATGGATGAAAAAAAGAGCAAATAGGGTATTATTTTGTTGCTAGGTGCCCAAGTAAATGTCTTGTTTGTTGATGATTTCTTTTTGCCGGGGGCGCCGGTGACGTCAATTCATTTTATTAACCTAAGTACTTACCTACTGTATGAAAAGATAATTACTTACACATAAGTAGGTACAATTTATGTTTTTTTTTCAATGTCATTGAAACTTTTGCATTATTATCTAAGTAGGTAAGTAGTTAGGTACATAAGTTATTGTCATATTTTTTCCTTGTTTAAATTACACTGAATTACCTACTTACTTTAATTACTGTACCCACTGAGGAATAATTTAAGCCTAAGATGGAATAGCAGAGACTCCACTATTATAAACAATTCGTTCCGACAAGGGATGGACAAAGTTCAACTACGTCTTACCTGTAATAGTTGATTGGTTACTTTCAGCCAGAACAAAAGTGGAAAGTAGACTTGGGGAGCTTACAGAAACAAATTGATGACAAAACTGCAGCCATTGTAGTAATTAACCCTTCAAATCCTTGTGGATCAGTTTACTCCGAGGAACACCTACTCGAAATACTGGACATCGCATCTAAGAACCGTGTGCCCATTATTGCCGATGAAATTTATGAGCATTTTGTGTTCTCAGGGCATAAGTACACGGCTATGTCTGCCCTTTCCAAGGATGTTCCTATTCTTACTTGTAGCGGACTCACAAAGAGGTTCTTAGTACCAGGCTGGCGAATGGGGTGGCTGATTGTACACGATCGGAACAACATTTTTGGGAAAGAAATTCGCCAAGGTTTGAGGAATTTATGCGGTAGACTACTTGGGCCTACAACGTTGATACAGCATGCCTTGCCTAGTATATTGACGTCCATGCCGCAGCATTTCTTCGATGGAGTAATGTTCTTCATAGAGGTAAGTTTTGTTCGTATTTGCTCTTTGCGAGTGATATTATCATCGGTAGATTTAAAATAAATAACAAGGGATAACATGATGTCTGTTTTCAGAGCCAAGCGAAGTTAGCCTGCGAAGCCTTACAGCGGGCACCTGGCTTACGCCCGATAATGCCCCAAGGTTCAATGTACATGATGATAGAGATCAAAGTGTCTATGTTTTCCGAATTTCAGAACGATCTCCAGTTTATTGAACGCTTATACTCCGAGCAGTCCGTGCTCTGTATACCTGGACAGGTTTGTTTATGACGGTCATCGATTCATGTACCTACTTTTTGCTGTGACAGCATGACTAAAAATACACTAAGTACTTACTTACTTAGTAAGATTTATAAAGTATGTAACCTACGAGTATTCTTTGCACTCTGCATTATTAAGGCCCAGTTNAGTATGTTGTCATTTGTTTGTAATAGAAGTCCATTCGTGTTGCTTAAAAGTGGTGTTGCTACCTATTATATTACCAATGTACCTTACATAGATATCAGGAAAACTCGCTTCTGCAATATTCTAGATGCATTTTCACAAAAGTATACAATGTAGTAACCTTTATCACATTTTCCTGAGTTTTTTTATGGAATGAACATCAATAACAATAGAGTATGTTTAAATTGCACTTTTTAGTACTATTTTATATTAAATGCAGCACGTTTCATGTGTTTTATCACATTTCAGTGTTTTTACTATCCGAACTTCATGCGCATTGTACTGACGGTCCCTGAGGAAATTCTGCGTGAGGCGTGTCAAAGGATCATCGCATTTTGCAAGGACCACGCAACACCGAAAGAAAAACACATGGAAATGATTACGAACAAGTTATCGGTTGATAAAGAATGGAGGGTTATTTATTAAGTGTAATATGCCATTAATTCTATTGATTAAAGAAAAAATATGCGTTAAACTTAGCATACAAAAAAAAGAGTACAATATTTCAGGATAGGTACCTACTTAGTATACAAAAAGCTTATTACAAAATCACCGGGTAAGATTCCGGGTGTGGCAAACAAATTTTTGGAAATGTTTGAAAGCAAACTGCAACTTTCTTAAAAAAAAAGAATGTTTTCTTTCAGTAAAATTTTCTATCTACAATATTATGAGTACTTTCCCTAAAGGTACCAACGAATGAAACCCTGTGTACACGCATGCACGAACGAATTCGCAACCGTTTGCAATATGAATGCGAAAAATTATACAGGGTGTCCCAGAATGGGTGAATCAAACTGCTAGGGGAGGTAGCTCTACTAATGTACTATCCTTAAAAAATATGAAAAAAAGCGCATAAGGACACAATTTTTTTAAAGAGAAAATAAATCAGCTTTGCCTAAGTATCTGGCTATAATTGCTGCATTTGGAGTTTATTTGTACTTTTTTCTTACTAATATTAATTGTACATGATCGCTTCGTTTATCTGTAAACAAACTTTTGAAAATAATGACTAGATTTCGAGTTTAGAGCACTTTATTTAAAAAAAATCCGAACCCAATTTTTTTTTAAATATTTTTTAGGGATATTACATTAGTAGAGCTACCTTCCCTAGCAGTTTGATTCACCCATTTTGGGACACCCTATATAGTAGTGCAAAATTTGCACGGGATGGTGGATAAGATACCTAATTGTTTGAATAATTTATTGATTCATTAATTAACTAAGCAAAAAAAGTTAGCTAGGTACAATTATATTGCCAAACCATGTATTTTGTCGACAGTCTTTAATTGTTCAGTGCAGTGGAAAGAGTGTTGAAATATTTAAATAAAAAAAAAACAGAAGTTAAGAAAGTGTAAGTTTAGTTAGACATTCTTCTATTGTAGAGTCACGTTAAAATTACCTATCACAAGCAAATGATTAAAAATTTACATCAGCCCAGTTTAAACAAGAAAAACAGTTGAAACAGTCTCATTTTACCGTTTATTGATTGTTTCATGAAAACGTGAGAATAAAATTTAAAAAATAAAAAGCTTATTATGAGACCACAGACTTTTTATCGGCCGATAATTTGGATGGCTTCTAATTTGCATGAGGAATCTGCCAGTCGGTACACTCGGTGCTACCAAACCCGGTGTAGCTTTACCAAATCCGTGTAGGTACCTAACTTTCATACTTGTTTATAAATAACTGATTGCAGCCCGAAAAATCTATCGGCCGTTAAAAAGTCTGTAATATTAAGGGAATCGAAGAGGAATCCTATTTTCATTTTAATATTGATCAAAAATCATAATAGCGAAGTTTGATTTGATAACCATGGAAATTATTACATTGTCTCCTTTAGTTAAACACGAACAGTGACTCAAACAACATTCTCTTAGCTATGAAATAACGCAAAAATCACATGAGCAATAAGAAAAATGTTTAATGTCATGATATCACATCGTGTCAGTTGACTTGAATATTAGTAGTGCCGTTCGTTGTTGATGTTTTAGGACTTAGTTATTATTGTTCGTATATGTATTTTACATAAATACATATTTAGTTAAAAATTCTAACAGGATTGAAAATAAACAACTGAATAATAGTGTCCTGAATAAATTGGAACTTTTATATTTTTTTATGCATAACAAGATTACAAGACAGATATTGAGGACCTCGCAGGGAGAGTCCCATTGATACCCCACATAAACCACTGGTCGGTCTCCATCGGCAAAGCAATTCCCGACGTAAAAAAAGATTTGTCCAAGAAAAAAAGGTATTGATACCGCAATCACACTTGATTTTATAATATGAACTTTTTTGAAGAGGTTCATGTCATTTGGGTTTGTGTGGTGGCTTCGGCCTTTGTCATATGATAGGACATAATATGCGTATTGCGTAAGCAATATAAAATACATAAAAGCACAAACCATTTGTTTGTAGTTTACATCTGTGTATGTGTTTATATTGAATTCTTAGTTTGAATCTAGCTAGCATACCTAGGCATAACTAGATAATAATATTTATCNGTTTGATAACGCAAACAAATCGACGTGTTTAATGTTATAAGACCGCATTTTGTTTAATACAACCTCAATTTTAAGGTCTACAGGCATTTGAATCATATAGGCCTTATTCCGTGTAGGTGATTTAATAAAGCCAAAATCAGTGGTTTCGTAATTTGCTTATTTTGAATAGATTTAGTTAAAAATTGTGTTATTTTTTGTAATATCGCTAAAATTAAAGGATGGAAGAACTTAATTAACCTTGTTTTTGTTGACTGGCGTTAATATTAAAATATAAGCATTAAAAGTTAGGTAGGCCTTATTTGTATCAAGTACCTTAGTATTTATCTGCTTACAAACAAAACACAATAACATAAACAACATAATATTATTACGTACTTGCATCCTTTGAATCAAACAAGGACTTGTAAGAAGTTTGTTTACAGGCTAAAAATTAAATTAATGTTGCAGGTAATATTTATTATTATATCCTGATGCAGTGATTTCTCAGCGCTTTAATAACGTAATAAAAATTATACCTTGCGCAAATGAGGTAATTTTCTTTTCATAATAATAATAAGTTCACGCGCTTTGAAACAAGTAGGTTTAGGTACTTCTGTATTCTACATTTTTAAGCCTATAAAAAAATATTGAGTGTATTATTTTTACTTATTAGATGATATAAAAATATTATTATACAGGTGCCAATAAACGTGACACATTGCAATTTATATAGTATGTACTTATTTCGCTCGTGAGTTTTAAACTGATATTAATATAATTTAAGTAATCGTAAAAACATATTTTTATCATGAATATTTTAATAGTGAATAGGAGGAATGTTTAAATAAGTCGCTCTACTACCGCACTACCGTCATCTCATCTACATTTTGAAACCAGTTCCGCGGCTCGGGAGCTTGATTCGTCAAACGCCACAGTTCTGATACAAAAGTAAGGTGTATTGGTTCGTGGGCAATATTCTGAATAAACATTTAAGCGTCGCCACAGCTTTTGGTATCCCGCAAGTTTGGTGCCGATGTCGTCAGGTCGATCGCAGGACAAGCGGGCTTGGGAGGTGCGCGCGTCAGCTCTAGCTCGGAATACGCACAATCTGATAAGGAGCATCGTCGAAAATCTGCAAGTAGAGCCGAACCCCGAAAAACAACTGATAGCGCTTTCAGTAGGTGAGTCTGTTTACTAACCTTTTCTCGTATTGTGCAAGTGCGCAGCGGCGTTAAGGATAATGAAAGTTATAGTTGTTTTGATAAAGCTTCTAGAAATGTAGAGATCTTTCTTGTGACGCGTGAGTGAGCGTTATTTTGATACGAAAGCGAAATAAAATCTAATACAATTCTAAATAAAAGTTTTATTAAATAAAAACCTGACGCAATTTTCAAAATAGGTATCACGTTCGAAAATTAGCGCATAAAATTAACAGAATTATTTCAAGGTTAGCGAGATTTTTTGTATTTTGTTACGTTAAAAATATAATGCTACTTATCCATAAAATTTTCGAAAAGGTTAAATAATTTTGTGAATTTCAGGTGATCCAACGACTTTTGGGAACCTAAATCCGCCGGAGCAAGTGATCCAAGCTGTGCGGGAGAGTATAGAATGGCATACAAGTCGAGGGTATGGGTCCATGGTGGGCCACCCGGAGGCGCGCCAGGCGGTGGCGGAGTACAGCGCGCACCAGGGCCCCGTGGCCGCTGAGGACGTGATCCTCTGCAGCGGCTGCTCGCACGCCATCGAACTCGCCATCACGGTTCTCGCCGATTCCGGACAGAACGTTCTCGTCCCCCGACCCGGGTTCATGATATACAAAACTGTTGCCGAAGGATTGGGGATAGAAATCAAGTATTACAACTTACTGGTGAGTGACTACAGTGTTTTATTTATCAAGTCAAATGAGAGCTATTTTTGGTATTCAATCAAGTTCACAGTTAAGACCTACTTATGCTCGCATTCCATATTTGTCAACATTCCTTTAAGTAAATTCTTCATCATTAGCATTACCTTTTAACGGTCGTAAATCAATACCATTTTAAATTGACGCTAAATGTCCATTGAGTCCTCTAATAAAGGTTAGGTCAGGCATATGAAACATGTCTTGACGAGGTAAAAAATGTTATTAATGTGCTGTACCTAGAACATCGACAATAATCAATAGGATGTCACGCGGATACGGTACCCTAAAATTGAGACGTAACGAGGAGTCTCGTCTGGCTAGTGTGTAAATGGGTATATGAGGCGATGTGAGACGAGTTTCTAGATTAAAACGGGTTTCCAGTATACTCTGAGCCAAATTTGCATATGCTTATTTACGCATTTATTCCTTTGTAACTGCGTAAATCCTTGATTAGAGGTTAGGCATAAATATTATTAATATGAATTTCTATAAAATTCCAGCCTAATCAACAATGGAAAGTCGATCTGGAGGATCTAGAAAATCAAATAGATGATGACACTGCCGCGATAGTCGTGATCAATCCGTCAAACCCATGTGGCTCGGTGTACAACAAGGAGCATTTGACTGAGATCATAGATATAGCTTCAAGGAACTGTGTGCCTTTAATTGCAGACGAGATATACGAACACTTTGTGTTTTCTGGCCATGAATTCACAGCTATTTCAGCACTATCGAAAGACGTACCTGTTCTGACGTGCGGTGGCCTTACCAAAAGATTTTTGGTGCCTGGCTGGAGGATGGGATGGCTGATCGTGCACGATCGGCAAAATATACTAGGCAAAGAAATTCGAAAGGGAATAAGCAATCTAGCAAGTAAAATACTCGGACCTAATACGCTAATACAGAGAGCCTTGCCGACTATACTCAAGACCACACCGCAGAGTTTCTTCGATGAGGTTGTCCTTTTTATCGAGGTGAGTGGAAGGTTCCACGCGGCGAGTTAGGGCAGCTGTTATTAACCGGAATTGTGTAGATAAGCCCTTTTTCCCGGTAATATCGAAAGTTTTAGAATGCGTTCATTCATGAGAACGAATGAACAAACAGTATTTGTTTAATTAAACGAGATTTAGATATTAGACGAATTAAAATGTACCTATTGCACAATAATAATACTAATGTTACTCTGAAATTAAAGGAACCGAATCCTCAACAGAGAAAGTTATAAATGTAAATCAATTGATAATACCTAATCAGCTTGATCTTGTTGACCTCTTCTATCCTTTCACAACAGTAAGGTATAATTAAGTAGATAATTATGCATAAAGTAGCCAGTTGTAGGTACTAATTAAAGAGATCCCACTGAATTCTAAACTTTACTTAATAGCTATTATTTATTTCCCAGAACCAAGCTAAGCTGGCCTATGAGGAGCTACGACGAGCTCCAGGGCTCCGGCCCATTATGCCACAAGGGGCGATGTACATGATGATTGAAATAAAAATGGCGCAGTTCCCTCAGTTCAGCAGCGAACTGCAGTTTGTGGAGCGAATGGTCTCAGAACAGTCCGTGTTCTGTCTGCCAGGAGAGGTAAAAATATATAACTATCTATGTATTATTTTCACTCTTTTGATATTACCCGTGTCGAAAACACTGTTAGTAAATATAACAGTTTTAAAGATAACTAGGTAAAAAAATATCTACTCTATCCCTAAACGCAAAATCTTGTGAATTTTCAGTTCCACAAATAGGTACCTAACTAGGTATCTAAATGCGCAAAAAAATGAGCGTAGTCTTTTTTATGTGTTGAAAATGAGCAAGTTTTCCGTTATAATGAAATTGACTTACGTCAATGTTAATTTTGAGACAACACCCTATTAAACATATTAAGTAGGTAGGTACCTAAATACTTTTTTTTTCATTTCAGTGCTTCTGCTATCCAAACTACATGCGCATCGTGTTAACTGTGCCAGAAGACATCATGAGGGAAGCGTGTCAGAGGATAGTCAAGTTTTGCCAAGATCACATCGTGACCAGAGAAAAGCTGAAAGAGATTGACACCAACGTGGTGTCCATGCCTAATGCAACTGAAGTCATTTGCGATGACGCACTGCCACGCGTAAATTAGCAAATTAACGACATTGTTGTTAGATTTTTTTTGTAAATAGCTAAACGATTCAGCACACGGGGATTTTATTTTATTGAATAAATATTTACGAAATATTTTTTTAGTTTTTTTTTGTATAAGTAGATCATCATCACTTACTTATTTGTAAAAAACACGTCAACACTCATGTCGAAGTTTCTGATATTACATATTGTATCAAACTTACAAATAAACTAAGCTATGTCCAGATTAAGCATTAACGTTTTGGAATTTTTAAATTATTAATATTCATTTAATTTCTTGGCGTCTAACTCGTTGATGTCTTTTCTACACGCATCGTTATTATTTAAGTGTTATTAAATGAAATAAGTGCATTTATTTACTTTCAAGTTTGTTTAAGTATGTAATGTAAGTTTATTATTCTTTGAATGATTACACAGACACCGTTAATAATAATGTTGGAATCAGTCAATGTCCGTCATCAAGATTATCAAGATAGAAGGAAGGTGACTCTCATAAAATCAATCTTGCAAACAAATTTTATTGTAAACCGCAGTAAGATTGCCCGAAAAATATGGTCTGGTATGTTTTAGATCATATTCATTAAAAACATTGGAAATACGCTATGCAACTTAGTAGGTAATTATAAACGCAGAGCCTGATGTTCATACGCGACCATCGAACCCGCGATTACTGCCCTATAGTCCGGGGTACGTGAACCATTAGATCATCGGTCGACAATACCAGGCCTGGCTCACTCCGCGCGGTACATCCGATAATTACCTACAGCGAAGCGCCCCGCCGGCGGGTATTATATCAGTCGAGTGTCACGCGCGCTTGTCAGGACGCTGGCGTGGGTTGTAGTATGATTATTCTATGANAATATATAATATTGGTTATGGCTATTGGAGCGGGTACCACTTTCCATACGTTTGTGCCCATCATCCTTTGGTATACTTATGTAAGTACGATGACAATGCAATGTTATGGCTGGTCTGATGATGGAGTCATGAGGTGGGTGGCCATACTAACTCCTAAATGAAACGGCGGCATCGCATCGAATTTGGGTTCGTTTGATTTGTCTTTTCGAGGACTTTAGTACTAGATGATGTCCAGGGTCCTGATGATGGAGTCAGGAGGTGGCCATAGGAATTCTTAAACGAAACGGTGGAAAGTTATCGAGTTTGGGTTTGCTGGATTTGTCTTTTCGAGCACTTTGGTGCTAAATTGTATTGTAATTGAACCAAGGCTTTGAGATTGAGATACTACTAAAAAGTGTAAAATAAAATTAGAATAATTAAAAAACTTTTGAAAAACAAGCTTTTTATCTGAAATGCAGAATTGTACTAAAACGAAAAAAATAATTGTACTTATGCAAGGTTCAAATAATTTCGAAAGCTTGTAGCGCAAACATAAAAGAGGAAAAAATTCCATGCGCGTTACAAGCTTTCGAGATTATTTGAACCTTGCATACAATTATTTTTTTCGTTTTATTATCATGTGTTAACGGATTAACGATTAACGTTAACTTGCGTTAAATCTTCCGAAATGTAACGTTTTAACGTTTAACGAAGTTAATTTTTTTATTAACGGTTTAACGATTAACGAAGTTAACTATTTGATTAACGGTGCCCAGCTATGCTAGTTACTCATAATTAAGTGGGCAAGTCTTGGTAAGGACGAACACTTTGTTGTGTAGGTAAGGCATTTTCGTCAGAAAACATGCTCGTAAGTGAAAATTACGTTTGTAAAACTCGTTTACATTTTTATCGCACATTAGGTACAATAATTGCATATACCTACGTAGTAGGTAAAAAGGCTACAAAGAAAAGTTAAATGTGGGTTATTAAACGGTAAAAAAATTTGTTAACAAAGTAAAAATCGGTACTCAATAGTTACAACGAACTGCTTCAGTTTTTTGGTCTTTATTAACTTGAAGTACTTAACTATATTTCAGTTACTAAATGGTTAATATTAACAAAATATTAACGAAATTAAAGCTAACCAGTAAGGTTATGGCTATGATGCAAGCTGCGAAAAGCTCTTAACGCGCCATTTTATCAATGTTACGCGATAACTTTTAAAGTCGTCTAAAATCAATGATAAGATTTATCACGACGCGCTTCTTAGCCATGTGCGTCCGGGGTGACACGGTTGACACGGTTCCCCCCGGAATCCCTGTCTCATCTGTACCCCGGAATGGTAGGGTGGACCCCTCCCCCCCTCCCCAGGATGTTGGGCTATTGATTTCATGATGGTATCGCCCCCCGTCCCTCTTGGCTGCATAGCATAATGCCTAAAATGCCTTTGCCTTTTCCATTTCCTGCACAACCAAAAAAAAAAAAATCTGCCGTCTTCTAGGCGGGAAAGTGAACGGCCATTNGCGAAGCGTCTCGTGTCGTGTTCAGCAGTTTTGTTTATTTTCTTTTGTGTTTCGCCGACTGTTCGTGAAAGTGTATGAGTGTAGGCAAAACAATGCAAAATAATTTTTCCATAAAGTGCCACATCTTTACTGACTCACAACGCCAAATTCAAGGGTAGCTGAGGGGGTATCATCTACCACCATTCATTTAATAAAAAAACTGTTAACTTGGCTGTATAGTTAATGCCTTTTCCGAAAATAAAAAAAAAACGAACAAAAAACTATTAGTGTCATCACTGTCATCCAGTGTCATTAATGTCATTCTTTCTAGTCTCAAATTGGAATTTATTGGATTTTCAAGACATTTTAATTCCTAATTTGTTGCACAAAAGCTACATAAATATTAAACTTGTAAAATGTCTCAAGTCAAAACGAACAAAAAGTTCAAGTGGGCTTTGGATTACAATCAGAAGTAAGTGTCGTCTAAAGTTATCTAGTCTCGGAAGGTAGGTATGTGATAAATGTAATTAAAATGTACATAATTTATAAACCTTTTTATATTACAGAAATAAAGCTATCTCCGGGGATTTGCCGTCTCCGCCAGGATACAGCCAATCAGCCAGTGCAAACTATGCCGAGACATCCAAAGATACGGATTCTAACCATCTTTTGATCAAGAAATTGTGGGATGTAGCACTGGGACCACTAAAACAGGTGCCTATGAATCTATTCATTATGTACATGGCTGGAAATTCCATCTCCATTTTTCCTATAATGATGGTGGGAATGTTGATTGTGCGACCTGTGAAAGCATTATTTACAACTCAAAGTACATTCAAAATTGTAGAGGGCACACAAGCTGCTGGTCAAAAGTTTGTATACTTTATCGGTAACATTGTGAATATATTGTTGGCTTTGTACAAATGTCAGAGTATGGGCTTATTACCTACACATTCCAGTGATTGGCTTGCATTCGAAGAGCCCCTGACTCGAGTGGAACATATTGGGGGTGGCCTATCTTTATTGTAATAGAATAATTTAAACACATGTATCTGTTTTTAATGCTAATTTATTTAGATTATCATTGTATAAGAACTAATAAACATATTTACAAAATCATAGGATATTTTCTTAAAACTGATTTTCAAAATATTAGCAGTCCTTTCCACCTTTTTTGCCGTCATCTCCTCCTATTTTGGATTTAATGAAAGCTTGTGCCTTTTCAAAAAGAACCTTCGGATCTTCAACCTTGTCAATCTGAAAATAAAACATTTTTTATTACATTGACAGATCTGAAAATCATTAATAGATTGTTCTCCACAAAATTATTACTCCTGGTTCAAAATGTAGGAAAAAAATAAGCAATTGAAATAAAACCAACCATTTCTTTTTATCCAAAACTGTTTCACATTGCTGAGCTGTTTTCTTACAAACATACCCAGCGGCATCCTGCATTAGGAAGAAAGTATATTCAATACTAAATCTAGTGACTGCAAAACACAAACTTAACACACAAAAGAGGCCATACATGTTGAACCAGGAACCTATACATAAATCAAGGCAAGCCTGCAAATAATATAATGCTTGCAACAAAAATCAAAGGCAACTAACGTAAATGGACGACCATAAAATGGAATTAGGCATGGCCTCCTTTGCGACTATAAAATATGCAATTAAAAAGGTAATGAAAGTTGCAGTAAACAGAACGAATTTAGTACTTTGGATTTTACCTGATAATTTTGTGCTATGTATACTCCAGCATACAATCCCGTGCCAAATATTATCTGAAACAATTTTATTTTGAAAAATAATAAAACATGTACCTATGTTTTGTTCAGTCAAAGCCCCAGTAAGCAGGTATTAAAATGATAACCTATTCACTATAAGCACTAAATAAAATTTAAGACAATTTCCTATTGTGCATCCCTCTTTGTTTCCCTGACTGAAATGGTTATGTTAGATTCATAGGTTATGAAACTTACTGATGTTTTCACCAGAGAAAAAAAACAACCCATGATTTATGGGGATTGTTTCAATAGGATATCAGAACTGCTTAACCAGGCATTTTTATTTTAAACAGCATAACCAGCAATTTATTAAAATTCTGCAAAAATCAACATAGAAATAAGTAGTCAATTTGACATTCTAAATTTGAATGATGATTTCATCTGGTTGTCTATTCTTTGACAGATTTTTCTTTACCAGTAAAAAGGTAAATCAAAAAATATTTAACCAAAATGAAACTAAAAACTTTTATAAATTACAAGTTCTACAACTTATTTTACACATTCACATGACTAGGGTCCCTTTTTTCACACACTTAAAAATAGTACCAAAATAACAATGTTTCGCAAGTTGGTACTCAACTTTGACTCAACTATGCTGATCTCTTTCATAATATTGGTAATCGTTCAAGTTAATGGGTTATTTTTATTGATAAACAGTAGAAATTCAAAAGTAATACACTGAATGACTGCAATAATTATTGTAGTCTATCTAATGAAAACTTAGTTTTCAGTACAGATGATAAGATGATATTTTACTAACCAGCCCCTTGATCATTTTGTTAGTTGTGTTCATAGGCTTTTCTGTATTTTCTGAACCACAAAAACCAATTCAATGTAAATTGAACTAATTTTTCGTTTCAATTTGACATTACACAACACCCCTCTCTGACAGCAGACACAGCTGATCCATGAAATGACAGTTTTACTTTTTTATGTTGATACATGCAAAGATGACAATGATTGTACATTTTATTAGTAAGAAAGGCATTTTTTTTACAAATATTAGCAAACTACTAATACTATATTACTATTAAAATAGAACAAATTTTTCTTGCCTTCGTCCAACAGTGAACGTCATTTGGCTGAAACGAACGAACGATGCTATAGATTTATGGTTGGCACCAAAAAGTGTGAATACATGGAGGACAGTTTTTCACAGAATCGGCTCCAAATCAAAAAAGATTTAACATGTGCATTTGGACTTCTTGGCGGGAAAAAGAAGCGTCGTGTTAGCAGTTTTGATTTATTTTCTAAAATTCGTGTTTAGCCGACTAATTAATGGTGGATTATTAAAAGTGTTCCTGAACGTGCATGAGCCAAATGAAACAAAACAGTGCAACATGAGTTTTCAAGTTCCCTCAAGAAGTCCGCGTCCGGTTTCAGTAAAGTGTCACATCTTTACTGAAACTCATGGTGTAGGGGGGATTTTATCATCTCATCTATCATTTACTTGAATTAAAAATACCTACTTGNTAGTTCCAAAATACTGGACTGTCCTGTCGATGACATTGACAGTGGGGCGCCACCGTCAATACCGGATCGCTGGTTCAGATTTTTGCCATGTTGGAAACCATATAATTGAACGATGGTAGCGCCCCCCTGTCATTGAGTTTGGCGGGACAGTTCAGCGTGGGTCATCTATACCTACTTGACACTGGCATCAAGTCGGCCTCGATGAGTATTGCCAAGAAAAGAAGAAGAAGACCATGTGCATTTTACTGGAGGAAGCGGTTTCTTTTTGGGCATATTGTAATTTCGTTACGAAAGCGTTAGCCTAAAGTTTTCTGTACCTCTAGTACGAAAAACTTTCGAGTTCGTTTCGTTGCGTATTCAAAGTGTCATCGAAAAATTTTGTATGAAAAATTAAACAGCGCCCCCTATATTATAGCCGCCCTAGGGGGCGCTGTTTAATTTTTCATACAAAATTTTTCGATGACACTTTGAATACGCAACGAAACGAACTCGAAAGTTTTTCCTACTAGAGGTACTGTTTTTCTACCACTTAAAGAGCTTCAGGAATGTCCCTGAGATAATCTTTTTCCCTGTAGTTACCCATTCATTGACTGAAAATAAAAATAACCAAGGACACAAATAAAAGATAATCGAATGTTTTAAAATAATAGTTAATTTATTTCATTATGGTACTTAGGTTATAGCACTAAATACTTAATTTAATTTTTAATTAAATAACTCAATATTTACAACACTTAACGTAGATTTCATATAAAAGCAGATTTTATTAAATAATTGGATTCAAATTAAAATGTAATATTTGGAATGTATAAATAATTATCATTGGAATTTGTACAATTCTGAGAAGTTATTGATAGCCCATAGTTTACAAATTATGTAGAAAACCCTTTAACTGGTATAGAGAAAAATATTTTTCATTAGTTTTGAACCTTATGTTTTCTCAATAAGGTTCAAAATATGGTGGCAACAATTCTGCCACTACCAGGTAAAGGTTTAATATTAAGGCTTCGCAATGTTTTTAAAACCCTTGCACCCTGACCGATTTTTTAAATTAAATAAACTTAAAAAATTAGTTTAAACAATAAAATAATGAAATTGATGATCCCACAAGTAAAAGTTTTGATGGGCTCACGAAATAAAATTATATTATAACTTAATGAATTAATTACATATAAACAACTCAGGCATTTCTAGACATACTCGTATCATGCAAATAATAACTACAGTGACCCTTCCTGGCGCGCCGCAGTTCAACTTAACTTTACATAATATTGCTTACCTACTTTAACATAAACATTTCCATTTTTACTTCACTTCAAAACACATAAGAGTAGTACGTACCGTGTTAAATGTACAGAGTAATTATTTACAAGAAGAAACAGTGACCAGTGGGTCTAGACAAAGTGCACATTATAAGTAAATAATCGCAAATCAGTCGAAAAATGGTCGAAAAGCCTCTTTTTTGTATGGAGTTATGACAGTTTCGATTTTTGATTCGATCAAAAAGTGCAACTTGTCTAGGGGGGTAGATAATCGAATCGAAATCCCGGTCTAATTCGATGTCTTATGATTAAGGTACAACAGATTAAATTTAATATTCACTCCTATGATAGATAACTCTAAGATAAACCATAATATGCACTGTCTGTCACCACAAATCTACGGGGTACCAAAAAAACGAGTTAATACTTTGCAAAGAGTTTTCAAGACTTCAGTAGGTACCTACAGGTTAGCTGAAACAATGTTGTATTGATAAATAGAATATTTTGGCTTTCAGTCTGTGTTGAGTGCTTATCACCTAAATCTTCTTCCATCACTTTGTAGACTTGTAGAGGCAATTTTTATTATTCAATGATGCAGTTAAAAATACTTCTTATTTACTCTCTTTCACAAAAACTAGGTTTACTAACAATCAGGCAATCATTTTAATACTACATAAGGTAAGTATTACTATTGGACTACGTACAAAAACAACCATGAGTTTTTATCACATTAAACATGTAAAGAGCCTACAAAAAGCCTAAGGTCATTGTTCCGCGCTTCTAAAGAGGTATTGAATCGAGTCTTCGTGAAGTGCAATAAGCAACATTATGATTCCGCCAGCAAGAATACCCAACACAGCTAAAATTAGATTCATAGTTTTACCATGATTGTTCTCATTGATTTCAGGCACTAGATCTGCTAAAGCTATGTAAAAGAATGTACCGGCTGTTGCGGCGTAAATCCACTGAGAGGTTGACTCGTGGTCTTCCGCGAGCCATATCCCACCAGCCATTCCCATAAAACTAAGCACTGAGGAAAGTAAATTGTAATATAGAGCGCGTTTTATTGACATTCCAGAGCGCAGTAGCACGGCGAAGTCTCCAAGCTCATGCGGAAGCTCGTGACAAAATACTGCGAGAGCTGTAGCGAATCCGGTAACTGGATCGCCACTAAATGCAGCACCGATTGCCAAGCCATCTGTTAAGTTGTGAAGACCATCGCCCACGATCACCATCAGAGCAGTCGAGGTCATCGGCCGTTCGACTGGCGGCGGAGGTGATCCAGGCATCATTGCGCCTAGCTCGATGGGCTCTATTTGTTTACTTGAATCTGTCTTTATTTCTTCTACTGACTTGCCTTGGGAGTGGTCATGGGAGTGCGAATGACCACCGTGTATGGTTTGCATTATGGCTTCTACGGTATAAAAAAGCAAGATGGTAAGAAATGTGACACTACATTTTAGTACCACTTCCGTTTCCTCTTGTGGTTCTGATGAGGGCCCATGGGATTTCAGTGCGTGCGGCAGAAGATGGAGCAGTGCATCTCCACATAATGTGCCGACGGCAACTGCCACAAGGAAATGTAGGACGTGGTTGAATATCACCGATTTGAGCATGGGCACTATCGCTACACCCACGAGACCCGTAGCGCTGATGACCAAAATGCTTAAACTCGCGTATATCCATGCTGTAACAACAGAAAGTGTTATTATTTATGTATTCATTGTTGCTGTAGCGTAGTTTATTGTTTACATTAATTAAAACATAGCGTGCATGTCACAAAGTCGTGTCGTTTGAGAAGTAATATCTCATTCATAAACAAACGACTTACTCCAGTGTCTTTCCAGTTTCGGTGCGGGTGCTTCCGTTTTGTAACAGGAGCGTTGATCCAGTTGATAGACGAGCGCTGGACACATCTCCAAGAATGTTTTGGGCTCGATGGTGATGACACCCGGCTCGTTCTCCATTCCGTACACTTCTAAAATTTCTTTTGGTGATAGGCATGACTTCCTCAAAATTGGTTCTCCTGAAACAAAAATGTGTCTTTAGTATTATACCTACTGTCTATTAAAGTATTAAACTCCTCAATCTCGCTGAACTGCGTAACGGCAGCGCTGCTAACCGGAACCTCGTAGAACCAGTAGAGTTAATATTCTAAATGGGACTTAAAAGAGGGCCTTGGGCTCACAAGGGTCGGGACTCGGGTCGAGAGCCGTGTGCGCAGGCGAGCTCTCAGTTGCCTTGCTCGACGTTCTCTCCTAATAGGATAATCACGCGCTCATAAATGGCAATCACACTATCCGTCCGTCTTGTTGTTAGGTATTATACTTTATTGACCTTTTTCAAGATGAAACTCAATGAGATAGGAAATGAAAACATTATTGTGAAAATAAAAACCAAGTAAACCATAAAATAAAGTGTAATCTGTATTCCTATCCAATGATTGCGGATTTAAATAACAAATACCTGCATAGGTATACCGGTCAATACATTCATTCATAGAAGTAGGTAGATTCAACCTCCGGTTGGGTTCAACGAGAAAGTGCGAGATCAAACTGCTGCATCACTTTCTACGAATGCCTTCCACTTGTAACACCGGATTGGAAATATTTGTTATTGTCAATTTATAATTAGCAGTTGAATGCAACAGTATATTTCAAACATTCAAAATCTATGTTAGTAGGTATTGTGCTTATGTAAAGAGATGAGAATTTTACAGTTGACATAAGTTATTGCTATCTAAGGAGGCATGTTCCAAGTTAGATATTACAGTTAGGCAAAAAATGATGTTAAATACAAACTGCGAGCCGCAGAATTGCAATTTATGGGAATTAGTTACACCTTGAAAATAAAATGAGTGGACAGTTCGATTGAGCGTAAAAAATGTTCAGATAGCATAGTAATTTTTTTGGCGTTAGTAAGTTAGAAGATTGCTTCCGCGAATTTATGTAAAAGTAGATGAGGTCACCGGCTTCAATATCATTGGACTCACTTAATACCTACTGGTATTAGATGTTTGCTTCACTAAAATACATAATAATTGAGATAATAGGTGCGATTGTGGTCAAATACCTGCCTTGTTTAGCATAAAAAAAACAAACAAAGCCTTATTAGACTGACGGTGATATCAATACCTTGAAATATAGATAATACATAAGTTGCATTAAAATATTTCCCACTCACAGGACAACTTACGATGACGAATAGCAAATTAGAAATCCTGAGTGATTTATTAGATTAATTAGATCACGTGAAGATTGTATTGCAAATATTGCAATTTGCAACTACATTGTATGAAGTAAATGTCTCTCAGGTGTCTTAGGAGCCTTATCTAGGAATAGGTGCTTAGATATTTTAAGGGGGAAGGCCATTGGCCAACTCTATCACAATGACCACTTCACTCAAGGATCACGGTGCCTAGTCATGAACGAACACTTACTTGAATGAAAAATCATTTCCTCCTTTTCTTTAATTTGCATCTCAAGGGTATAGTAAAAATCGTCAACGAAACCTTGAACAATGTAATTAGTCATTTAATTTTCATAGTACCTGTCTCGTACCTTAGTGTGTCATCATATGTTTTTTGCCTTGTTGATTCGACATTTTGTAAGCAATAGCACAGTGATCACTTGTGTTATTTCCATAGATTGTCCATCAATTGCATTCTATCAGCTGTTTATCGTCTTAAACAAACCTGCGCTCTATAACTCCTTATAGTGCTGGTGATTAAACATGGCAACATTGTTGTGTAGCAAATTAGACTACACATAACTCTCGAAAATTGTGCTTTTTACAACTAAGTAAATAGGCTACAGTATGAACTTTAACGTTAATCAGTGGTTACTTATAACCTGTTTGTTGGAAATTATTATGATTAAATTTCGCGTTTGCCCCAAAGCAGTTAAAGCTTTCCCCGTGCCTATTATTTTCGAGCTTAAAAGCTGGTCGGTGAAGTTCGAAAAACTGCGTCTTTCCTACTTATTGGATTGAAGTCGCCGCGCAGTTTTTTTCAATAACCTACCTAAAGAGAGTTAATAAAGAAGAAGACTTACTAGATGGTGATCTCTTATGCCGGTGCTGCGTGTCGTGAATCTGCTTAAAGGTGCCGTTGATGCGGTGGAGTGCCAGGTCGTGTGGGGAGTTGAACACCTGACCTCCAAGCCCGAGGCTGTCTAGCAGATGTTCGAAGCCCTGTAATAGATGTAAAAGAGCTTTTATTTCATTGTGAAAAGTTCGTGTGATGAAAAGGCACTTAAAATTATCATACGGGAGTAACGGGAGAAAGCTAGCAAAAGAATTAATTTAGTTTTCTTTTCTGTATGACTGCAGTCCTGGTTTACAAATTAACTTTTCTAGTAACTTCAACTCTTCTATACACGTGTTGTATGATTGCTCAGTTAGATGGATGGAATAAGGACCAATGCGATTGTGTTTCATAGTAGAATCACACTACAGACTTTAATAGTGTGATCGACCAGTATGTTTGAGATATTATATCAAGCGTGTGAGATAATGAATTCCTTTTATTACTAAACTATCTCATTATTCAGTGTATCTTTGATCTACATAATGCAGATGTCGCACATAAGACATTATTTTGTCGCAAAATAGCCCTTAGGTAATACAACTAAATAGGTACGTAAGAAGCCACAATGGTAGCTTGACGCGCCGTCATATAAGTTACTCAATGGTAGCATTTTAATCGCACAAATTGTAAAACAAGGAGCAATGCCAAGTTGAAGGTTGCTAATATGATAATAATACATGTTACTTGCGTAGATAGATTATTACTTAAGATATCCTTAATCTGTGTTAAACGCCGCATGCGTTAATTATTTGTAATTGATATAATATTACTTAGGTGTGTCTGATTGTATCGTAACGAATTACACGTCGTGCGTAATGTAGGTATAGTTTTATAGCGACCGCTATGAAACATATGAATTGAGAAAACTTGTCACTTTTATTTATAAATAGCGGCCGCCCGCGACTTCGTACACGTGTATCCCGTTTTACCCCCTTAGGGGTGGAGTTTCGTGAAATCCTTTCTTAGCGGATGCCTACGTCATAACATCTGCAGCATGCCAAATTCAGCCCGATCCGTCCAGTGGTTTTGGCTGTGCGTTGATAGATCACTATGTCAGTCAATCAGTCAGTCAGTCACCTTTGAGTTTTATATATTTAGATATTCTGTGCTTTTATATCTGTTTATAACTATAACAAAAAGCGCCACTATAATTTAGGTAAATAATGAATGTAAAATATTAATACAACCTTATTTAAGTTTTAGTAGTAAAATTAATACCTAAATCGCGCCTGGGAGTGCTGGGTTTTAGCTATACTTAAACGTTTTTATTTTATTACCATTATTAATAAAATATTTGTGCACTCATTTAAATTAAATATTACATAAACTTACAAAGCCTTCAAACTAATTGCACTTCTCATATACTATCACAGTCGCCAATTAAGTTTACTTAATATTATGAATTTTGCAGCAGTAAACTTTAAGCACTCATAAAATCAAGAAATCGATTGTTTTGTGGTATTAATACGTTATGGTATACAAAAATAGGATATAGTACCCACTATGTATAAATGTATAGACTTGGAACTAATCCTACAATAGGGAGACTAAAATATTCATGCTTTTTAGTCAAGTGACATCTGCGACGAATCGCAATGCCAGAAGGCCTCGTATTGATATTTGAGCGTTGCGAAGTAGTGGAGATTGATAATTACCAGTAGATAATAATGTTTTTTCCCCATTTTATTAAAAAATCTATCCTCATCCAGGTTGACTGGAAGGGGTCGCCTCCTATTGAAAAGACTAAATTGTTCTGTTGGAACTTTTAGTTGACAGTTTTTGTGTGGTGTACTTAAGTACAGCGTCAGTACAGAGACTATTTAATTTTGTTGATGTCACAGTGTTGTTTATCTTAATGTCCCTCTAAAAACATAGTTTTCATCTATCTACTTATATTTTCAGGCTAGTTGCGGTACGCTTTCTTTTACAGATACATACTTAAGTAGTTTATACCTCTGGAAATTTTTCTGTAAAAGATTGTTAACTAATACACATGTCGCATACGAAATATAAAGAATACTTACATTAACTATTTATCATGACATCCTATTGAGTTAAGAAGACTAATATTTTGGCGCCTGAAAGTTTTAAATAATTTCATAATGATTTTTTTTTATTTACCTTGACTTTACACCTACACGCTATTTCCAATCGAGCATGCAATATTTCCACGTACGATCTGATTATTAAAATATTTGAAAACATAAAAGTGAATAATTGTTTGTCACGGTTGACTCGGCGATTAACTCGTTCGGCCGAGACAGCGAGCATTCTACACATACATATTTACAAATAACTAAGTAAGCAATGCAGCGCAAGTCGAAATGACCGGACCAGAGCGAATGCGCTAGTTTTATCATGCAAATAAAGTTAAGACGTCTGAATATTGTGTTGATTTTTAAAAAACAATGGAGTAAATTACTGTACTCGTAGTTTGAGATAGCGTTGCCATGACTTTTTGACAGTTCCAAGGGTAGTCCCTTGAATAGCCCATATTAGTCCCAAAAAAGGGATGATGACATCACACGTAGGTACATTTATCCCCGGTTAGTTTCAGATGCTACTAGTAGGTAGGTAGGATGCTTATGTGTGAATCCAATTTTCATTACAGGGGTCTGAGTAGCACCACTATAATATCAGACGGACTGAGTAGTCTAGACTCCTATTATGAAGACCAAAGTCAGGAGTTGTTTATTACAATAAAATAAATAAGTAAAGATAATTGAATGAAAGTTACACTAAAACTATTTATCGATCATCTGTGTCAATATCGATAGGTTTGACGTCCATACTAATAAGTAGTAGGTACTTACTTAATTTTAATCGAACATAACTGTACATTACAGTCATATTTATAGATGAAAATTGCTTGCAATAATCATACAAACAAGTCGTATAATACCGATCGTTTTGAGCAATACCCTCCTGTTCATTTTATGTTCGCTCCGGTGAAACATCTGTCGAGTTATGCCCGTGTTTATCTTTTCTGTATGTGAACAATAGTCATGAGGTATAATTTTTCGCAGTTTCAATAGTCTAGAAATAAAAGGAATTGGGCTTACAATCGAGTTACGCAGTCCACGATGAGATACGAGTACTACGATATCCGTAGCTACACCGAGCACGATTCAAAAATGTTTGATTTATTGCGTTACAAAGGTCAGAATCAGAACTATAAACGTTTACCTACGCTATGAATTAAATTGTCCTTAAATATATTTTATCTATTTAGAATATTAAATTGTGAATTAAAACTAGTTAAAAACTGTTAAAAACACACACACACACACAATATCCCTATACCCTATTAGATAACGACAGCATTTAAATCAAGTTAACTTTGAAAAATTATGTAACGACTTAAATCATTAAACAGCCAGTCAATTTCAGTGTGACTTAAAAATGAATTTCATGAATTTTACAGAAACTTAAGAAATCGCTGATTGCATAATGAAGAAATAGCAAAATAACCAAGGTATTAAATATGGTACATTATGGTAAAATACAATTCATTACGTTAAAATTATGGACTACATAATAATAATTACTTATTATACTGAAAGCAAAAATCTTTTATGTCGTCATAAAAGTAGAAAATCATAATTTATTCATTTTCAGAAACACTTTGTCAGTGTTTTCAGATGAGGACTATTGTAAGTTAAATAATTCATTTTACTAATTAAGTGTCTGTGTACTTCTATAAAGATTGGATAGAAACATTACTGAATATGAAACGAACAAGATAAAAGTCGCGTGTTTACATGATTAAGATTACCGAAGAAATCTCTCTATCGAATGCCTACAATACCGATCGCACTGCACGCTCCCTTTTTTCAATACTGGTTGTGATATCGAAGTGACCATAAAGAGTATCTAGGGCGGAACAATTTTATTAAGTTGTCGCGGAGACTCGAATCTGCGCCTTCCGCAATGCACTACGAGACCAACGCGACCCATTACCGACTTGTTGTATAAAACCCCACGCTGCAATCGAAGAATCGTGTTTATATAATAGTAGACTATGCGCAGAGACCTATTCAAATGATCAATCAGACAAATAGTACACTAAAACAAACCAAACTTCAGTTCGTACGGTGAAAGAACAATGATTCTTATGTTATGAGAACCTACCTGTTTCCAGCATAACTAACTCATGTTATAATACAGGAAATACAACCAAACTAAGTCAGTCAGTAGTAAGTACGATAGAAATCTATATATATTGGTTAAATAACCAAATAAAGATAAGCAGGTACCTTTTCGATTTTGATAAGGAAACTATCATTTATTAAACTTAAAGTTCATCGAACTTCCGTTTACGAAATAGGGAAAGGTGTGATTGGAAAATTTTATATGCAATTGAAAATTTTCCTCAAGATTGATTACAAGAAGTTGCTTTGCATAAAAGCATCAAACGTGAACATCAATTTTATCATGATTAAATAATCAACTCGCGATAAGTTGTTATAAACAAATTGAATTTAAAAATTTACAACATGGTCTTAGATAGTGTTTTTAGACATTGCAAAATATTTTTACTAAAGAAGATCACTCACCTCGAATGTGATGACTCCTCTGTCACCGTATTTGTCGAATATTTTGTCAATGAAGTATCTTTCGGCGTCGAGGGTTCCATTGACGCCGTAAGTGGTGTTGGCGTCCAGTGTGTTATTGGCATCGCGGTCGGAGGATGCGACGCTGACGTCGCTGGCGGCGGTGGCGAGAGACGCCACCAGGGCTACGACGGCGCAGGTCGTGAGCATGGTCGCGACTGAGCAGGCTGCGCGCCCGCGCCGGCGCCTCGCACGCTATCAGCGGCCCGCGCGGCGACTGCGCCTCCGGCTTCGCGCACGTAACAATGACACGACTGCCAGCCCGCGCAACTGCAGACTCCTCGCGCTGTTTTGTTTGTTTATTTTCGAGATAATTATCAGCGAAATCGCGTTTAGTTTGTTGATAGCAATAGCAAGCGTGCTCGTTTCTTGAGTCGAAGTGTGCGTCTGAGACTTTCACCCTGCGCTCGCTGGACTCGACTAGGCCGGTTTGACACCGTTACTGATAAAATAAGTTGTATTATTTACGTAGTGGCCGGCCGATGCGAACGATTTGCGAATGATTGAAGTGTCGGGTTCAAGGTGCGCACATGTCATTCATGTTGCCGTTCCATTTGAAAGTGCACCTAGCGGTTCATAGCTCAAGCTAAGTGAATTAGTATGAGACACTTGTGAGAGAACTGGTTTAAAAGCCCCAATTTATCCAGCTATGAAAACACATGTGGCGCAGATATTTGCCTACGTCGGTTTTATATCTACTTGAAGACTGTTGACCAACGGTATCAATAAGATCGTTTAGGACGTCCATATCAATTTTATTGTTGATCGAGACCGCGCCACGGTGTCATTTTGTGTACTTGTAAAATAGGTAGGTAAGGATCGCATGAGGTTATGATCAAATTTTGTAAGGGACAAATTAGTCGTATACGAGTTTCCCGTCCCCCAATAGCCGACGTCTTTCATTGCTGGATTATAGGTATTTTTCTTACCTAGGTATACCACCAAACCTCTTCATATTTTTTCCAATCCCTATTAGCATTTCCAGCCTGAAACTGGATATCAATCTTAGCATAAAGTACCTAGGGACTTTGTTATTGTAACTTAAAATTTCTCTTTCGTAGAGTTCGAAGGTGAGGTACACGTAATACGTAGCTTATAATAATATGGTATCCGCGTTTAATTGCCAAGTCGGATCTCCTCTTCATAGGGTCATATAGGTGACGAAGTAGTGTTGTCGACAAAAGATGATTTAGAGATATATTTAAAATACATATTTAATATTTTATAGCACTGAAAACATTACTTCCTAATACAAATCAACATAACTAACATAAGTAGGTATTATTGGTAGTTTCAAATAGGTATCGTAGGTATGAACGATTATGGTAAATTTTGATTTGATTTGACTTCTAATTTTCATATCACTCCAGTAATACTTATACGCAGCTGAAGTAAATGTAGCGTGTCGTTTAGCGCTGTAAAGTCATAAAAAGAGTTATTTTCCCGCTTTTTAATCGTTACCTAATTACTAAAACCATTTTAATTTACAACTCCTTGTGATGAATTAGTAAATACAATATCAAAAAAACAATTTATTCGTTAAGTACATAATTAACATGCAAATAATTAATTGATAGCCATTAATAAAATGAGTGAACCACGAAAGTCGTTGGACCTAATTTATACACACTAGGAAATTGTTTAGTTTTTGTTTTAAAATATTGAAAAAGTACTCTCAGATGGGACTTGAACCCATAAGTTTTCACTTGCATGTTACCATGAAATGGAAGTAAGAAATACAAGGCAACTAATATGTACTACAAGCCACGCTAGACAATTTTAAAAATTATGATTTCTAAGCATCAATTAACCGGAATATATGTGACAAAGAACTATTATAATTTTAATAGACTGATGATTTATCTCATTTGCTTTGTTGCAAATAACGAGGCTAGTTTAACTCTTAATTTTGGCGAAGCAACGCAATCGTCAACCAAAACACGCATGCGCGCGATTAGTATTCACAAGGCGTGGGAGAACGTGCGCTTCCTACAATAGCGTTGTAGCAGCTTCTTTGACAAAAACTGCAAGGTGTTTCCCAGGAATTTCACCTATTTTAGTACTGAAAAGAAGTAAGAAACCTAACACAGCACTCAACATTTTGCATACTTTTCCTTGTAATTTTGTGAATTTACTCGTACTTACCTACTTCACTAATTACTTTTAAATAATTAATAAACTTTTGTGTTTCTGTACAATATTTCTACTGAAACAAACAAGGAATTGTGAGAAGTAACGACCGACATGTTGCAAGGTCAAAAAATAATTTTCCAATTGCAAATCAAAGCATGAAACATGCTTGAAACAAAATAATGTAGAGTTTGGAGCATCATAACATAAAGCCAGTACTAACTACTTGCCATACCGTTGAGTTTACGTAATTATGTAGAAAGTGAGTGCGCTTTACATCACTCATTAAATATACAACGTCACTTAACTGCTGATTATTACCGAAAGCGACAATGTTTACTATAGTAGTTGATATTTTTTTTATTGTAAACACATTTCGTTCGTAGTATCGTAGCAGATTGAGATACGCTGTCGTCATTAACAATGATATTATTATCGCTAATAATTATATTAAGAAAGATGCAGGTTATGGCGCGAAAGAGCTGATCTTCCCTGCCCTTTTGTCCCTATGTCTGAAAGTCCTCCACCTGGACATGAGCTCCCCTGGCTTACCTGGAAGTCTTTAAATAGACTTTGGACGCAGGTTCGCCGTTAGTAAGGACAATCTGGTCAGGTGGGGATTCTTGGATGGCTTAAACATGGAGTGCAGGTGCGGTTTTGTTTCCCAGTCGATGAAGCACCTGATTTCGTGCCCTGAGTGCCCAAGCAACTGCACTCAGGAGGATTTGATGAGTGCTGCTGACAACGCCACTCTCGTGGCGGAGTTTTGGGCTGACACTGTGTAGGTTTGTTGTCGACACGAAAAGAAGAAGAAGATCGCTAATAAATAGCCATTGGCACTCCACCTTGCTTCCCGAAACTTCCTACAACCCCATGCTGCTCTACAAAGTTTATATTCTAGCTTTTTTCATAAAATATAATCATCATCATCATCATTTTCAGCCATAGGACGTCCACTGCTGAACATAGGCCTCCCCCAATGATTTCCACAATGGCCGGTTGGTGGCGGCCTGCGCCTTCCCGCTACCCTTATGAGGTCGTCGGTCCACCTTGTGGGTGGACGTCCTACGCTGCGCTTTCCGGTACGAGGCCTCCACTCCAGAACCTTATCACTCAATGCTAATCGAGCCAGTCAGACAAATGGCNTTTTCCATTCTACAACTCTATAAAACTATTTATGGATTGTTTGGTCATTCTTCGAGTTATGTAATACAAGGAGCTTGACTAAATATAACATGCCTACCTCAAATTGCGCTATCCGCCTCTCAATTTGTATCCCCTTCGTACGTCTGTTGTTTCAAGGCACAGAAGACCATCTAGTAGAGATATTAACCATTTTTTAAATTTCACTCAATAAGTATAGTTGCTTACTTTTAATATTTTTTTGTATGGAACATACCTGAAGGATCTTAATTTGCATTAGGCTAATAAACAATTAATTTTATTTTTTTTACCTCACCCCAAATAAATAGAGTGCTTGGGCAATGCCCAGATATACTGGTCACTAATTACGATAAAAATCAACCATAATTAGAATGGAATTAGTTTGCTTTGAACACAGTTATCAATGTGTCGTAAAATTTTATTTTCCGGAATTAGCTTTGATAGCCTTCAAGTGTTTATTTCAAAGATACATAATTTAATAACACTCCGATGCAATAAATTATAACTTTAGAGATTTATAAGACTAGGTAACTGTCAGGATACCTAGTGGGTACTAGTGGACAGACGATTTGGTGAAGGTCGCGGGAAACTGCTGTATGCGGGCAGCACAGGGTTGTGGAAATCCTTGGGGGAGGCCTTTGTCCAGCAGTGGACATCATTTGGCTGAACCAGACGAACGGAGTAACTCTCAGAAAAACTGAAAATGTAAAGACCACATTATGTATTCAGATTCACATCGCAGACATTGAATATAAATGTATAAATTAATTATTAATGAAATGCACAATGTAAGTAGGTATGTATTACCGTGAGCGTTTATGATTATTTATTTATTAATATCTTTATTTTATCACGCCACGTGTAATAATTGCAATTCTGCCATTTGCCTTTGCTGGTACCTTAAAAGAAAGTGCAGTGGGAACCTAATGATGATGATGATGAATAAGACATGATGTTTAACTAAATTGAGTACATAATTAAAAAAAAAATGAAGAGTCTTTATTTTTTAGCCAGACAAAGTTTTCATGGAAGTTTACGACGATATTTATTAGGTACTTAAAAATAAATATTATTTGAGCAGACACATCTATATGTATAAAAGAAAGTCGTGTTAGTTACTTCGCTTATAACTCGAGAACGGCTGAACCGATTTAGCTGAAAATTGTCAGGGAGGTAGTTTAGAGCCAGGAGAAGGACATAGGATACTTTTTATCCCGTTCGAAACAAAAAAAAAGTCTGCTTATTTATTGCCATTAAGGCGGAACAAAGTTCGCCGGGTCAGCTAGTTTGAGATAAAAAGTTTCCGTACGTGAGTAACTTGTTAACTATTTTATTGCTACAGCCGTAGCTAAAGTAGAGTCTATTTTTCTTTACTATTTGGCTCCACTCTTTGTATGTACTTAAGAACTTCTTAAGTTTTGTTTCATGTTGCTGAGGAAAATATGAACCGGTAGCGATAGTGTACCAACATCAGCTTATAGTAATCTTATCTATAGCCTATTAATATTATGTCTTATAGCCCCGATAATTAATTTTGGATTGAACTTCTTGGAACTACATTAGACATCCAATAACAAGTTCGATGCGAATGATAGCGAGAGATTACAATGATAACCTTAAACTTGTTTCATGAAATTATATTGCGATTTCGTAACTTGGGACGAAGTTGAATGTTTTCCTCGATCTAGATGTGGAAAAGGGAAGCAAAATTTCCTAACAATGTTTTTTGAACAACTTTGTTCAAAATTGATTTCTCACTCTAGTAAAGTAATACAATAAGTATTATTTTGCGTAAACGTATTATGAAATTAAAGCACAATCGCGTAAGATTGTGCGATATAAGGACGAAGTAAATAATAAATTCAATAAGATATAATCGTGTGAAGTAGATACCTAATCGTCTCTTTTATTTACTTACTGCACCCATAGTAAACATTCCTACCGATTATTGCTATATCGACAAATACTTAAACATTCTGGAAAAATATTTATTCAAAGCTTAATTTGTTACGACTATAGGACATGTATCTTATTAGTTTTTGGTATGATCGTCTGGGATATACAGAAGAGACAGCACTTTTTAGTTTAGGTATTTTAGGGTTCGTGAGGTTAACGGGTGGAAAACTTTATACTTAGCTTAACACTTCGATTAATTTGTTAGCCAGAAATGCTTTGATTGAAGAAGTTATGCCCAATGTTGTATATTAGTAGTAATAGATGCAATTATCTACAGCAAAACGCATTGTGTAACTGATGTACTGTCGACTGTAATAGTTACATTTCTGTAATACCATAGGTCGTTTGCTTCCTGTCACAAAAAAAAGGGTACCAAAAAATCCATTGTCACGAAAATGCGCTAGCGAAGTTGGTTTGTTTGTTATAAGTATAAACTTAAATTCACAACATAACAAAAACAGTAGGTAACATGCCTCCGAGATAATTTACTTAATTAACTGCAACCTCAAATCTATGTAAACCATTTAAGCGAAACTGTTTGAGCATATGCGTAAAGAGTAATGAATATGAACAACTAATTTGGTGATTAGTGGAACGGTTCTTTTGTAAAACCAACAGCAAACGCTGCGGATTTGAAGCATGTTTGGTCAATATTTGCGAATTGCTTGCCCTAAGACAAGGAAATTCGCGCGCAAATGATATTGGTGGACACGTACCAGTTCCGCGACGATTACAAAACTTCAATTTGGCCAATTTCCTCGGTTGGCGTACAATGGTCGCTGGTCACAATACCAAAATGTACGTGCCAGTGCGACACGAGTTTGCACGCCGCAGACGTCACGCATCAGCGACGCTGGTTTTTGGACAAAACCAATCTCTACATGACCATGATGTTTGTGTCATGCTTGGTTTCTGCGAATTATTTATATTTTAGACATAACACGGAGCCTTTTATTTTCTCTCACAATGTACCTGGTATATTTTTTGATAACAATACTTAGTCAAAATGTTGTTACTAAGGCAATAATGCAGATAGGCAAACATAATATTGTAATTACCATTATTTTCTCCAAAATAATAACCAATTTGGTTAGTTCATACTAATGTAGTAGAGACGACTTCGTCAGCTACCTCTACTATTGATACTTTGATTCATCAACTCCATGTTATTGAATGAACCTGAGGTAGAAAATACTATAATACTATTGTTACAAAATACTATAACATTAAACTAGCTGCACTGCAAACAATTTTGTTAATCACACATAATTTTCTAATCATTATCGGCGTCTTGTGACATTGAAATTATTGTTTAATTCTTATCGGAGATAATAATATCATGAATAAATATTTTTATCGTGCAATACTTGAATCTTAAAGCTTTTTGAGGCGCAGTCTGAATATCACGGGCCGTCAGGCTCTACAAGTACCTATCCACTTACTGAAAACACCTGGAATGTTAATCATAAACAAATAATAATGTTTTATTGACAGATGATAGGTATTTTTCCAAGTAATCTGCCTGCCCCTAGGATGCACTTTAATTTATTTATTTTATTTATGTACCTACCTAAATGCCAAAATTTGGAAATGCCAAAATTTGGAAAATGTAACATTTGTTATATTTGTAACGAGCGGCCGCCCGCGACTTCGTATGCGTGGATCCCGTTTTACCCCCTTCATCTATCTTACGCGGTTTAGATATTTTCATACAAATGTTTTTTCCCGCTAACTCCCGTTCCCGTGGGAATTTTGCAATATCCTGTTGTAACTAAGCTTTAAGTTTACTAAGGTACCTGAATGCCAAATTTCAAGCGTCTAACTTAAGCGGTTTAGATTTTTCATACAAAAGGAATTTCCCGCTAATTCCCGTTCCCATGGGAATTCCTAAGTATACTATAACCTGCCCAGGAGTATGAAGAATAATTGTACCAAGTTTCGTTAAAATCCGTCGAGTAGTTTTTATTTATATAAGGAATATACAGACAAACAGACAGATAGACAGAAAAAAAATTTATTGATTGCATTTTTGGCATCAGTATCGATCACTAATCACCCCCTGATAGTTATTTTGATAATATATTTCATGTACAGAATTGACCTATCTACAGATTTATTATAAGTATAGATAAATATCTAGATAGGTATCGATTCGATAAGTTGTATGTATGATTTCACGATCATAAGTAGAAATCAAGTGGTTTATAAATTTTTCAGACTGCAACAGGCTCTAGACTCTGCAGTATACAGAAGCAGTAAGCATCAAGAATTTGGTTAGGCAGTAAGTATTGTTTATTTTTTTCCGGTTTTTTCACAATGTACTTACTTAATGTTGTTTTAGAAAATAACGCCGATATTGTGTTTCGTTTTCAGTTTAGAATCTTCTATAGGTAAATGCCATGGAACCAATTTTGGTAAATGTTGGTTCAAATGTTAACTGTAATTTTTTCTTCTAACTCAGCACGTTACAATTTCGTGGTCTAGTGGTTTTTATTACTCTAAATTTTTTAATTCCAAGAATATTTGATGTTGTGCCAGAGTCACGATCACGATTGGCAAAGAATAGTGATGCTATTTAGAAAATTCATGCTGTGTGTGCATGTTATCTCTACGTAGGTTGAAAATGAAATATTTTCTCACTACATTCTGGATATTACTTAGATAGCCTCTCATAGAGGCAGCGGAATTAGGTAGAATTTACATCCTTGGTTAATTCATCGTAATGGTTCATGTCAATTTTCTCACTTTATCACTCCTAAGTACACAAGTATTGTTTAAATCTAGTAATCGATGTGATTAGTTATCAGCTTGTTTATTTATAAAAGTAATTGTGTCTACTCATGTGAGATTTACTCATGTTCGATACGAATTGTTAAAATATAAACATCTTCAACCTTTTTGAAAGCAAACGATCTTTCTAAGTTTTAAAAATTGTTTCTGAAAACTTTTTTTTACTGAAATGAATTTTTACACAAGCGAAGATCTCCCCTATAACAGTTCTAATTCAATCATTACTTGGCTCCGGGAAACTAATGTAATAGAAAAAGTATCATGAAAATTCCTTAAATTTTCCGCATTTCTGACAAATCATTATACGACTATGCTGGATTAAGTTCTCAAACTAATATTCTTCAAAAACAATTTGAACGCTATCCAATCTGTAGGCAAAGGCTTGCTTTGGTTAAAATAGATAGATAGTTGATCAATGAAATGTTTGGCGACCAACATTCGATTCTAGAGGTTTTAAATTGCGACAATCATTTTTATCCTAGGTTTGGACGCAAAATGACGCAACAGGTATTTGGAATTCTTTTTAGCTAATAATGACAATTAGGCTCGAGTTTGGGGCAAAGGTTTACGGCCTGACAGCATTTTAGTGGCTAAGAAATCAGAAATTCAGTTAAAAAATAATGATATATTTTATTTTGTAAAAATTTTACATGTTAACTTGTGTTCAGATCGACAATTCACAAATAGGCACGTAATTAATCCAATAACCACGACATCTGATCAAATAAAGCTATCAGAAGCGCTAATTAATGCAAATGATTTATCTACATTTCGGTTTCGTATTTAATGTTTATTATTAAAAACTTAACTTAAGATGCATAGGAATCATAGTCATTAAAGTATAAGACAGATCATTTATCGTAAAGCACAGCGCTCACTAATATATAAGTTACTTATAGTAAACTAATAGATTGAATAGAACCACTCTGAAGTTAGTTTGTAAGATCATAATTCCTTGGAGTTTTCTGGCAAGCACATGAATAGTTTTGAGCAGGTGATGTTGAAGCTATTGCAGGCGGATTCGAGCCATTTGAGGTTGTGTTGCCACTTTATGAAGATGTAGTAGACTGGGACGCCGAGGGCGATGAAGGCGATGCCGACGCCGACCTCCTTGGGGTGGTTGAAGCAGGAGCAGATGACGACGAAAGTGCAGATGATGAGGAAGGCGATGGGGAGGACGAGGCTGACTCGGATGGGGCGCATCAGTAGCGGCCGCGTGTGCCGCATCCACAGCAGGCCTGCCACTGAGCACAGCGTGAACAGCGCCTCCACTGACGTCACGTACACGATTAGCGACTCCAGGTCGCTGGTCAGCAGCACGATTAAGGTGACGAGACACTGGAATAGACGATTTTATAGTTAGTTTAATTTTGAAAAAAAAAAGGAAGTATGAGTTAGGAGATTTCAGGAAACCAGACCGGAACAGATCCAAAAAAACAATTATAAATGATGATTTGGGTGAATATCCCAAACACGTTTTTTACGCGGCGGAGCTGAGAATCGATGGGAGAAATGTAACTAGAGCGATGATTTTTTTTCTGTATATAGTTTATACAGCGTTTTACACGATAGCAAAGTCTTCAGGACAATAGGTAGTTATTTTANGGACGTCACGTACACGATCAGCGACTCCAGGTCGCTGGTCAGCAGCACGATTAAGGTGACAAGACACTGGAATAGATAAATTTATAGTTAGTTTGATTTTGAAAAAAAAAAAGGAAGTATGAGTTAGGAGATTTCAGGAAACCAGACCCGATCAGATCCAAAAAGACAATTATGATTTTGTAAATAGCAGACCAGCATGTAATAAAGAGACGTAATAAGTAATCATAATGGCCTCAATGTACACTTTGTTCAGCTGTGACTACTGCAAAATTTTAATTCAATAAGACTTGAGACTTGACTACAAACAAATATTATTTGGAACGAATACGAACGAATGAATAAAACGCCCCATAAATGCGAATCTATTTATAATAAGTTTTTAATATCGATCATAAGCTTTTAAGAGAAAATACTGCATTAACATCATCAAGTTCTTGATTAGAGACTCAATTATTAGAAAAATGCAAAATATTTTCTGGCGGTTTGGGAAACACAATACTGCACCCAGCTGTATAATGTGCGTGTGAGCTGAAAATGCGCCTTACTTAAAAGTGTAAGCACGAACGCGACAACTCGAATCGTTTCGTGAACACTTGTTACAAGACTTTCAGGCGTTTACTAACCCACCTAACTAGCCTGAGTTTCTTAATTGCATCAAATTCAACTTAATTAATAAAGAATGACACACTGATAAGAGTCGTAGGTAGGTATTATGTTAAATTGTCCTTTTTGGAAATTAATAACGTTGTTGATATCGTTTCACAATGTGTGCTACCTATCCTGCTTCTTTTTCAGTTCATATTCACGAATAATCACTGTAAATTATTGTGGCTAATGCTGCTGAATTTACTATCATCATCATCATCATCATTTCAGCCATAGGACGTCCACTGCTGAACATAGGCCTCCACAATGGTCGGTTGGTGGCGGCCTGCATCCAGCGCCTTCCCGCTACCTTTATGAGGTCATCGGTCCACCTTGTGGGTGAACGTCCTACTATAGAAGACTGAAACAAAAGCTGGTTTTTTCTCAGTTTATTGGTAGAAATCGTAATTTTTGACGTTATTATTTTGTAAAAATTGCCATTTGTGAATCAAATCCGGTAAAGTAACTTTTTCAACCAAACACTCAATTTAATAAATATATCCCGGTTCCAAATTAAATTATCCTGCAGTCACCGTCGTAGTAGCAATGGTGTAGCTACGACTGTCTACGAGCCGTAACACTAGTTGGCTACGTCTGGACTCTGGCTACGAGGAGTTATGACTTGCTACGAGTAGTCAGTTTAAGCCTAGGCGCAGACCACCGACTTTTAGTTGGCCGATTCAAATTCAAATTTAAATTACCCTAGCGACCCCGTCGTAGCATTGGTGTAGCTACGACTTAACACTAAGAGTAGGCGCACACCGTTGATTTTTAGTAGGCCGATAGTTGTGCCCGATTTTAATTTGTATAAAGAATCGACCAAATCGAATCGGCGTAGTGTGCGCACTCCCATACATGCCCATACTGATCAACTGCCCGACTAGACTATCGGCCGACGAAAAATCAACGGTGTGCGCCTACTCTAATTGGTTACGTCTGGCTACGAGGAGTTACGACTTGCTACGAGTAGCTAGTTTAAGCCTAGGCAGGCGCAGACCACCGAATTTTAGTTGGCCGATTCAAATTCAAATTACCCTAGCGACCCCGTCGTAGCATTGGTGTAGTAGGCTGTCTACGACTACGACTGTCTACGAGCCGTAACACTAATTGGCTACGTCTTTAGTTTTAGCCATTTATTATGCATGCTGCCATTAGCAATCTTTATATGAATAAATCCTGGCACCCATAAAGATTAATTTTCTTAGAAGGTATTTTTGTATCAGGAACTGTCGATTCTGGTAGTGTATATTTGTACTGGCATTATTTGAAGTTGAGAAATATTCCTGATTAATTGAAAGGAACTAATTATCACATTTGATTACAGAGTAGTTGAAATACTTCAAAAGTTTAGATGTCATGTTCATAATCGAGTTCATATTACCATATCGTGTGAGTTCACACACGTTCCTTTATGGAAGAGTGGCAACTGATGAAAAGTCGTAAAACATCAATCTATGTACTAACATGTTATCGGATTGACGGCTTTATGGCAAACTGGCATAACTTTGAATTGCGAGTATTTACTTCTTACGTAAGAATTCAGTCGTGTGTGTACACAATAATTTGACAGGTCTACCTAATAAATCATTCAACAATGGTACGGTGGGTCATTCTCCCGGTGCCATTGTGTTACGGGGTTACAGTGGAGCGTTGGTGACTTGGTGTCATATATTTTTGATTGACCTCACCAATTAATGTAATATTGTGGCCATTTTGTGGCTCACTAAATCGTAAAGTGAACCCGCGTCCACTATGATAACTTTGAGTTACACGGCAGCCTTTTTCAAAGAGGTTATTGTTATTTGTAAAACAATAATCTTTTTCTTCTTTGCCTGGCCCATTCTCATTTTATTTGGGGTCAGCCCTCTGTATCGTCTCCAGGCGGCCCGGTCATGGGTAGTCTCACTGTTTACTTAGGCCTCTTTAAGGTTTTTAAGGATTTGTAAAACCATAATCATCTAATATAATTTAGGATTAAAATAAAGTAACTCCTTACCATAAATATCAACGAGGGCACTGGTGTCAACCGCCTAACATCGATAAGCGAGATCGCGAGCGGCAAATGGCCATTCCTGGCTCCGACAAAGAACAGCCGAGAGGACGCGTAGATGGCGCCGTTAAGCGAGCCGAAGGTGCACATTGCCACGAACAGAGGCATGATCCAGGCCACCACTCCGAGGATCTTCTTGCTGAACGTCACGGCCACGGCCTCTGAGGACAGGATCTCGTCGTTCGTCAACACGGCGAAGTAGGCCACGTTGGTCAGTGCGTACACTAGTGTCACGACTGGCATTGAAATGCAGATGGCGCGGGGAAGGTTTCTGGAATAAGAGATTATTTTCATTATACACTCGGCATCAAATAAATCGCACCTCCCGCGACAAGCACTTATCAAACGTATGCATCCCCACTTCCCACCAACATTGGTACCATTTGAAAGCCTAGTTTTAAACTTCATTTCATTAAAGGAAAGGTTTTTACTCCAAAAATGTGTCTTTACAAGGATCCAGAGTCACTTCTTCAAAAAATAGGTAGTTACGCTATAGCCATTTTTTATGACTATAAAACTGTTAAGTTGGGATTAATCGCTATCCATCTGTTAAAGAGGACACGTGAGATCTTCATTTGGTTTTATAACCATAAAAATTGGTCTAATTGATCCCAGAGGTGAGCCCAAAGTGAGGTCTATTTTCAAGTCACATTTATGGTAAATTTTAATCATTTATTTAGAAATGAAATGTATTTTTCTTTAAGGATATTTATTGGGCTTTCAAATAACACCAATATTGTTGGGGTACCATGATTGTGTCAGAAGAAAATCTTTAAAGTTCGCGTTGCGGAAGGTCCGGTTTATTTGATGTTGAGTGTATTCAAATTATTACAAAACTTCTTCTTTTATTTTATTAACAGAACTGAGGAACCTGAATCAAATACAACGTCCGTATCAGGTCCGCTAACTTACTATACAAAATAGGGATTGACCGTTTAATTATGATTACATTTTACTTTGCTTTAAGATGATTTAATGAATACATTATGTATTTTATTCGTCATAATGTTACATTAAACCAACAAGAGTGGGAATATAAATAATATAACTTGGTCATCATCTCAAAGAAACAACATACGAGTATGTGATGTATCTTTATTTGAAACTTACTTATACGGTTCCTTCAGTTCTTCCGTCACAAAGTTGAGGTAGTTCCACCCGGAGTAAGAAAACAGGCCGGTGTAGAAAGCTATAGCCAGCTTCCCTGGCTCCGTGATGGTGCCCTGCATCATCGAATTGAGGTTCTCCGTGTGCCCGGAGAATAAGTACCACAGACTAGCCACAAACGTTACCACGAAGGCCAAAATCTTTGCGGCGGTGAAGGAGTCTTGGACTCGCGTCACCCATTTGACGTTGTAGCAGTTTATTACCGTGAGGAAGCCTGGAATGAGAGATTTATTTATATTAATGACAATCTCATTAAAAATAGGTTAAATTAGTATTTATTCTATGGTTTTTCAGTCACTTTTTCAATTTAATACCTATGCTGTTTTCCCTGACCTCGACTCTATCCTAATACCTTCAACTAACTATGTAACATAATCAGTAACAACGATAAAGTATCTAAGAACACTTTAATAGACGTAGTCCCGTATAACGAGGTCCAAAAAAATTGGTGTGCGTATTTTTTGTTCTAAGTTAATTTACTCGTAACTGATAGGTGATAGGTAGGTACTGAAGTTTTGTAAAATCTACATATATTTTATCGTAATGAGGTAAAGGAAGACTTTAAAAGGGAGTTGAAAGTTTGGAGTAAGTAGCATCCAAAAAAGACACTTCTTTTCTGTAAAATCTACCTAATGTCTTTATTGTACGAGTAATTAGGTACCTACTTAAGTACTTGTTATTGTAATGGTTTAATGAAATTAAAATAAAATAAATGCGAGCTCTTTGTTATTTTGACGTTATTGTAAAAAAAAATGTTAAAACTAAGTTAAATGGCTCTACTCCGAAACAAATCAATCTATTGGTGCTAAATAATTAAGTAGTCATTCTAATTTAAATCATTTCATTGACGTGTTTCTAGACCATACTAACATGAAATTACGCAAATTGTTTGAAACTTCTTACGGATAGTTGACATTATTAGATGATACGCACGAAATGGATACCAAATATAATTTGACATTGAGCGAGAGGTTAGTATTGTTAAAACACTTGTCTTTACATATCGTTATCTTTACACTTGAACGTTTTGTTTTTGTAGTCCTTGGAGCGACCAATGCCCATTTACTTTGAAGAGGGTTCGCACGAGGAAACTAACAATAGACGCTCGAATAAATGAAGTCACAAATAGCTGACAGGTAGATTCGGATGCGGGTGTAGATCAGTCTGGCGTGTAATCAGGTCCGTTCATTAAGTGCCCTTACATAGCGAACTCGTACCGCACAAGAGTATGTGGTAGCGCGATGCGGGAGGAAGCCCTCATTATCCTGTCAGGCGCAATCAGCACAACCGACCGCGCCACAATACCACAATGAACACAAATACAAAAAGATCGCACTTTTAAAGGAATTTAAATAGGATGCCCTAATGCCCTTTTCGACAGAGTACTCTGCTAAAATGACACTTAAGTAGGTATGTATTTATTTCATGCCTTCGTCAAAGTAGGATCAGGCCAAAATCAGAGCAAAGTGTGCTATACAATGGATCGTACATACATAGGACTGCTGGAATACGTCAAGTGCCGTTTGTAGACAAAGCAATTTCGCTCTGCAACTGCATACGAATTTAATCCTTAACTTTATTGCTGTTGATGGTATTTCGTCTGCGAGAACATACATGGAGAACTTGCTGACCAATCAGATGCCTAATGTTATTCGAGAGATACAGGTCCGTTACAGGCATAACGAAATACGATGCAAGTGGAATTATGCTTGCAAATCCGTATTGCAATGAGGGTACTTAATAAGTGTATACTGTGACAATACTATACTCGTGCAATGTATCCACATTTCTATATTCAAAACAGGATGCGTCAAGGAACACCTGTCTCAATTAGAAGCATCCATCATCTGAACTCGTGGCAAGAGACAGCTTCCTTATCTTTCTTGATAGGGATTCTTTATGTGGCACAATGAAGCTCTAGACGTAGCAGGATGGGTGATATCATTCAAGGAATTCAACAGTGGCGATTATTAATTTTTGAAGAAACAATTTAGGGCATTCTTGAATTTTTATGCGCAGTGTGAGATTTTCGAGGTTTCGAAGATCTGCGTGAAGAAAGAATAATGTGTTGTTAGAGTAAAAATCAACAGGAATCAAAATTACTCGTTTGTTTTGGTTTTATTTAATTTTGCTGTGAACATCGTCCTTTTCTTGATGACACAACGGGAAGTCTCTAAAAATAAGCGACGACTGGTCACAACAAAAGAAACGAGTTGTAGTTGTATAGCAGTTGTCCTATTGTCGGCCCATTCCGAGATTTCGCTCTCAAACAGCTAACAATGGGCGTTATTTATGGCATTGATTCGGATAAGGATAGCGGTGTGCAAACGTTGGCATACCATCACTTTCGGTAGCTCGCACAGATCATGTTCTTATAAACATCAGAATCAGCGAAGATCTGACTAACTCTAAATATATGTATGCTTTCATGTACTGCGAGTAACAGTGATATTTCAATCTTCATTGCAATTTGAAAATAAACTCCTTTAAAAATCGATTCAAAGAAAAAAAACATTAATCTTTGTCTAGAGAGAAGAACTATTTTTACCATGCCTACTTGTATAGCAACATAGATTTTTAATATAGAGAAACAAATTAAACATGAATGATATAGCTAGGTAGGTACCTACAAAAGTATATTGTTTGATACTGAGTTGGCACACCTCGGATGACTCTATGAAAGTACATACAAGGATAGATACGACGAATTCGTGCTATCCCTTTTAGTGCAAACCGAATTCCATGCACTGCAGCAGCGGTCACTGCCTGCTCAAAATAATTTAAGTACAACAACCCAACAGTTCTGCGAACTGATTGCTAAGAAATAAATCAGTTAAATTGCCAAAACTTGTTTGCAGGGAACCGGTACTCAGTAAGGGGTAATGACAATGCGCCCCTACAAGAACTCCAGGCACGCAACTAAAGATTAAATCGATTTCTTATTAGTAGTCTGTATTTGTTTAAAATAAAGTTTCATTTCGCTTGGCGTCTGATTCTTACTCGATAAATTTTGGGCAGCCAGATATATTATTAAAATTCGTATAAGAACATGATGCATGACTTATGGCGTGGTGCTGTTTTCTCAGAAATTACAGTTGGTGAAATCTGTGCAAAAAGCTTATTTAAGCTTACGAGAATTAAACCAGTGGTACCTACTTAAACGTCGGGCGAAATTATGATTTACGTCGATGAAATTGATTGTTGACGTGTAAGTCATACCTAGATCGATTACGTTCCATGAAGCCAGTTTATGTGATAGCTACATTCACTTTCCTAGTAAGCTAGGTTTCTAATTCGCAAGTTAAGTGTCGTGAGCAATAGTGTTATCCGTTGCCGGTTGCGTTGATGGATTCACGCCAATTTGATTGTTTATTTTTAATTAGAAACTGCTAGAGCGGATAGACCTTATTTCCTAACATGTCAGATTTAATTTTATAATAATTATGATTTCCTCAATTCCTTATAATATATGAAATAATTAAGTCTGTATGTTTTAATACGAGTTCACAAACCATCTAAATTCAATTGAACTGTAAAAACTGTAAATGAAACTTTTCAATCGTTCATGGCTCTACCATTTTCTTTGTTAATCGAATCTTTTCTACTATTATTTACTTAAGCTCGAAGATAAGTTTGTTTATCCATGTCCCACTTGTTTTAAAACGAACACCATCACACTTATCCCCGGTGGGAATCGAACCCGCAATCACAGTCTAGTACTTGAACTACAAAGTCGGCGTCAAATAGTTACAGACATTATGTTAATATGGTCTTAATGTAATCTCATCTCGTGATGTTTAAGTCCGCCCACGTCTACTTTCTCTGAGCTATTCATTAGAGTAACGTCAGACTTCAGTAAATATTGTGAAACAGAACTCGTAAATACGTTTACACGTTCAGTTAATTTTATTTATTTTTAAGGATTTTAGATCGTTCTTCAATCACTCATAAATCTCTCATTATTTGCATTTAAAACAAAAAAATAGTAAATAAAGGTACCCACTATGAGCCAGCAAATCTGCACCTAATACAAACTGCTCAATGTTTTCCAAATTTTTTGCCGGATGAAATAAATGCTGTGTAGCATTTAAGTTATGGCTAATGCATACCGCATTCAGTTTTCTTTTTTGGGCTTTTTGGGATGGCGAGCCTTTGTTCTTGTGGTTAATTCTTGGAAGTTGGAAGAAGTATCATCTACCTATATCAGCATACTCATAATTAAAATTCCCTGTACAATAAAGTAAGTTTTAGCTTTAATAATAAAGGTGTGTAAGTTTTTAAGTCACATTCTTGTAGTAAGTATGTAGAGAGACTGTGTGTAGTAATCATGAAAAACAACGTCTCAGCTTTTCCCGCGACTTAAACGACGAAATATTTCGATTGAAGCCCTTTTTCACACCTTTAAGGTTTAGATTCCGAAAAACTTTTAAGTACCTACTTACTTACACCTGTGAAAATACTTCGGTTTCTAGGTCCAAGCTTTTAGGCTGGGATTTGATGAGTTAGGTCTTGTATTTTTTCAGAAGGAGAGTTATATTCTTCGAGTGTATCTTTAGCTTGAAGTAGGTACTTACAGGTAATGACCGCCGCTATGAGCGTGACGGCGACGTGTGGCGGCGAGCACGCCGGCCACAGCGGCTGCAGTATGTTCTGTGCGAAGGTGAGAGCGGTGATAGCGTTCCCCGTAGGCACCAGGATGAACAGAGCCACCCAGAGATACAGGAACGCGGGCAGTGGACCAAAAGCCTCCCCAATGTACGCGTAGTCACCACCCGATTTGGGGATCATTGTACCTGGAATTGGATAACTAATAAGAACTATGTATTTTATGGCAGTTTTTTATTTTTGATCATTATGTATTCTTTTTCAGGTCATACACGTAAATTGGCTAGCTCTACTACCATTTCGGCTCCTCGACATCGGCTGGTTTGAGAAATGTTGCGGAAAAACTCAGTTCAGTCAAGTGTCTTACTTTTATTTAGCTTTACCATAGAGAACAAAATGTCGGTGTTTCTATGTAATATGTATAAAAGCTTTTAAGCAAACGAGTCCGCAAACAACCTTTTGCAAACATTGAATTTACTTTATATTTTTTCCATTGTTTAAACTAACAAATGAATTTGTTGAAAAGCTCAATTCAGCTGACGGATCGTTAATGATCGTGTTCTTCAGGCGCAAGTTTAATTTTTTAACTCTACATCGTATATTCGACGTCGAAGGCAAAACCGACTGACTTGAAGTTGATCCAAGTCGGGCGACGTGAAAACTAGGATACTGCAGTCCGCATTGCGTACCCATACCTAGAGCTTTGTAGACCTAATTTCATATCAATGTTGACCTACGTTCGTAAGATTTCTGTATGATTTATATTATTGGGTGAAGTTCCTAGACTAGACTTTATCAGTAAAAGTACTCACTAGGTTATCGGGTTTTCAGTTCTTATTTTCATAATGTTGGAAAACAACAGGTTTTTCTTTATCATGAATTTATTTCTTACCATACTTTATCTGCGATGATTAATCAAAAGATTTTATACTGGGTTATTTTCATATTATATTAGTTCCTAAAACCTTATTACATGAGTAACATTTTTAGAAAAACCTCTCAATCGCTATCTATAGATAAGATGTAGCATGTGCATTGTGCATGTCTGTGTGGATGCCGAAGCCAGACGTCGTACAATACAGCCTTTAGATATTGATTTTTTCACATCGAAGATCTTGGGTGTTAAGCTTTTTCCGTGTTGCATTGTTTTAAAGTATATGTGGCTCTCGAAACAAATAAAAAAACGAATAACGAGTCCAGATTTGCCGGACTCTATCAATAAATTGAGGAAAACAAAGAAAAAAGTAAGCACGTGTCGCGGTCGTGGGCGGACTTTCTCTGTTGTTTTGGCTAGATAATATTGTAAATACTGTTACCAAGTACTGTATGTGTTGTGTTTCGACGTTTTAAAGAAATTAATGTTGTATTGTCATGTGATTCGTACCTTTGAACTCTATTACGACCCGAAAGACCCAAACAAATAACTTTACACTTAGTATGCTTATCATTGGCAATAAATAATGTATTTCCAAGTTGAAAGATCAAGTAAATTACATGTAGAGTAATGATAATTTCCAAGTAGAGTAATGAGTGTTTTTCTTGTTGAATATTAGTCCCCTAATGACCTGGGTGTTTCTGCATTTAATTAGTTTAGGTTAAATAACAAATTGAATATTATCAGTTAGTACATTTATTGCTCAGATGTATTGAAATAACCACAACAGGAAATTATGCGAACTATTGTAGGACTGTACCCACTACATACTTAGTAGATAATATTTTTTCAGGTCTACATGAATTTCTTTAGCTTCCGCACGTGCAACTGAATTTTTTTTTGGAATGGTAATAAAATTAGATAAACATCTATTAAGAGCAATCTAAGACCTCCTGGTGAAGATATTATGGGCTATAAAGGTACTATAATTGGTTATAAAATTGGTCAACCTGGTCTTAGGTTCGATTTGGTAGAGTCAATAATTCTTATCAGCCTGGTTGTCTTATAAGAAAGTTTATTCTGATGAACGTAATAATAAGTAAGTAACTAAGTAGTTAAGGAATCTACTTCATTAAAAAAATAGTTATTATGTAGGTAACCTAACATTGACATGCCTGATTTCTGATTATGCACATTATGCTCATAAACTGCAAGTTTATGGCTTATTAAAAAAATGCGTAAAATATGATGTTGACTTTTGTCGGCTGTAAACTAGGTACATAGGTATATTTGGAAAATATAATCTCTATGTATTGAAACCTATCGCAAGTTAAGAAACGGTAGGTGTATTTATTTTGAACAGGAAATAACTGATTGAAAATTTAATGGAAAACCGATAAAATGAGTATCTAAGAAGGATATTTATTCTACTCGCGACCATATTGAGCTGAAAATGGCTATGCCGAAATCGTTAATTGAATCAGTTAATTAGAACTTACCTAGTTCCGCGTAGCATAACGCGCCGATCATTGAGAGGAATCCCGATAGCACCCACACGATGAGCGCCATACCCTTGGAGCCCGAGTACCGCAGCGCCAAGTTTGGGGACACGAAGATCCCAGACCCCACGATCACCCCCACGATGATCGCCACGCCATTCATCAGGCTCAACTCCTTCTTCAACCGCACTCCTTCCCCTGAATCTTGCCCACTACTCTCACTGCCCACGTCCATCGCCTTTGGCGTAAGTCCTTCGGTAGCCGACACTTTTGCCATTTTGATACTATTACAAAATCTTTCAAAAATCCAAAAGCCTTATTATTAAATGTCTAAAGCATACACATTATATAATTGTGATAATTTATTCAGAAAGTCTGAGTATCTTCACGCAGAAATTGCATCACACAGGTTTTGCCATGGCGGGAAACACCACGTGTATTGTGGTACACCATGAATCTGCCATGGAGTGATAACCGATTTATTTATAGTAGGTATAGCCGCAAACTCAGATAACGCACGCAATTCTTAAATATAAATGCATGGGATTTTCACTATTTTTGTAAGGTTAAAATATTCATCACACCGGTAAAACGCACCAAATATCACTAAAACGCAGCTCTACAATTAATGGAATGACTGTAGTTTTAGATAAATTACCAAATTGTTTCTTTTTACTGTAAAACAGGTTGAGAATTGCGCTCGCGATCGAAATTATTCGTACAGTCCAGACGCCTGACAAAGGTGCACTCGGTCAACGCGCCGCTGCTTTACTATTCGGTTTAATGCTTTGCAAGTTAACCACGAGCGCGGGGCCGCCGTCACAGACGAGTCATTCCTAAAATGACATGGTTGTAACTGCCGCCAGTAACAGAATCGCCCTTAAGCTCTACTAGTTAGAGCCGATATCTGCAGTTTACACGGTCTTGTGAATTCACTGCCAAGTTTGAACAACTGGTTTTTTACACATTAGCTGTCTCGCTCGAGATCACCACGTGGAAGCCACATTTGGCACACTTTTGTACAGGAGTTTCCTTTACTCAGATGATGCGTGTTCCACATAGCAAGCGGCGATAACTGATAAGGGGGCGCTACCTATGACTTCCGAGAGATTAAGACGAATTAGTGGGCTCGGCCTCCTTGCGCTGGCTGCCGCGATGCCGGGCAGGATATGAGCGATTCATTTTATACCACACTACTTAGAGGTCAATGACAGTCATTGTATGATAGTAGCCAATTGACAGAAACTTGTCCACTATAGTTGGAATGAATTATTTAGGATCTTTAAGATTTACCCCCGATAAGACATCTGCAAAGCAAAACCCCGGGCTGTTTTGTTTCAAGTCGGGCTTTCACGCTAGTCTCAGTCATTTGGTGCAGATATTGCATCACATCGCGGAAAAAAGCTTGCGGTACATTTGGCGAGTTTCAAAAAGGTGCTATTATCATTCTTCCAAATGACCATACAATATATTTCAAACCTAATGGTGAAGTAATAAGACTCACTCCGTAGACTAGAGTTCTTAAAACTGTTTTAAGTAGTCTGAGGTCAGACAAGACGAATGCCGGTAGAGGCATCACGTTTTGTACTTTATATAATACTATGCCAAATTTCATCAAAATCGGTTGCGAGGTTTAAGCGGGAAAGCGTAACAGACAGACAGACAGACAGAGTTACTTTCGCATTTATAATATTAGTTGGGATAGCTTTCCGCCCGCGGCTTCGCCCGCATTATGTAGGTAGCCTATAGTGGACCCGCCTATTTTTTTCCAAAATAAAATTTAGCCTATGTTACTCGTGGATAATGTACTTAGCTTTCGAATGGTGAAAGAATTTTTTAAAACGGTCCAGTAGTTTTTGAGCCTATTCATTACAACCAAACAAAGTTTTCCGCTTTATAATATTAGTGTAGAAGTGTAGATGGTTTTAAAAGTCAATGACGCTGAAAATGAAGATGATAGGCATGAGTCATGATCTAAAGCCACGGCCATAGAAACGTCCATGTACGCATACATTGGAAGAGCTCACTGTGAATGGTAGAGTCCTTTATTCAATTTATGTAGTCAGCAAAATGCGTTATAAAAGGGCTACGCTGGGCTACCCTATCATGTGCCCTCACATGACTACAGTAGCCAATCTTGTTGGTAAACGTGCGCGAACAATGTCGACACGTTAGGACACCGAAGATGTAGTTGTAAGTGATAGCCGCTGCTGGTTTGGCTTTAAGAGCATCGCGCTTCGTATCAAGATCAGATTTCCGCTGCTCTTCGAAATCATTAACTTTTTTCCGCACCAGGCGCCTCCACTCCAGACGGTGGCTAGCAGTTTTTTCCCACTTTAGGGGGTCAATGTCGCATCGCTTCATGTCTTTTCTGAACATCCTTATAACGAAAGAACTGGCCGCCTTGTTTCCGCTTGCCGTCCTGGAGTTCAGAAAAGAAAATTTGTTTCGTGACCCTCTCGTCAGCCATACGCCAGACGTGACCGCACCAACGAAGCTGCTAACGCATCTGGTACGCCTCAATGCCGCAGACATTTGCCCGTCGAAGTACCTGAGTGTTTCTTACTCGATCTGACCATTTGATATTCAAAATGTCTCACTAGCAATCTCATAATCTTGCGAATGATGCAGCTGCATTTTAAAAAGGTTAAGTTAATAATAAAAATCTGGTTTTGTTTTCAATGTTATATTATAATCACAATTTAAATATTATGATTCTTTAAAAACATTTTAAATATAAAAATAGTTAATCAATGATAATTAACAATAATATAATAGGAGTGTCTAAAGAGTGATAACAAGTCATGATGGTCATATGATTAATCGTTTTCTTTATTCAATTCATACTTAAATATTCTGGCTGTGCCATCTTCTGAACTTGTCAAAAGTATATTTTGTTTGGCATTATAACACATGTCTAGTAGTTCAGATTGGTGTCCAGTTAGTTCTAGACATTTCTCTCCTGATCTGCCTTCATAGACTATGATTGCGCCGTCTAGTCCTGCAGTAACCAAATGATTTTTTATCCACAGCATCTTAGTGACTCCAGCCACATTCTCATCACTGGACTTGGAACATTGGTGCCGAACCATTTGCCTTGTCAAGTCCCATATGCTGACTGAGCCATTTAAGGTACCTGAAAAAGGTAAGGTAAAGTATTTGAATTTTATTTTGAAGTTTAATCCAGGAGAGCCAGTGGTCTAACTGAAATTTAATAGCCAAATCAATTATTTTTATTTAATACCAGTTTCTATTTGCATTCCTGGATATTTATTTGGAGAATACATTGTATAGTATAGAAATAAATACATTTATTGTGTATTTAGAGTATGTATGTAATGAAAAATATGTTGTATATTATCTTACCTAGAGCAAAGTAATCTAATTGTGGGTCCTTAGCAAAAGTAACAACTTCCATATCATTTTCAGTTTCTATTTGTCCCACAACTTTTCCATTTACTGATGTAGTTAAAACCACTTTTCCTGTAATATGACAAAGTGAAAATATTTATTGAGTATTTATGATAAATAAAAGCATTCAGTTTCTAAAAAAAGATGCTCAGATTATAAACAGTTATTTTGTTAAAGAATAAATTCTTATAAATGCAATTACCATCTGTAGAAATGGATGCTACTAGATTATTCTCATGGTGAGTGTCTAAGTCAGTGACCCTCATTTGGTGAATATTTGCTGGAATTGTGTGAACTGCTTGAGATGTTTTCAGGTCCCATATTTTAATGGCGCCATCTTCATAGCCTGCTGCCAAACGAACTCCATCTGGGAACATCTAGAATTAAGGAATAAGAATAAGTTGAACTTGTTTTGTAACATAATAAGACATGAAATGAAATGAGGTATAAGTCTGTTACCTTGGCACATTCTACTCTGATATTGGAACCCTGCAAAACTTTTGTTTCACCTGAAGGAATTTTGAATATAAATATGTCACCAGTAACAGTGCCCACAATGAGTACTTTGGCGCCAAAGTGCCACAGGCCTAGTGTCAGGTCATCCACTTCATATTCAAATACAACCGGCCAGGGTTGCTCCTGGTTTTCTTCTGTATTACACTTCCAAACCTTAATCATTCCAGACATGTCTCCAGTAGCCAAGTATGCACCATCTGAGCTGAATTCAGCGAAGATAACTGAATCTTTGTGAAAATTGCACTGCATCAACACTTGGCCAGTCTCAACTGACCACACATAAGCCTTGTCATCTTCACCCCCAGTGACTGCCAATTTACCATCTGGATGAAAATTGCAGCAAAATACAGAGCCGACATGTTTATTAAATACCAAAGTCGCATGATCTTCGGGAGGCTCCCTCTCTGAATAATCCTCCATTAAATCAGCGTCCATTAAATCCTCCAATTGGACCTCTTCCATTTCATCCAAGTAGATTAATCCTTCTCCTTCTTCATCCATCCCAGAGATTTCATCGCCGTTTATTGACGAAGGTGGTGTGTCTTCCTGATTTAATTTCATTTTATCTGTGAAGAACATAGGTAATTACACAATGTTGGCTAATGTGGTTTTTAGTCTTACGAGAATTTATAATTCTTTNATTTTTTTGTAAACCATACTTACATGTTTTATTTTACTTCTAGAAATAATAAGATCCCTCAACACTTTAAGCTTTTAGTTACAAACACGATTAAAACTTACTCGAAAATCAGACGGAATCACGTTGTTTTTGACAGTTCAAATTTGGCCAAATTTGACAATCGAATTGACATTTTTGACAGCTTTTTTTTTTAAATTTTTTTTTACGGCTCTGTACAAGTCCTTTTAAGCCTTGACAAACATTTGACACATCCATTCCACAGATTATTTGACACTCGATGTAGCAGGCCTATTGGTTATTTTTAATTAGTTGCCAACTTTATTATTACCACCCTTTGCCCTTTATTAGAACCTATAGGCATTAATTTTACCAATAACTCCATTTAAAAAAAATACAATAGCAAAATAGTCCGGGAGTTTAATTAATCAGTAGTATGTTTAAACATTCGGGTTAATTAATTTATGAAAGTTACTTTTTGTGAAAGGACAGTGCCAATCCATGTATGGAAGTTGGACCAAGTGCTGCCCAGAATAAAACCATAGTGCATTTTGTTCCTCAGGCTCAGGCCAATACTAATTTATAAACCGGAGCGCACTGAAATCTATCCCTGGAGTTAAGAGAAAAAAAGAGTTTTGTTTTGAATTATTTACATACAAAATATCATCGATGTATACGTACTAAGCATAAGATTTCGCGATTGTGGCATTAAATAACACGCGATATGTTGAACTTAACCATACTGCATCCGTACACCTTACTTTAGTACGACTTCGACATTCTTTATAAGCGATCAAGCGCTATTGCAGTAGTTTGGTTACTTGACAGAAATTAATTATTTCCAAAATGAAGCAAGAAGTTTTAGCTTAATAACTCCAATAATCGATTGTAATACTCCAATAAATTGATTTTTTGCAATGATATAGAACTAAAACTTCTTGCTTCATTTTTGGAAATAATGAATTTCTATCAACTTACCAAACAATTAAAACAGCGCTAGATCGTTTATAAAGAATGTCTAAATCGCACTAAAGTAACGTGTACGGATGCAGTATGGTTAAGTTCAACATAGCGAGTGTTATATAATGCCACAATCGCGAAATCTTATGCTTAGTACGTATACATCGATGATATTTTGTATGTAAATAATTCAAAACAAAACTCTTTTTTTTCTTTTAACTCCAGGGATAGATTTCAGTGCGCTCCGGTTTATAAATTAGTATTGGCCTGAGGAACAAAATGCACTATGGTTTCATTCTGGGCAGCACTTGGTCCAGACCCTGGCACTGTCCTTTTCTGCAATAGCTTCAAAGAAAGTGAAGTCAGTTTTCCTGTTACTCTAAGGAAATTAATTTAAATAAATAAATACTTTTATAATGGCTAAATATGCACCGCACGAAGCCATTTATTAAAAAAAAAACTCCGATTAATGACAGTCGTTCAAATAGTAATTCCTTGTTTTTAACTTTTTTTTTTTTTTGGTTTTGGCTCGCCGCATGTGTCAGTGGCAACACGTGTTTCAGGTGTCTAAGTGGAAAAATCAAATTCTAACGTAGTTTATTTTAAAAAAAAANGTCTCGTTTGTCAAAAAATGATTAATTTTTAGGTTAGAGCATAAAATTAATAAAATTTAAATATTGCACTATAATAATAACAACTGGTTCTCCTTACCAAAAATGGCATCATTAAACAATGGTAATTCTTATTGATCTTTGAACTCTGATCTATTTGTTAATTCTCTAGCTCTCACCTCATAAACATTATGTTATTTTTCAGTTTTATTGAGGACCCAAACACCTTTTTTGGTTGCTAAAAGGTTCCGTGGAAAGATAAATATTCAAAAACCTCGGAAACCTCACTTCGAAAGACAACTACTTATCGATGTTTCCAAACCAGTGTATGGACCACCAAAAAGTTCTTTGCCAGAGATAGTTCTGTGTGGGTCATTAATTAACAGGAAGAAAAAAGAAATTGATAATCCATTTGAAAGAATTCTGGCTAAAGAATGTCTCGATTGGTTTAACACATCTAAAATGGTGGTATTTTTGCATATGAATGCTATAAGCATGGAAGATAAAACTCCAGTCTTTGCTGCTCTGAGGAAAAATGATATGCATTTAAGGTGTTATGGGAAGAAGATAGTGAGTATGGCCACTAAGGGAACCCGCTATGAAGCAGTTAATCAGCTGTTCACTTCTCATCAAAACATAATATTTGGTCAGCCAGAAAATGCTGGGAAGCTCTTTAAAATATTAAAAAAGACACCTCAAATGGTTGTAATGGGTTAGTATTAACTTTTGTATGTAAAAGTTTTTAAAATGTAATACTCAAGTAAAATGTATGTATAAAATCAGCAGTGTTGAGTTGAATTTCATTGAACAATATGTAATAGTTATTAATTAATTGATGTTAAATTTTGTTTTCAGCGGGAATAATTCAAGATAGATTTATGTCACGAACTGAGCTGGTTGAATACAGTCAACTGCCATCTCTAGAAGCAGCTAGAAGTCAACTTTGCTCTGTCCTGGAGAGTGCTGGATCAAGCTTAGTCAGAAACTTAAACCTTGGCCCACAGACTCTCGTGTCTCATCTAGAGAAGCATGTTGAACTACAGAACGAACCTGTTAAATCTGACAGTTGAATGTAGCATTTATATTATAATGTGTATTAGATTATTATAGCTTTGTAATTGTTACATAGGTACTTTTATTTTTGTTCTTAACATGGGAAACTACAATAGAGTTAAGATACACCAATTTTATTTCAGTAGAAAGTAAACAACAAAATGTATTTATTAAAATGTTTTATTTTAGAAACTGTTAGGCACAATCTTTGGTTACCACTAAACTAATGGAGATCAAATAATTACAATCAGAGATTTATTATTACATACTAAAACACCTTATATTTAAATAATACTTGAGCAACATTGTTTGGGGATGTAGTAAGTAAATTTTATTTACTAAACTAAGGCACAAATGTTTCAATTCTTAAATACATAGATTACTTTTTGGTAGACATGTTTACATCAGTAAAATAAAATGTACTTAAATATCCAGTCTACTAAGAGACTTGTTCCACAGTTGCTTACAAAGATAACTTTATGGATATTGTCATATTGGGAACAAACATGATAATATTATTCATACTTAACATTATAGTAAGTTAATTAACATGATAATTTTAATATAGAGTACAGGCGCAATAAAAATAGATTGAAAATGTAGCAACACTTGACTTAGAGAGCTGTAATGCGGCTAGTGGCACTCGCCAGTGTGGTCAATGCCACGGCAGCCTCTACTTCGTCCCTGTCGTGTCTCGCGGTGTTCAGCGCGATCCGATGTGCCTTAATCTCCGTCTTCTCTGGCTTTCTACGTTTCCCATCCGCCCACCAGGAGTAGTTGGTCTCGCTGGGCTGGAAACGAGCTGCGCTCTCCAACCATTTACTTAGTAGTAGGGGACTCGTTATGTTTTTGTTTTCTTCGCGAGTTTCAGTTTGGTGGTCTACCGTGTACGTATTATTGTTCAAACCTTCGTATTTTTCCTTCGAGCCTGAGGAAGCGTCGGAATCTTCTCTCTGATACTCTGCTGGAGCTTCCGGGCTGTCGGTGTACCCTGGATCGATGTCCAGAGAGTCGTGCGGACTGGTGTGTTCGGATTCGCTCCATATGCTATCGTCGGAGCAAATACTGAATTGTTCGACGTTGCCTTGAGCTCGGTCATTGTACGTACGTATAAGATGACCCCATGTTTGTTGGTTGCGATCTTCGTTCACGTTTTTCAATTTACGTCGCCAATTTGCAAACCAGTTGCAGATCTGCAAAATAAAAACTAACTGTTTTAATAGGTACTGCCTCTCGCGTAGCGTTATTGGTCGGCATAATAAGTAATTATGTATTGATGTTTTTGAAGTCCATTTCTGATTATTTTCATTAAAATAGTCGTACCTAGCTACTATAAAATATCTACCAGCGAGAAAAACGAATTGTATTTTAGTGTTCCATTCGATACATTGTATAATGTTACAGTTACAGGTACATATTCATGATGATAGCACAAATTCAATTTGAATTAAAGGAAATTGCGAGTTCTAAAACTTATCCAATCTCATAATATCGCAACGAACGTGTCGCGTTAAACTTTGATATAAAATAATGTAACGTGGTTAACAAAGCAGTGACAAAAATAGTGCCTATTTATGTACAAAGCACAAGCAATACTTGGCACTATTCCAATTAGGTTGTTGATAGGTTCATAGGTACGTGAGTTCCCTCGAATTGAAAATCAAAATTCTAAAAACTAGAAATGAAAGTTAAACATAGATAGGTACGTATTCCTGAAATAGAATCATGTTTTGTGAAATCTTACTTGAATGTATGTAAGTCCGGTTTCATGGGCCAGATGTTTCTTTTCTTCTCTGTTGGGATAAGGATTGTCTCTTCGCCGGACAAGCCAATCTTTCAGGTATCGCTTGATTTCTGGCGTGAACAATCGCTTTTGTGGCCTCTGACCCGCGACCAAACTTCTCCTGCAAAGTGTTGTAAATGGTATGTAATCATTATAATATTCATACCTATGTAGAGAGTAGAGTTCGTAAAAGTTTATATTATAAAGCTAAAAAGCTAAAAGATGCAATTTACATCGATTATCTGCATAAAGACGCGGTGTTTATGAGTGACGCACAAAGAAAATAATAATGAAACTGAAAGTATGTGAGTCATATCTGTATACATACTAACCGTGTGTATCTCCTGTTTCTGACGGGTCTCAAGGATTTTCCGCTGTCGTCTTTAGTCTGTGGCTTTCCGAGGATGTCCATCGGGGTAATTTTCTCTTCAGCAGATGTTTGGATAAGTGTCATCGGAAAATAGTGTTTTGGGTTCAAGTTAACTGAATGTCGGGTTTCTTGTGTGTTGGTTACAGTCCACGGGGAGTGTCAGCACGTGCGAAGGGCACCGCTGCTCGCGACACGACTCGTGTCTCGCAACGCTGCCGCCGCGGGGGATGCTTGGTGATCTATTAAAAAAATAAGGACATGATGACACAAATAGATTGTCTTTCGAACACAACATAGCACACTGTCTAAGTAGTGCGACGAGTAGAATAGGCAGTGCACTGTTGTCCGCCTGTGCGTTGATGTAACCGAAACATGACGGTCACATTCCTTAGTTCACTTTTAGATGTTATTAGCTCTCGATACTGTACGAGTGCTCTAATATGTGTTTTTGTTTCTGTCAATTTTAACACGTGTTGTGAACTTCAGTTAAGTGGGGTATATTGTGATTTTGTATTCAGTAATCATCATAATGAACAAAAAACATGCTCCTGTTACGTGTGATTCGAGGGTCAATGTTCTTGTTTTTGCGAGCCGAATATGAATGTGGTGTTGAAAATTATTTTTTGACGGAAATCTAGACGATACAGGTATGTTAAATATCGTATTATGATAATTGGTTTATTAAATGATGAGTTAATTAGTCACAATGTGCAGTCGGTCACACGTACCTGGTTGTGGGAAAGCTCTGACTGTGAAAATGGCGTCGGATAAGCGCACGACGGTAGCGCCGCGGCGCGGGCGCATCTCACTGTCACTGCAAATTCATGTTATTTCAGGATGTCTCCCGCGATGTCTTCAAAACACGATTACAATAGGTAAGCATCACTTGCATTCTTTTATATGTAGGTAGATATTTTATTGCATGTAAGTGTTCTTTAGAGCTTATGTGAATGTTTTTTTAAAGTAGTTAGGTATTAATAGAGTTGTGTTCAGTTGAGCATAGTAATAGTCCACTAGACATTCATTTGACAGATAACTAAATTGCGTTGTATTTTGTCAGTAAAATTAGACTTTTCAACTGTTTTTCTTGATATGTGTAACCTAACTAAACTGTTATGCTGATAAAGCATTGAGAGATAAAAGCTTTCAAGTTTTCAGGAAAAGTAGTCATAAAATAGTTCGTCTTCTATTGACTCCATGAATCGAACGTTAAAATGGATTGTTAAGTTTTGTTTAATAAAATCCTGCATATTTATAATAAGCTTTGGAAAAATGAGCCGTAGTCGTAGCTGCTACGAGCACGTAATCAATGAGTAGATGCCTACGTATGTTTTAATCTTATTGTAATGTAGAGTTCCTATTAGATTTCAATTGAGCTTTCAATAAAGTTTAATAATTTGTCTTACGTTATAAGTTTGCAGTCGGTTTTATAAACTATCTATAAAATAAATATGATTGTCTGCCTCAAATCATATTCAAAAACAAAACTTAAATTCCAACAACTTACATTAAAACCGTAATTTATTAGGTAAAGTTTGGAGTTAGGTAATACAAGTAATGAATAATTAATTGTTTTTAACCGGCTTCAAAAAAGGAGGAGGTTATATGTTCGACTGTATGTATACTGTATGTTTTTTTTCTATGTATGTTCACCGATTAATCCGTCAATTGTGGACCGATTTTCAAAAATCTTTTTTTGTTCGATAGGGTACACTTCTGAGGTTGTCGATTGTCACCAAGTCAGGATCTGATGATGGGATTCTAGGGAAATTGAGGGCAACCCTCAAATTTTATAGGCACGTATATCGTTTTTCAAACTTTTACTTAAGTTATTCAAGTATTTGCTCCTGGAAATCATCATCTCATATAGATGAGCTGATGATAGAAGGTAAAACTCCTTAATGCTTAGGAGTTGGAGGATAATTCTTTTATAGAACTTTGCATTTTAATTTACAATATAACATTGCTGAACGTGTAGGCTAGATGCTAGTATTCTCAAGAGATGATGCAATTGAATGATTTTTGTCGTAATTGCTTGCATCATTCACCCAACGACCCATTTCCTATAAAAATCACGAAAAAAAAAAACATCAATAAAGGTAGCTGTTAAGCGACCCCCCTGAAGCTTGAGTGACTCAAACAAAGTAGAGTCGTATCCCCTTACATTTTTTCCTGCACTAACTTCAGTGTCAATAAGACCGCGGTCTCTCGCTTGCTATCGGATTTTGTCGGGTGTATAGACAGCAACAATGCGTTGTTGTGATTTATAACAAGTCTGATCTCTATCACCAAACGATAAGGTTCAACAAACGATCATACACTTCGCCCTACTAACGTTGTGTTTTGCGAGTTCTCACATGCGCTGTAGCGATCGTGTCGCTGAGACGCGTGTTTCGTTCACGCTGACGTCAGAAACCTAACCTATTCCAGTCTCGTAGATCGTAAAAATGGTAACAGAAAGTGATTCAGTCGTGTAAGAGAGTCTGTGGCGGGTTGTCTTGTCGTCTTATTTTCGTAGTAGTTCCGCTTAAGTCGTTTGTGCTCGCAGCCCACGTGCGTCGATTTACCGGTGCGCGATTGATTTTTGCGTAATGGGCGAAGAATCACAAGCCAGTGACGGGAAAGTTGTTCTAAAGCGTAAAATAACACTGTTCAATGGAGTGGGAATTATAATTGGGACTATAATCGGCTCTGGAATTTTTATTTCGCCAACTGGAGTTTTTTTAAACACTGGGTAAGTGAGAGCTAAGTTTCCCGCCCTTTTAATTTAAGTGAAGTTAACTTCATAACAACAACTCTATATTGTTTTCGTAGTTTATGAAATGACTTCACTATCATTATTTAAATTAGAATTAATTTGAATAATCAAAATAATTAAAATGAAGGCGCATTTTAAGTCTTCATTGGGAATAAATAAACTACATGGGGTATTAAAAACCATAATGAAAAATCCTTTCTATGGTAAGAAAAGTTCTGATCTGTATTTTATTTATGCTGTATAAAATAAATAATTCTTACAAATATTTAGACGGATTCGGTTCTTTACAAAATAAATACCGTAGTTATTTAGTTTCCTTTAATTAATAAAATTATTTTTTCTTATGTAGGATTGTAGGGTTACTACTTATTGGGAATTTTGGACTTTAACTATTTATGGACTTATTTACGTATAAAATTGTGAGTTTTTTTTACTGGAAATAAATCGTCAAAAACAGCTTGTCCTAAGTGTTGTCCGATTCCGTTACAAAAATATGAACATCTTTTTACCAGTATCAATTTTCCATTTTTTTATTTAAGTATCCTATAGCCTAATTTTGTCTCAACTTACCCACAAACTTTAATAAAGTTCAAATTTGTGGTTCCCTAAAAAATCGCAAAAATGAAAATGAATTTTCCCAAATTTCCATACAAAATGGCAATTTCATACTTTAACACTAATATTATGAGGTCTTCTTTACTAAGGAATTTACAAGCGGTTTTATTACTCGTTTAAGAAGGTTTAAGAAGAAAAGGAGAGATTACGTTCGAAAGCATTACTAATAAGTGGTGGAAAAATACCAAATCTCTAATCTAATTGATCATTCTCATGCTAATGGGCCTTGGTATGTAAGTTATTTCTGGGGTCAATTACTGCCGGTCATCGTCTCTGAATGTGCAAAATAAAATTGGCACTTATGGTTGCCGCAATAAGCAATAAGTAATTGTGACAATGTAATACAGTTTATTTTGGTCGCCTAATGATATTAGAACGTAATTGTTGTGAAAATCTAGTGATACCTACGTAATTTCAAACGTTACGATAAGGTTACTTTATGAAACGAATTACCTTTTATTGAAATCTTGTGCGGATCTCAAATTGTGACTATGAAAATTAATTGGGATATTCAATGCATTTAAGGCCCGGTTTCCACTAAAGCGGTGATATTGTGTATTACAATCATATCTTAACCAAAGCTGTCCGGAAAGAAAATGTGGAAAACACATCTGCTCTCGTCTCTTCTCCGCTTTGGTGGAAACCGGACCTTACATTGTTTATGTATAGGCTTTACTAATTTTATTCAATTCTTATACTTAGATAGGAATGTAGGGTTTTAGTGCCTACTTGTTTCTTGACTTATTTTTGAAACACGTATTTATTTAGTCCTTCGTCATATGTTTTATGGTACATTAAGTGAAGAATGTGGTTTATTGGGTGTAATTAAAGCGACATGAAGATAGAGCGACTTGATTAATATGTAGAGTTATTTTTTGTTCCTATATCAGGTATGCGAAAACATGTCTGCAAAAAAATACGACGTGTAGTAGGTACTTAGGACACTCGGCTTGTAGGTTTTGCCGTAGGCTATTTAATTTTATTTACCTTAAGCCGATACCTAGGTAAAATTGAAATTGAGCACTAGATAATATTATGTCAAACCACTATAATTGGAATTAGATGCATACCTAATCAAGCAGCTATTTTTTTATCGCATTCGTTCATTTGTTTACCGTATGTTAAAATGAAGTTGTTAAACATTTGCTGCATATAATGCATATTACAAATCAAATAATTTGTTTGACTCATCTCTTTCGTAGTTAATAGACGAAAACTGTACCTATTTGAAGTTATAAAATTAACGACTTTACCTATTTTACGAGTATATTCTATAGTTTATTTTGAATTAAACCGATTTGTAAATTGCATTTTAGGTGGTCATAAATTAATTACATTTCACTAGGAACTTTGGCTCTATATTTGATTATTAATTATAATGATAACGAATTTGATATTATTATATCGATACTGGAACATTCGATTAGAAGTTAAAACAATTTGAAGTTCTCGGTCATCAGTCGTAAATGGCACTTGATAAACGTAATAGACTTGCCCCTGTTCAGTGTTCATGATCATCAACATTAAATACTGTAGCTTTTTTGTGTAAAATAGGTACGTTGAATAAATGTTTAAGTTAGAATAAAACCCAATACTCAGCCTTGGCCCTGTTGCTAACTGGAATGAGCGTTCACTGACCGGCTTTAGACTCGGCTGTAACTTCCAAATCTGGGCGAACTTAACTGCCCAACGGAAGCAGACGAGTTTGAGGATTTTAATGATAAAGGGGCCTCAAGGTGAACTTGTCTAAAGTACGTGGGGTCCTGAGACTAGCTCCAGAACTTTTCTCATCAACTGACAACTTGTTGGATAGATGTAATTTGCTAAATATGATTTTGACGTTTAGCTCTAGTCTAGGCTACAAAATGGGACAATCGTACTAGCTCTAGCTAAGTAGAGTATGGACAATGGAACAAACCATTGCTATAGGACAATGTTGGACTTAGTAACTTCTCTAATGACTCTATAAAGCTTGTATCGATGTTTGGTTTAGGTTATCTCTGCAGTCTAAGTTACACAGGTTATTGAAACAAAATAATTGACTTATATATCAAACTTTACATTTTTACATTGATGTTTCGTGCAATATTTCTTCAACCAAAATGAATATTTACCAGTATGTAATAGAGTCCGTTGATTAATAAATGGTGTTATCGTGTGAAGGATAGTAAATGGTCTTAGTTATTAGTTGATAACTTGTTAGAGCTGCAATGCCACACCGTTACATAAATTTCAATGATCGCAGGTAAGCGAGCGCCATGTAAGAGTGTAAGACTAGTAGGCCGTGGCCCTGAAACCTGTGCAGTGTGACTGTGGCGGGGATCGGTTTCATAATATTCCATATCATTCATTGCACCTATTAGTTTGTACGTTACGGTAGTTAAAATAGCATTCGATTGTAAGATTTTTTGGTTCTTTCTCTGGACTTGTACCTATGATATTTAACTCATTTGGGGTCTGTTCTACAGACATTACGGTTTCGGGTCGCCGTAGTATCTACTTGGTGTTTATTAACAAGACTGTCATGGCATACTTAGTTAATTTATCTTCAGGTACGGAATCAGCTCTACTTAATATTTATTTTTAAATTCTACTAAACTGGGTGTTTAACTGGAAATATTCAATTATTACGTAAGTTTCACTCACCCAATAATTACTACAGTTACGTTGCGGAATTACAAATAAAAACGTTACGTGAAAGTACTTAGTTAAAAATTATAAAATAGTTAACGTACCTACCTAATCATAAAACGATAATAAATTTTCCGTTTAAAAAAAATAGATTATTCTTACCTCATTAATAAATGAAATTGGCTATTGTAATATTTTCCTGTTTTTTCATTTAAAAAGATTTAATACATGTGACACAATTTGAGGAAAATACTTACAAGTCGCAGTTGTTGTTGGGTTGAATCGGTTTCTTGATAATGTTTTAGTTCATCTGCCAGCAAAACATATTTTTCTGCACCATTTACCTACTGTGCATTTATTTATGGCCCGTGCATATTTTGTCATTCTCGTTTATTGTAGGATCATTGATTTGTTATCCCCAATTTAATTTAGTTCGTTGTAAGTAACTAATGGTTCTCAATAGCACATGACGTAATGGTTCGCAGATGTTTCGGCAATAGTCAATGGTACTTTTTTGTTACAGATCGGTAGCTGCTTCCTTGATAATATGGCTCGTCTGTGGACTTCTTTCGACTCTAGGAGCTCTCTGCTACGCCGAGCTCGGGACTTCCATCACCAGATCGGGTGGCGATTACGCGTACATCTACACAGCCTTCGGGCCGCTCCCGGCGTTTCTTAGGATGTGGATAGCGCTGCTCATCATCAGGCCGACGACCCAGGCCATCGTGGCGCTGACTTTCGGACATTACGTCGTGAAGCCGTTCTTCCCTGAATGCAGCCCGCCTCAGGACGCTGTCAAGTTACTGGCTGCGGTGTGTCTATGTAAGTAAATGCAAAATATTTTGATGATGTCAAAGATAGTGATGCGCTTGTAGGATTGCCTTTACGTAGCTGAAGGTCATTCTTTCATGAGATTTAATGACCATGTCAAATGACACCATTGTCTGGCATTTAAATTAAAGTAACAAAATTGTTTAACAGTTGGATTGTCAGACTCGTCTTGAAAAAGTTATTACCTCCTGATTAAACTGAGACCGTTAAAATAGGTATTTATTTGAGCAGATTGTATCACATTCTTAAATCATATTAATTTATTCTTTTCGGTTCTTGACATCTGACTCGAAGGCGACACAAGTGGCGCTCAATTTATGCTCGATATTTAATCAGACGGTCTACAATTGGCGATCTATTGAGCAAACTAAGTCCTGGGAGAGTTGAGATTGTGTACGGCTCTGGTGACAATGTTGTTTTGCGGACAATCACCCACTTCCCATGTTGTGAAAGGCTTGGAACGATGTTGTGGAGACGCTACCTACATCCGAGGACCGGACGTAACTAATTTTACTGCTTATTATATTATTTTTCGGCTTTGAAATTTGTTATTTTGTAAAGATATCAGGTTTTATCCAGCTACAAGTAGTGTCACTGTATTCAACTTGTGATAATAAATCTGTACTACATAGATATTATTCTAAGTATAATGTAGTCTGAAGTGCACTGATAAAGTTGCTTAAAATTCCTTTTATTTAGGAAATGTCTACATCGAAATTAGATAATATACGACTTGATACGAATACTGATATATTCGTTATCAGTGTAAGTCATAATTTACTACAAATCCTTATCTAATATCGCTTCGATGTAGTATGATTATGCCGTGACAAGTGTAAGTACACCCAATTTTAAATCGGTTTCATTCATCTCTACTAGAGATGAAACGGATAGTTGTTTGGCCGGATACCGGATACCGGATATCCGGCCAACTGTTAGGCCGGATAGCCGGATATCCGGAGGCCGGATAGTTGGCCCATTGTCTCGTTGCATGTCGTGACGAGTTTAGCGCCACACAGGTGCTTCGAACGCGATCATTGGGTCTATTAGTAGACTAGATTAGTCACACTTTTAGAAAATCGAATCCGTCCGAAAAGAATGTCAGATTTTGCCACTTGTCTAGGGGGCAGATCAATCGGGCGATTTCGGTTGCTATCGTGAGTGTGTGATTTAGTGACCGACCGAATATTCGTTTTCGTTTTCGTTTTCGGCCATTTTCGGCCAAAAAATGGACATTCGGCCATATTTTCGTTTTCGGCCAAAAACCAGCCGAATCTTCGGCCAAACCGAATATCAGAAATATGTGAATAAGATGGTGACGTTTATCGTTCCGATATCTTCGGAAGTGAATCTGGTGCACATATTATGGTTCCAATCAGACTTGAACGGACGCGGTATTGTCACACTCTTTTGAAGTTTTGAAGTGAGGTTACGTTGTTCCAAAGAGCCAAAGAACCAAAGAGTTTTCATTAAGTTTAATTGTTTCAAAATAGAGTAATGCGGATTTGAAACACGCCATGAGTCACTGGTCGGGGAGACTACAGAGCNATAACTTATTAAATAATAACTTTATCAAGAAACGTTACATAACATAAAATATTCCTTTTTGGTAAAGGAACACATTGGCATATTTATTTTTTCAAAATTCGGCGCTTGATTTTTGAGCGACGCTAAGTCTATGAAGCTCTAATATCAGCCCACCGTGCGCCGCGCCCGCGACTTCGTACGCCTGGATCCCGTTTTACCCCCTTCATCTATCTTACGCGGTTTAGATTTTTCATACAAAAGGATTTTCCCGCTAGTTCCCATTCCCGTGGGAATTTCGGGAATTCCTTGTTGTAACTAAGCTTTAAGTTTATTAAGGTACCTACATGCCAAATTTCAAGTGTCTAACTTAAGCGATTTAGATTTTTCATACAAAAGGATTTTCCCGCTAATTCCTGTTCCCGTGGGAATTCCTAAAGTATACTATAACTTGCCCAGGAGTATGAAGAATAATTGTACCAAGTTTCGTTAAAATCCGTCGAGTAGTTTTTGTTTCTATAAGGAACATACAGACGGACAGACTGATTGATTGCACTGATACTACTGATAGTTATTTTGAAAATATATTTCATGTACAGAATTGACCTCTCTACAGATTTATTATACCTAAGTATAGATTTAGCAATCGTCATGAGAGTGAATAGCCCAGAAAAAGAAATTAGTTTTTTGAAATGGTTTTCTTGTAACTTTTTGGACTTTAAATAAAAGCCGTCATTATTATAAGCCATTTTATTGATATTTACCTCAAAGATTAATGTATTTCATTTTATTAATAGAAAATTGTCGTAGTTTTTTAATATCCGGTATCCGGCCGGATAGTGAGTTACTATCCGGTATCCGGCCGGATAGTAAATTTAGGCCGGATATCCGGCCTACCGGATAGTTACCGGATATCCGTTTCATCTCTAATCTCTACTACTTACATTGTAAAGAAAGAATTCGATAAGTTAAATTCGATGAAACTATTCATTCGAAGTCACAATGTGCTTGAGAAAACTTTCTACAGAATGAAACCGGTAAACTTTGTTGATATTAGAATTTTAAACGATTGTGATATTATGTAAATAAGGTAGGTAGGTCCCATTTGGAACCAGATACCTAAAATTACATACAGTTAAATGTGTTGGTAAACTGTAAACCGCAGATATATGTACATATTTATAAGTATCCTGACCTTAAAGGAATAAATGGATCTAGGCATAATAAAATATTTATTAACGCCATATTACTTTGATTGAATAAAATTTATCCTTAACTGCTTCACGCGGTGAATCCCAATTCAACATTAAAATAACTACTTGTATTAATGTCAAGCAGGCACTTGTAAAGGTTTATAAATGTTCTGAAACCGGTTAATAAACGATGGCATGTGAAACACTTTGTTTGCTTGCGCATTTTGCAGTATAAAAAAAACATAACTTGAATTTGTTGCCAGTGACCTTCTGTGGTGAAGTTCCACTGAATTATGTTCAACAGGTAGTCAATTAATAACATAAAGAAGTAGTAGGAAGTAAATAGCCGATGTATCGCTTTTTTAAAGTGACTGCAGAGTTTTCGAGACTCTACTAAGCCATAGAGCATAGAGGTGCTTTCGCGTTAATAATATTATTATTAACGAATAACGGACCCAGTGAGAATCCAGTGATACTTAGTACTAGTTTGAACTAATAGACAATCAAGGAACAGATAATAGTTTACAAACAGAAAATGTAATTTAGCTAGAAGAAACATATTAACTTCAATGTAATTTAACTTTTATCCCCTGTGTTTGCTCTGAAGATTACGGATCATTTCATGTATAATGATAGGCGCTTACTAAACACTTTCTACACTATTAACAGATAAGTTTCTAACGATGGAGATAATGAATGGTGTTCTAATGGCTTAACCCATTATCCAGCTTTCATAATAATTATGTAGGGCTCCTTTCATGTACTTAAGGTAAGTATACAACTTACCTAGTGTTTAATTATCCATAACTTTTCGGCTCTTTGCTGAATACTAGTATTTTCAAATATGTAGTTATATAATCTGGTGTCTTAAAGTTGAACGAGGTCATCTAGTACAGTTTACAGCACATCAGCTATACATACATTTTGATGCAAAATAGCTCTTATAATATATTATCTACATAGAAGCCACAGTGTGTAGTTTATTGTGCCGTTGTGTATACGTACTACTGATTTTTAACAATAGGTAGAGAGTAGTCATGTTATTGACATTGCGTTGAATATATTGTTGCCTTCTTATGCAAAATGTAACCTACCTCACCATCACTTACTCATCTCTCTCACAGTTTGAGTGGGCGGAATGTACACAATAATAATTAGAGTTGCCGCGAATAGTGGTTATAGCGAATAGTCGAATACCGATTAATCGCCATTCACTTTGGCGAATAGTCGAATAACTCGACATTACTATTCGACATAAAAACATTAAAATTATTTCTTATTTCTTCTAAGGTTGTGAGAAAAGAAAACAATAAAGTTAAAGAAATCTGTTTCATGTTATACATACCTACATAGTATGTAGTAAATTATGGCATGTTTTGAAGAATTATCTACAGGGTGGAAACAATAAGTGATCTCACTTGATTATTTCTAAACTACACAAGATATCGAAAAACTGGTTACTGATTCTAAATTTGCTTCACGAGCTCTTTCGAACAGTACCAATAATAGGTTACAAAATAAACTGGAACTATCCGAAAATTCAATGTTTCCAGCTCCCATAATAAATGTATGCCAACCACACAATATTAGAAATGGTTTGTCTTTTAATTAAATAATAAACTTAAAATAAACTCATAATTATGCATTTTTATCTAGAATTAGTTATGGCAAACATTAGTTTTAATCCTTACTTGCTATAATATTATCAAGAGATGAGTGCCTTGATTGTGGTAGTACTAAATTTATGGAAGATGGAAACATAGATTTTTTGGATAGATCCAGTTTATTCTGTAACCTATTGTTAGTACCGTTGGATAGAGCTCGTGAAGCACTTTTAGGATCTGTAACCAGGTTTACGATATCTTGTGTAGTTTTTAATATTACGTGGCTTTACCAAATGTACGGAACCTAACAATATACAATGTATCCATTATGTGCAATAAATAAATAAACATTGAATTTTCAGATAGATCCAGTTTATTCTGTAACCTACAATTGCAATCGATACCGTTTGATAGATCTCATGAAGCACTTTCAGGATCAATAACTAGTTTTTTTATATCTGGTATAATTTAGAAATAATCGAATGAGATCACTTATCGTTTCCACCCTGTATAGAGCAACCTACTAAAGAGCACCCCAAGAGTGCCACTGCTGAAGAAATCGCCCACTACATCGCATTAGCAAAGGCTGACAGAAAAATAAACCCATATGAATGGTGGACTTTGAGTACCAATAAGAATAGATTTCCTATATTAAGTAAGCTTGCTAAACGATACTTAATCACACCAGCAAGTTCTGTTTATTCAGAAAGACTATTTTCCGAGGCAGGTTTATTTACGAGGAAAATCGAAACCGACTTGCTCCCGGACGTGCAGAAAAAAATGTTTTTTTGCACCACAATCTGCCTCTGTTGGATTTAAAATATTAATTAAAAAGCCTGACTAATTTAATTTCATGAATATGATAGGCACAGGTACATTGTTTTATTAGGGGAGTAATAAAAATATGATTGCTTTAACTCATTAGTTTTTTTGTTCACTAAAAGTTTATTTTAACGACTATTCGCCGAATGCCGAATAATACTAGCTATTATTCGGTATTCGACGAATATCAAAAAAATGTCGAGTAATGCCGAATACCGAATAATAGCGAGTATTCGCGGCAACTGTAATAATAATGTCCAACAGGTTGCTTCGACCAACAAGTAGGAAAAGCCTTCTCAGATACGAGTACAGTCTACTTAGTTGCGTATAATTTTGGATAAATCTATCTTGTTTGTTTTTATGTTATTGACTAACTAATATTTTAAACAGGCCCTAGTTATTATAACACAAATTCTTCAGCTATACTGCGGCTATCATCTCGGTTTCTAAGACATAAGACATGATACGTAAGCGACTTGTTGATCTACCAACTAGGGTTTCTGATTTCTCGACCTATTTTTTTTCTCGAGTTTCGGGAATTCTCGAGGCCAAAGTCTCGAGTTTTCTCGGGTCTCGAGTCTTTTAATTAAAACTGTTGGAATCGGTTAAAATTTAATAAAAACAGGTTTTTTAATCTAATATTACCTGCTTTTATTGCACAACAATGAATAATAGAATTTAGTACCACTTATTTTGGTAAGGAAAGAAACAAAACATAAAATCTTCTTTCATAATTAATATTAACTAATAATCAGAACAAAAGTCATAAAGTCGCGTGTACTTTAAGGATAAATAACAATAATAGCAATAAAAATCTGGAGCTACAATTGAATCACTTGTTTTCTAAAAAACACAAGTCCAAATAGCAAAATTACGATAAATAGTTTTTTTATAAACAAAATTTTTTTTTTTAATAAATTTCTTTTTTTTATGCATAATAAGGCAGTTATTTGACCACAATCGCCCTGATGTTAAGTGGAAAAGATAACGACTTGAATAAACTTTACGAGGAGGCACGAGTATCTAACCTAACAGACAGTTAACCAATTTTTCAGTCTTTAAATCAGTCAAAGTTACGTACTTAATAAATAGGTATAGCATCTCGTTGGTGAACATTATTACCACGTTATTACTTAGTTTCGATTGAAAATGAAATATTTTATTCAGCGACACAAAACAACATCAAAAATATGAAACAAAAGTAAAACTAAATAGAGTAGGTAATGTTGATAAAATCAGATCATTACGTGCATTGCAAATCAAATCAGTTAAAAAAAAAGAGAGATTAGGCCAGTCTAAAAGCAACGTTAACCTATGAAATAATTAAAAACTTACTTTTGTCTTAGAAAATAGGCTTTCAAGAATATTAAAGCTTCAAATTGGAAACTCGAGAATTCTCGAGCTCCGGTAATTTTTTTCTCGTCTCGAATGAAGCCAAATTTCTCGAGTTTTCTCGAGTTCGAGAAAGCTCGAGCAGAAACCCTACTACCAACTGACGTTTCTGCGAAATGAATGAATATCCTTCATTCATTTCGCAGAAACCAACCGCATGTTATGAGCAGTGAGCTTTTTGCTTTCCGTGCAAAGTTTACCGAGCCATTCGCAGCAAACCTCGAAAAATGTCTCCATGTCTCGGGTTATGAAGAGCCTAGATTAAATGTTTTCAGCAATTTTCTCTGTTTTCCGAGCCATTCGTTGCAAAGCCCGGAAAATGTCTCCAATGTTTCGGGTTAAGAAGAGATTATTTTATATTATTTTTAAAAAATGTGCTATAAATGTATAACCCTTTTGAAAAAGCTCTCAGTTTCTCAGTTTTCTTCAGAAAAGTCTAGTCTCGGGTCAAGGAGAGATTAGTAATATAGTAGGCGGCACAGTCATGAATAAATCGAATTGAGTGGGTGTTTGTTTAGCAGGTTGGTTTTGAGACGAAGCGAGATCCTCGTCGGGTAATTAGGTTAAGTGGAGGCGTCCGCCGCTGCCGGGGAGACGCAAGGCAATCAAGCAGCTATTTGATACCGCTCTTCCCTCTCAATGGAGAAGTCTTGTTTGATTTTCTTCCAATTCCCAGAAGCAAAGCCGGAAATTACACGTTAAAAGAACTGTAAATTACTCGGGAATAGTAAATCTCTTTAATGTATAAACGTTGGAAAATATAAATTAGAATTGCTTGATTTTTTGTGCAGGATAATTTGTTACTGACACATTATTTGGAGGAAAGTGGTAGAGAACACGAATTGTAAGAAGTTTCCAATATTCAATGAAATCTCAAGGTTATCTTATCCTTAGATTAGTTTGTGTTAATTATTTAAAAAAGTAGAAACATAAATGTGATTGATTTGTAGATAGGGGTAGAAAATCAGTCTCAATTAAAATAATTACGACAATATCTACGACTAATGTAAAGATATCTAGTTTTGTTTCCTATTTCACTAAACGTAGTATACTCGTACTATACCTTCTTAGCACATCAAACAACATTGGCACAGTAATTGGCTAATGAGAAAACAGTCGTAATTGCTTGTCGTTTGACATCGTCCACTGTTCTCTTAAATGTCTTGTTTATTCAATACCGATTGATCTAGCTAGTAGAATGTGCGCAAAAACTCGACCTGATTAATTGTTTCAATTAAAACACCAATTAGGTACATAGCCATATGAATTTGTGCCATACTACGAGAGTATTAAAAGCGATATGAAAATAATATGATAAAAGTAAATGTTTCATTTTGTCTATGCAATATCCTCGTGATTATACCTTACCTTAATAACATTTTGTTCTCATCGGAGATTCGAAATAGCAATTTGAGTGTTGTAGCCATCAAGACCTAATTAGATCAAGCCATAAAATAATTACTTTTATATTACAAAAATAAAAAACCGTATTGTAGAGTCATTGCAACTTGCAGGTTTCACTATTATTGCTATTATTTCCAATGTTTACTATACCTACTACATACCAACATAATACTTGTCTATTACTTATACCACTTACAAAAATAACTTTCCCTTTCGTACGAGTATTGATAACGACTGTCCCAAGTTCCGCTCGCGTGCGTTCTGTCTGTCATTGAGAGACATAATTTATCGTTGTCAGCATCTATAAAATTGTTCAGGGCAATAGTTTTTAGGTTTCAATATTTGACATATTTGATCATAAATCTTATAAATATAAATTGAGCTATAACAGAAAATTGAAATAAGTTAAAACTCGAGCAGATATAAGTACCTAACATGAAATGTTAAACCTATGCCTTGACCTGGGTTGAGCTATAAGTAAGAAAGAAAAGCGGTGGTATATCTAGTATATAAATATTTTGGAGAATAGAACTCATAAAGTTGAGAAATCTCGGGGTACATTTTACGTGTAAACTGTGGCGTGTATTGTTTGCTTGTTATTGATGAATTTATCATAATCAATCATGCGATATTGTACCTAAAACGCGAGCCTACAATGTAACCCGAGCCTGGCATGTCACGGTCGTCTGATCACCTGATAATTCTCGGTAGATGCATGAGATGGCATCCCCGTTGCGGTTTTTGTTGTTTTACAAACCGATTACAGTAGATAATTCCGAATTCTTAAGAACCTTGTCTTGTAATTTGTGATTTAAATAGCTTTACCTGCCTTTTCGTTGATATGGGCTTTGTACTACATCACACTTAGCGCCAAGCAGTTTATAGGTAGGTATAGAATCAGATCAGGCTCTATGATTCCCGTTATGAATATATTCGTGCTTTTCACATTTTAACGTCCTGCCCTCAGCGGGTTTTAAATCAGTAACTGCAAAGCTGTCGTGGAACTTACTCCGTTACGCGAACCCTCAGGCCATAATCCATCCTAGATTTATACGACTTGCCTGTTTTAATACGACTCAGACTCTCAGGACTTAGTTTTTGCTCGCGGCTTCATAGGCTCTACATAATTTTTGTTTACAATCATAACACAAAATAAATCGGTTGGAAATCGACCCGTTCTCTTATTCTTGCGTCCTTACGCCCGTATTCACAAACATTACTATGAGGTCTCACAGTGCGCGTGGACGCACAGGGTATATAGGGTGACACACGAACCAATCACAGAGCTCTATTCAACGCTGTTCGTTCGATTTGCTGCTTCACTTAAGCAAGCATCGTTTGTGAATACGGGCGTCGGTGCATTCATAGTTTCATTTTATCATCAGGTATCCTGACCGCTATCAACTGCATCAGCGTACGATGGACGATGCGCATCCAAGATGTGTTCACCACTTCGAAACTCCTGGCGCTGGTGGTCATCATCATCTCTGGAATCTACTATTTGTGTGCAGGTAAGATATTATTCTTTGTTTTTCAGTGTAGAGTATCATTTCATGTCATTCTTCGGCTGTAGACTCTACCATTTTATGCAAAGGGCAATAATAGCCAAAGGCACGAATCAACTTTTTATTGCAATGATATGTTTTGTTTTGCTTGTTTTGCGGCTGTTCCAGTTTAGGGTCCTACTATGAATGCAACGTCAGTTTCGATATAGGTTTTACCATTTTAATACAAAGATGAGTAGGTACCTACTAGATAGACATAGATTGCTCAGTACATATTTTGAATGTTGATAGCCTTAACTTTGAGTACCTGGATATGGATTAACGATAGAGATGGATTAACGAGACCTAACTACATTTTAACGAGAAAGCTTCTTAAAATAAATAGTCACCCCTGCCGATAGATGAGTTTCCGTTAGTTATTCTTAAAGGCTTATCTTTTCTACATGTTATTGAGTTTTGTTTTTCTGAATTCGATATCCCAACTAANAAGATATAAATATGCATTAAGAAACTGGTGGTCGTTGATAAATTTTCTATTTATTAATTAACCTTAACAATGAGCCACTTTTATGCATGCACGTCGCAAAATCGTCTCGTTTGATTGATTGATATCAATAATAACTGATAAACCTTGCTCTCCTCGCTATCAGTGGGCCCACTGTGTGACTGACTGACTCTTTGATTTATCATTAATGTTTGCTGGAAGTACTCGTATATTGACCATAATTAATGAAGTTACTGTGTCCAGAGAAAGCCACGCAGTTTTCACGGCCAACTATGTTTAACGCACGTCGTAAATTGAAGTAATAACTAACTGCTCCAAGTGCGAAACAAGTTTCTGTTACATTCTTGATTAATTATGTGTAGGTATTCTGGTTTGTGGAACGTGTGAATAAAATATTCAATCTGTTATCGAAGATAGATAACTCAGACGTGTTTTGTTTACCTTTTCAACCGACTTCAAAAAAAGGAGGAGGTTCTCAATTCGACCCGTATGTTTTTTTTAAGTAAAGATGATTACTATTTGCCTTATCTAGGAATAGAAATGTAGATGCATAATCAATTGTTCCAGTATGATCATGATCCGCTCGCTCTATCAAATTTATTTTAAAGAATAGGTACTAGGAGTTTTTTCATCTCACAATAAACGTCTATGTATTACGATAATTTGGTTGCCTGATTTAGAATGTGTTGGTTTCACTAGGTCACACAGAGAACTTCGAAAAACCTTTCGAGGGCGACTACACCGCGGGAAAGGTGGCACTGGCTTTCTACTCTGGCCTCTTTGCTTTCGGAGGTTGGAACTACCTCAATTTCGTCACGGAAGAACTGCAGGATCCTTACAAGTAAGTTTATTTTGCTTTTGGGGAAACTGTTTGTCATATCGTCCCTATATCGTTTTTATATCGTTGTTGTAAATAGGAAGCGATATTGTAATAATTTTGCAAATGTAAATAATCTGATTTACATATAATGTAGGTAATAGTGGATGTGGTCTAATAGACGATATTTATTAATCGCTGACGCTATCTATCTTGGTCATCACATTTACGAAGATTCTTAGGCAAGTGTTTAGATTACATAGAGTTAGTTTAAATGTATTTTATTTTTATTTTCAAGTATTTTATTATAGTAAATAGGCCGAGTTTGTAATTTAATTGGCAAATTCCCTAAACCTATTGTTTTCATAATACGTATATGTTACTGAGATAATTATAATCAATCACAGAAGACTATAGTTTGCTAGGTCATGTTGTCATTATTGCCAGGTCATCGTACCATGTGCAGGGGGTATAGCAGTACATAATAGGTCATACGGTTATCGTAGTGGAAATAGTAGAATGATTACAGCTATTATAATAGCCATGCGTAATATTCCTCCATTCATCTGCATCATTGTTTACCTCGTTAGAGCCAATCGAGTGTTATGTTATTCGAAACTAAAGATGTTTTTGCCTTTTTGCATTTAATAACGGCGTTCTCTCTTCTATCTCTCTTAGATAATGGCGTTAATATAGCTGTTTATTTCAAAACATAGTTGTATTGTACTGTATTATTTACCCCTTTACTTTTTTTTCTTTAGTAAGAAATGCAATAGCAATTTTATTTTTTCCTACAGTTAAATATTTTGAGATTGAAAACTGAAAATGCAAAATATCTAACGCGTTGTCTTATGGTCATACTCATTACGATAAATATACCTACTTATACCTATCTATTGAATTTAAAAGTATTTAATTTGCAAGACCTTGAAATAGCACCTAACAAAGATAAACTAAGATGTTAATTATGAATGAATTAAATTAATTACAATTTAGCAAGATAAGTAGGTAAGTACTTACATGAATCTTAATTCGTTATGCTGATATGCTGATATAGTAGATAGAATTCGGTATTTTGTTTAATAGAGCCACCTGTTTTAGTGTGTAAAATATGTCGTATTAAGATACCCTTTGACCGGAGCCATATCACATGACAATGTGCGTATAACATAATATCTCATGTGGCGATATCGTGTAAGAAACGTAGTTTAACGTAAACTCCTATTTTAAGACTCTTCTTATCATTAATTTATTAATAACAATAGCATATCCTATCTAAATGTAAAATAATAAAAAATCCATTCCTCTAAAATTCTTAAATCAAATTACATAATGATAAACCTTTAACAAACATATTATTTTCATTAATGCCTTGGTAAATACCAGCCCACTTAATATACATAAGAAACAATGTGAATCTATCAAAGATATAGCCCATAAAACAGACGATCCCATATCTGTAGCATCAGAAGAAATGTATATTGCACCTTCTGTAATAGGCTTCGTTTTGTGTCAGCACGTCTCAGTATCGAGACCATTTTATTTATTGCTGACATTATCTTGGTCATCAGTCTTTGTGCAGAAGCTTTTTCGCTTTTTAATCAGGTTCAGCAACAGTTTGAGTTAGTGCAATTACAAAAGTGCTTATGATTGCAATTAAGGTATCTTTGTAACTAGTCAATCTATTCAGTTTATTTGTAATTTTTAAACTACATAATGTACGACAATAATGTTATTTGCTGACAATACATGTACATATTTGTGAGATATTATTATTATGAACTAATGCGCACAATATCGAATCAAAAAGGGCGAACTTATTGCCATAAAGCTTTCTTTTCCAGCCAACCTTTGGAATTTAATCAAAATTTTATAGTCTCATTCTGAAAAAACATGTGACCCTGAAATGGTAGGTACCTACTACTACTTGCACATAGTAGTAACGTCAACGTACGTAATGTAGAGCCAATCTCTACTTCGAATTCAATAGATTCTAAAATCTTTTAAAGTGGTTCTCACGAGTGCCCTGCAAATATACGAGTAAGAAAGGTACTTTTCTTTTTCTCGGGGACAGTAAATAGCGCGGGGCCAAACCTTGAACAAGGTTGTGGTTGTGAACTGATAGATACCGTTTTCCTAGCTTAATATATTTTTTTTGGTTTAATAATTAATTACAACAAAATTCCGTTCTTTCTTTTCTTTGACCTTTTTTTCTTTTCGAAAACGGATAAAAAGGTTCAAAATAGTGCTTAATGAATTAAAGGAAAATACCAGTCATTTAGCAATCATATAAAGATAATCGCTTCTTATCGCACACCATGCGTTTAATGGAAGTATTGAGAAGAGAAGCCACAGGCAGTCAATCTAAATATTATGCTCGTTGCTACGAGCGTTATCTTCTAGACGACCTTGGAGCTATGTGTCGAAATTATGTAGGTGCTGGTTATATGGTAGGTCTTACTTCTAAGAATTTCATAAAGGATGTCTCAATCTATCTAAAGTTGTATAGTATAATCTAGACAGGGTGTCCTACGCATTCTGACACAAATCTCCATTTTGTTTTTTAATCATGCAACCATTTCTTCGAGTTCTCTGGCCAGTATGGGGAGTGTAGCCCAAATCCCCCATTCGCCTCTGGGTGGTGCTCAAGAAGTGTTGACAATTTTTTTTCTTACTAGCTCATAGCCTTTGATCTGGGCTTAAGTTTGAAGTAGTCTTTATGGGGCCACCTGTATGATGATGTTATGTAAAAAATATGTATAATGTTAATCTCCAGAATAACTCTCCATTTTCCACACTACTATCAGGCCTATCTTTTATTTTATTAGAAGTAGTTGTACATCTTGGTGAAGGCTATATACCACTCACCCTATTGCATGTATTATTCATGGAATGCTCCTACATAAAGATGACCGGGAATGTAGAGGGAAAGCAATTCCCATACCGCTCTGAGATAAATTAAGGATGAAATTAACAACGTATTAATAGGTTTTATCACACTTGGACTGGAGCCAGCATCATAGATATCCTTCGCCGCAATAAATCTATGTTTCTTATCGTAGTTTCAATTTGACCGTGACTCTGTTTATTCATATGAGCACAAAACAGAACTTTATTGCTTAGAAATATAGTGATTTTTTGCGGTTTGATTCGGTTTGACTCTTTGGTCTGGTTATGAAGGTCTGTCTGTCATTCCTTTCCCTTCTAGTTAGATTCAATTGGTAGATAGATAGTTAATACCTAGCCAATCCAAGTGGGTTCATGGCTACAAACAAATTAACTTGCACTTACTACATAACTTATATTTAAGTCATTACGGTATTAGTAGTAATGGCTTTATCAATTAATTAACGATACGTTGTTTTTAATGTTGTATACTATTTTCGGGTCCTATAATTAAAGCTAGTGCCATAATTGCAAACACGAAAGTGCTTAAATTGATACTGAAACATCCCTAGTTATTCAGAAATCAAATTAGATCTATCGTGGTCATTACCAAATGCTAACTTGTTTAGTTAATTGAAGACTCTTAATCAAAATACCATTAAGATACGTAATAATAACGTTACCGCAATTTAGGCGTTATTTATAGCCCATATTTATAATATTTCCGTGAATTTCAGGAACTTGCCGCGTGCGATATGGATCGCAATGCCGATGGTGACCATTATCTACGTTATGGCCAACATGGCCTACTTCGCCGTAGTCTCGAAGGGGGAGATGATGACTAACGCTGCTGTCGCTGTGGTGAGTTTTCATACTTTTAACTAGCTTCAGTCGGGTCGTCGGGTTTTCCTGGGTTTTCCTGTGTTTATTTTGTGTCTCGCAAAAAGTGTTTCTCACATGCTGTGAATCTTACAAGTTTTTTCTTACCAAAAGCATAAATATCTAATTTCATATCAGTACATAAAAGAAATGATTTCATAACTTTCTCTTACAAACTTTACTTAATTAACTGTTGTAACTACACTAAAAAATGTTTCGTTACTGCTTACACAAATGCGAACTTGCGAACTGAGTGTTAACCTATAACCAAACCTGGTTTAGCTCACTATAAAATAGTTCGTTTAATTTACACAAAATTTTGTTCCTTATAACCAAAGTACCTACCTGTTAGTAGTAACCACTAGTTCGCTAGTCACTCATTTGTGTAAGCAGTAACTATACTTTTTTTTTTCAGTGTATGTGTTACATGCATCAACCAATCTAAATCGAGCTACATACTAGAATATGCATATGAAATTTATATTAATGAGATTATTATTGTGAGTTTTGACCTCAATTCTCATTATCACTATGAGATTATAATCTGGTTATGAATGATAGTGCTTATCGCACTATAATTTTCGCTTAGCGTGACTCGAATCAGTAGCCGCACCAGCCGTCTGAAACACAAATTCAAAGTCAAAATTTCTTTATTTGTATAGACTAATAAAATTATTACTTACAAATCGACAAATATCTTGTGTCTCATATCATTAGGCAGCAGTTAGGTACTTACATATATGCCTATAACATTTTTACTAACAACAGGATGCCCAAACGACTATGTTTGTAGAGCCAAATCAGCAGTGAAATATAATAAGTCCACTTATAATTAGTTTAATAGTTAACCGGAAGAAAATAATCGTAGCGTAAACTATATTCAGCGAATAATTAAGTCCTACGTACTAGAATTTTGATTAGAGCTCATACAGTCAAAACAGGAAGGGCGATTGTTCAGAGGCGTAAAAAAGATTCACTTTAATAAAATATCTAAATATCTACTAATCATCATGCATATTAAAATTATAATTAGATGGGTAATTAGCGAAACATTCTCGAGTATGTACATCCTATCTGCATATTCATACGGTTATAAATAAATACACGAGTAGGTAAAATATTTTAGTGACTACGTAAGTACTGGGTAAATGGCAGTTGCGTTTATTCACATCAGCGAGTGAGACACACGTCGTTTAATATGAGTATTAAACTAAAGGTGCATCCACACACAGGCATTCGCATGAGATGAAAATGCAAGCTTTGAGCTTTTTTCCGACATAAGAGTAGGTAGGTACTAAGTAAAGTAAGTAAAAAAAACGTACTGCGGTTGCAGATAAAATCGAAAACAACTTTTTAAATTATTTATTTATTTTTAATAATTTTTTTCTATAAATTCGTTTATCATTCGATATTGCTGTTAAGAAAAATATTTTGGAGATTATTTGACTGTGACTTTTTTATTCATTTTCATTTCCGGGTAGAGTGGCTTGAAACAACTTTGCACAGAAACCTTAACTTTGAATTCCTACTATGATCTTCTGATTTATTTCGTTGCGGGTCCAATGACAGATTAACTTTTCCCCGGGACAAACTTGACCTTCATTGGTTGGGTTTGTGGTGGTCAAGCTGTAGATTTTGGCTACACAGGACTTGCAGCGGTGGAAACGAGAGGTGGGAATAGTCCTCTGGTTTGTAATAACGGATATCACGGTGTCAAACTTTAGGAGTCTGGTCATTTCAAAAACATTTTGTTTAAGAAGGTCTATTATCATTACGCTTACAATCAGTTAGTAGTATACTTACGTTCTAAAAACACAATTTCTTTACACTGGCAGAAAGTGGAACAAAGCAAAAAGTTATCAACTTAGTAGGCTCAAATTAATTAGCCTAACAACAGTGTTTATAATTAGATTTGTTATCCAACTTGCACGAACTGTGATCTTTCAACTCTGGTAATTAATACGTATTAAGTAGTTTAATTTGCTTATCTATGAGCACGCTACAATTAACTGTTAACATCATTACTATAATATATGTTTATTTAACCCTGAGCTTTCATTAAATAAGACAAAACGGTTGTTAAACATGTAGATAATAGCTATGTTATGTCGATACAGAGATAATAACTTTGATTTTTATTATCATTCTTATCGTGCAATTGTCAAAAACGCGTGTTTTTTGCCTGCCTATTTCTACATAATCGTTCTATTGAACATCTATAAATATATGTATATGTAGGTCACGTACCTACTCGTATTAGAGATTTTTTTGAGCAACTACCAACCTGCTCTACCCTTTTAAAATAAATAATCTGCGAACTCTACCCAAGATTTATTTCACATGAAAACTGTTAATGAATTTTTAATCACAAACCATAAGTTATTTAAGTAGGTATACCTAAGTACTCCTATTTTCTTATCAATGACATAATCACGTGAAATCATACGAAATCCTTTAAACATTGTAAGGCTTAATGTAATTTGTTAATCCAATAAAAAATCCCTTATCAAAATCATCAAAGATATAAATAATTGCAAGGTAATAAAAACATAGTTGTGTGAGGTGAAATCTTCCAGGACTCAAATGAGGTCAAATTTCGTAAAAGTACTGTGTTTTTCAAAGTTTTAGGTTTAACCATATTTACAGGTCGTGTATAAAACTCCTCAGTTTAAAATGAGATATTGATTTCATTAGAGTGATTTTTCGCGTAGCAACCTAATATTTGCTTTGCTCTACTTTAAACACTCTTAATTCTCAATCTCCAGGTCTTCGGCGACCGTCTATTCGGTGGCTGGCGCTGGGTGATCCCCGTTTTCGTAGCCCTGTCGACCTTCGGAGGGGTCAACGGGGTTTTGTTCACGTCAGCTCGGCTGTTCGCGACGGGAGCGCAGGAGGGACACATGCCGGCCTTCTTCACGCTGTTCCACGTGAACAGACAGACGCCTATACCGTCGCTTATTTTTACTGTAAGTGTAATATTTATGAATGTACCTAGTATAATATGTATGTAGTGCTTTGGGTGGTGGTATTTCATGAGATTATAGTATCTCTATTAAATTGACATTATCGCTGAAAATATTCTACAGCTGGACACCAAAATATCGTTTTGCTACTAATTTGCTGCATGGTGGCTCATTTTCAATTACCTAATACAAAAGACACAAAGTTCAAGATTTGTTACTTTATCGTAGATCGGTGGAATTGCTGGTGACGATACCTGAAAAGTCATCATTTGCGTTTGCTTTTGTGGTTTTCGTGCTAAGGTTGATTGTAAAAATTGTAGATCTAAAGATTAAAAGTTTCAGGCGTGTAACTTTGAAAATTACTGAAATTAGGAACTTATTATTCTCGAATGTTGTAGCACTATATTTTTTATTTTCCAGTGTCTCTTCTCCTTACTCATGTTGACGACAAGCAACGTGTTCGATCTGATCAACTACTTCTCGCAAACGCTGTGGCTGTCCGTCGGCGCTTCCGTGGTGGGTATGCTCTGGCTGCGGCGGACCAAGCCCGACATCCCGCGCCCCATCAAAGTTAACATCATCATCCCTTACGTGTTCCTCATCGCCATCGCCTGCCTAGTAATTATCCCAGCCATCACCCAGCCAAAGGACACCGCCATCGGCCTCGCCATTCTCCTCTCAGGAATACCCGTATACTACCTCTGCGTTCGGTGGAAGGACAAACCTAACTCCTACCACTCCTTCTCCGGCTGCATACTCAGGTTCCTACAGAAACTCTGCTCATGCATCTACGTCGACTCCTCCGAAAAACTCGCCGATAGTTAAATTATATTTAAGCATATAAAGGACCAATATTTACGCTTATAGTAAGTGTTAAAAGGCATTTATTGGACGAGCTTATTTACACGGAATACGTTCAACTTTTACAGACAACAAAAGTTATATTTTTGAGATGTGATATTGTGATTTCATACATTTTTTGCACGTTTGTAAATTATGCACAAAACATTAATATCATTGTTCATATAAAATACGTAATAGTTGACAATACTGCTAGAAATAGTTTTGCACAAAATGGCACTTGATTTTACATTTGCAAAGAGTGTTGAGAAACGGTTTTAATTATATAAAGATCTAATTTACACAGATAGCTTATTATACACTAAATTGTCGACGTTATTGCTATAGCCATTGTAGGCAAAATGTAATCGTAATCTCTCTTACTAGGTAATGATTAAAGTATAGAAGTGAATGGATGAAGGACAAAGTAGGACGCTTTCGCGCTCGTTTATAAGTTTACTTCATGATTGTTATCAATATTTGTTACGAAAATAACGTAACGTGCACCGTGTGACTGCAAAATGGTTGTTTTATACATACGAGTAGGCGCCAACCTTATTTATGGAGATGTAGAGAAACTGCGTACTTATCTACAAGGACTGTCTCGTAGTAACTTTCATTCCAATAATGATTCATTCCATGGAAAATGATTACTTAAAACCAGAAATAAATAGAAAGTAAGTAAATACATAGCTTTTCTCTATACCTTCTCCATTTCAGCGTTGGTTAAATCAATAGTTACCTACTTGTTGCGCTCTTCTGCAGCTATTTACCTACCCCCAACTGTTAATTTATTACACTTTTTAACAAAAGTTTTCTCAAATAAAATGTCAACATACTTGTGTATAAAAACAAATCGTACTTCATTCATTAATACCCATTCTTAATATTATCGAAGTAAGTAATTGTTAACCATTCAGTATTTTAGCTGATGTAGTTAAGATCTTAATGTACAATCTCTGCTCTTGTTCTAGGAGTATTTCTTACTTTATTGTCTAAACGGAAATTCAACATAATGGTTTTCTCGAGAACTTGTATGGTTTGCTGTTATTATCGAAATCTAGAGATACAAAATATCTTCTTGATAACATGTTAATTTTGATAGAATCTTTAGCATATTTCTTTACCTATAATCTATCTAATGAATATCATCCGAAACATGTAAATACGCAGTTTTAAATTTTTAATGAAAATTAGATACCTACCTGCGACATTTGACTTTTTTTAAACGTTTCAAGGCAACTTTCACACAATGGAGGTATTTATGAACGCCTCAAGGAAAATGTAAAGCAAAATATCTAACAGACACAAAATAGTTGAGCTACGAGTGCTACGACGCATTACTTATGCACTTTTTTTTTTACAAAATACAGGGTGTTATCTCCTGATACCTATGCTGTGTGACCGTGCAAATAGTCTCAAAAGGCCTTTTCAAGCATCACTGATACAACTTGAAACCATAAACTACAAACGTAGAGATTATTTTATGGCTAAGGAACATTTATTTAGTATATGATTGTATTTATATGGATAAGGTACTTTTATACGTTTCTTTGCGACTTTTAGCATTTTTCATAAAGCTACTCATATATTTTATTATAGACTAGGTAGGTATACATACATAACTATTTATCTACAATTATATTACATTCCTGTCATTAAACGTGTTAGATAATGTAAACGTATATTTTAGGCAACGTATACTGAAATTTTGCTACGAAAAGTTATTTTAATATTATTTATTGAGTTTTTAATTTTAACGTTTTTTATGTTACATACTTAATGGTAGATATAAGTAGATAATTTCTTTGATATGACGTCACGTGTATAATAAAAACTTATAATTTTGCGAGAAATGGGCCAAGCCCCATTTGAAGTATTTTCATCGATAAAATTGTCCATAGATTACGCCCTTAAAGTTTGATCACTACTTGCCCGGACACACTGTATAAATAAAAATGAATTGATGTTCGTTAGTCTGATTAAAACTCGAGAACGGCTGGGCTGGACCGATTGAGCTGATTTTAGTTTTAAAATGTTTGTCGTAATCCAGGTGAGCAAATACGCGCGCGATATTGTTTTTCTGTGACAGACAAAATTCAACGCGGGCGAAGCCGCGGGCGGAAAGCTAGTTAGTAATAAAAATTACTTGATTAATCCAGTTATTGTATCTGTTCCCCCGGGCCAGTGGGTATGCATCCCCTGGGTCAGTGGGTATGCAATTTCATGCATTTCCTGACGAAAAAAAAAGTTATTGTATCTGTTCTGTGGACTGTTTGTTTCACCCTGTAAGTATGCACGAACAAAAGAAGTGGGAGTTCTTAATGCAATGCAAGTAAAAAAAAATATTTCGCGGTTGACGTTAAATTGTTTTATTTATTTTAATAATAAGTTTTGTAACTAAGGTAGTTATAAATAAATATCATGGTTATAAGAAGTATCCTATCAATATTAGGTACAATGATTGCGGAATAATGTTAAATAAACTTTATGTCTGTTTCATTGTGGTTTGATTACCTTAGTTTATTATTGGTTTTAGATCTCACAAGTCCTGGGTTCGATTCCCAGTCCGATCTATTTTCGTAAATAATCGACCTATTAGCGTATTATGGGCAACCCAACTTAAAGGAAAAATATTTTAGCCTCTGACATTGACAACGTCAAGTAGAGCAGACTGTGAAAAGGAAAATGCATTACCTAAAATTTATACCATCACGGCTCCGTATTCCGCAAGTTCGTGGATTTAGACTACACGCTCCATACTACGCCCATAAATGGTTTCCTGATGTGGAATACGTAAAGCAATTTAGCGGACCAGTCATGTTCGTTACACCCATATTTGAGAAGTTTTACAAAATGAATTACACCAACAAAATTCCACCGGTTGAGCGTAAATTGAAAAATATGTGGATCAACTTTGGACCACAGCACCCGGCAGCTCACGGCGTCCTTCGTCTCATTCTTGAGTTGGACGGAGAAACTGTGGTTAGGGCTGACCCTCACGTTGGTTTTTTGCACCGCGCCACAGAAAAACTTATGGAATCTAAACATTACAATCAAAATCTTCCTTACATGGATCGACTCGACTATGTTTCAACACTTGCAAATGAACAAACGTTTGCATTGGCAGTTGAAACACTTCTTGACATTGAAGCACCTCCAAGGGCTAAAGCAATTCGTGTCTTATGTGCTGAGCTGTGCCGAATAGCAAATCACTTATTGAATGTATCGGGCACAATACTCGACGCTGGTGGAATTACGCCGTTCTTCTGGATGTGTGAAGAACGCGAGAAGCTGTACGAACTATTTGAAAGACTGTGTGGAGCACGGGTCCACTGTGCCTACATCCGACCTGGCGGAGTGTCCCAAGATATTCCTATTGGGTTTTTGGACGATGTTTACGAAGTATGTATGAAAATGGGCGAGCGCTGTGATGAAACTGAAGATGTTGCTACGGGAAATAGACTGTACTACGCTAGGACAGCAGGCATAGGGACTTATACCGCTCACGATGCTATTAGTCTAGGTTTCACAGGTCCCATGCTAAGATGTGCTGGTGTAAAATGGGATTTGAGAATTGCAAACCCATACGATGGTTATGATTTATATGATTTTGATGTTCCCGTAGGCACTTTCGGCGATAGCTACGATCGTCATCTTCTACGTTTGGAAGAGCTGCGTCAATCTTTGAGAATTATTAATCAAGTTATAGACACCATGCCTGAAGGTGAAGTAAGGACAGATGACTCGAAGATTTGTCTTCCTTCACGTAAGGAAATGAAGACATCAATGGAGTCACTTATTCATCATTTTAAACTTTGCACGGAGGGATACCCCGTTCCACCTGGAGCAACTTATACATCAACGGAATGCCCAAAAGGAGAACTAGGGATGTACATGGTTGCAGACGGTACTTCGAAACCTTATCGGGCTTACCTTAGACCAAGCTCGTACACACATCTCATGGGTCTTGCCCATATGTGCCCAAAATTAATGCTTGCCGATGTAGCTATTCTTATTGCCACTATAGACGTGGTGTTTGGCGATGTTGATCGTTAAAATGACTAACCGCTGCGGGCTGTGGGATTGGTTTTGTTTAATTTAAATAAAAATGTTTTAAATATTTAGAAAGAGTTTTTTTAAGGCATTGCCACGCTGATGAGTTATCTTCGAAGCCCAAAATCCTTACTGGGGTGGTGGGCTTGGCCTCAGGCCTCAGTAGTCTATGTAGCTAGTTACTTTTATTACATATCGCACACCTAGATCTAAACTGAGACAAATCAAAAATTGCCAATTTTGACTTATGCTTGTATTCAAATACTCGGTTATCATACGCATCTTTCCATCATAACAGGTTTAATAAAGCCTTGATCCATTTGCCGCTAGATGGCGATAACTTACTTTTGTTGAATCAAAGCTTGTCAACCCCTTCCACCTAAACAAGCGTTTTGTCAGTTGACCTTCGCTAGTATCAGAGAGTGCACGTATTAAAATAAACGAAAACGGGGATATTTAGATTTGTTACAGTTAAGCAGAAAATATATAATGAGTTAATTTGAGTAGTAGCAGTATTGATGAATTGTTCTGCAATAGTCAACCAGATCATTTTGACTTGTTCCAGTTTTGTTTTATAAAGTAACTGATATTTTGTTACCATTTTGAGTTGAGTTTGTTTTGATGAATCAACTTGTGAATTTCTAGTTGGCGTAGTTTTGTTGGAACAAATTTCAATTCAATGTTTTTCTATACAGAACGCGTAGTTTTGCATGTTTCACCTAAAATCAGGTACAGTATGATAATCCCTGTTTCTAAATAAAGTTAGTTTTATTCAAACTGTTCAAAAATAAAGAAAATGGTGTACTAAATACTGTGCAGTATTTAACTGCCTAAATAATAATAAAAACACAGAATGTACTTTTTTAAGTTGCCTCAAGACACTGAGAGGTAAATAAGTAGTTAATATTATTCATGATAATTCATGCTAAATCATGTATTTCCTCCGCCATTTTCCGCAGTTTGGCACCTCACGTCACATCATTTTACCGAAGTCAGCCCTATAGCTTCGGCGCAGTACCGATCACTGACGTTTGTCAACAAAATGGTGCTTGACTCTTGAAACAAGCTAAATTACACCATATTGTTAATGACATTGAGCATACATTTTTTTAAATACCTTCGCGAAGTAAAACTTCTGTACGTAGTACTTATTATTATTCTGTGGTATTACACCGATTCGGTATCGGCTGATTTTTCATACAAATTAGAATCGGGCTCAACTATCGGCTAACTAAAATTCGGTGGTCTGCGCCTAGGCTAAAGCTTGCCATTTTCAAAACAATAGTTCAAACTTGTAGTTTGAAAATGTTAAACTACTTTTATTTGAGTGAGACCATTTTGCGAATGAAAATAAATGGTCATTTTTGAAATCGTGACGAAATGCGAATGGGACTGCGTCACACCCATGGAAAATAAATAACTGTGTTGTGATTAAAATGTCAATTAACAACAGTTAATGTGCGATCTTGCAAGCAGGATGTCTGTTCAAAACGTCTAATTTGAAAGTGCGCTCTATGTTCAGCATAAATTGAATACACAAAATTGGTATAAATCATACCACCTTAAAGAAAACAAAATTAAATGTAGGAAAATATAGCGTACATATTATAGGTGTATGAGATTTTTTGCCATTTATGATGCTAATGTACGAGACAAAAAGCAGGAAGACACATACCATAACCACACAGTAACACAGCGCCATTGTAACCATAAGCAGAGCAAGTTTTGTCCTATGTACTATCGGCAACAGTGACTGCCCATTGCCGGTCATGTCGTCTCGTTCTATCGCAAAGAACCACCATTTGATAAGAGCGAGAGCAAAAACGGAAATGGATAGTTAACACTGTGGCCGATAGTATGTATGTATATCTAGCTTTTGCCCGCGGCTTCACCCGAGTGAAATTTCGTTTGTCACAGATCGTCATAAATTATAGCCTATATGTTATCCTGGTTTATAAACAATAATACTGTAAAGTTTCATCAAAATCCGTTCAGTAGTTTTTGCGTGAAAGAGTAACAAACATTCAGACATCGAAACTTTCACATTTATAACATAAGTAGGCTATTATTATTATTATTTTTATTTCAGGTACGCCCATTATTGAACATAAGCCTCCCCTAACAATTTCCATCTGTCCATCTTGTGGATAGATCCTACGATGTAGTCGATCAAATTCCTTAAACACACTAGTTTTGGCCTGTGTCTTTACCTTAAACCTGTTGAACTGCCGGAACTTCCCCCTATCGGTAGCCACAAGACTCCTTAGCGATTGCGTCCGTGGACACTGACTATCGGCCAGCCAGCGATACGTGCCGAATAGTTTCGATGTGTCGGCGCTGTGGAGATAAAAAAAATTGTTCATAGTACAGTTCTATTGATACACTGTTAAAGGCGGATTTATATCTCGTGGAACCCGAATCGGTCGCATGTGACCACGGTAACAATTGATTTCTATTGTGTCTCGATACGCTGGTACTTGAAGGGTTACTTGTTTAACGTACTGTGTCGTGGTGCATTAGAATGGAACAATTTTCCTGCATTAAGCATGGTAACGTTACTCCATACAAAATACACCGATTATCGTTGTAGTTACGGTTAAAATTAGGTGGTGCAACTCAGCCTAAATGTGTGAAACCGATTCCGTTTTGATACGTCACGACAACACGTCAGACAAATATAAATCCACCTTTAGTATTAGTGGGCGTATACAGGGTGTCCCGTAATGTAACGTCAAGCCGGAACTGGGTGTTGAGGCAAGTTGTGCTGGTTATCAGAAAAATATAAAAAAAAATCTATGTGGCATATTTTAAAAATAATAGGCATTTAAAAAAAATCTAAAAATTCTACTCCAGGTGACGGTCCTTTTGCTCGTGTTGCCACAAATCATCACTTTTTCCAATTTTTTATTTTGTTATGTAACCCTGAATAATGCTTCTCTAAATTGTTATCAAAATTACAAAACCAGCTGCTCCAACTTGGATGAAAAAAATACATTATTCCCAAAAAAAATATCAAAATAAAAATTTTGCCTAGTTTAAACTGACTGTACTGAAAAAAAATTGTACTATGCGAGTGTGGCAAGTGACGTCATAATTTGGCGCATTTAGTAAGGATTCTAAAATGGTATAACACTTTGTAAAATCTTGCTGTAATTGTCGACAATTTTTGTTTATTGGAAATAATCCCGTTTTTAACTTTATCTACCTTGGTTAAAAATTATTATTCTAATGTGCCCAAAATTCAAGTTTCTGGCTTAAGTGGGGTTGAGAAGCCNGTGTAGAATATCTTTTTACAAAGCTGTTTATCCTAACTCCTTTGCGTCACTAATGCTGTGACACACAATGGAGGCGTTTGGCAGAAAGTAGCGCTAGCAAGTAAAATGGCGTCGTTTTTTAGCGGAAAGTATAAAAAAATGTAAGTATAGAAAACTGAAGTTTAGCAAACGTGTCCTAGCCGAAATCATGCGAAAGTTTTCAGCGATTACCATGGCACTCGCCATTTAGCTAGCAAATTCTAACGATGCTATTATTATCGGCTGAACGCAGTCAATAACTGTCAAGATCAGCTGAGCGACAGCTGTCATTCCGTAAGTNGTAACTAATGCCCAATTTCACCATCAATCCCTAATTTTTAAGTGACCCCTATGATAACAAAATTCCTGTTATGTGTTTACCATAGGGGTCACTTAGAAATTAGGTATTGATGGTGAAAACGGGCATAAGTCACTCCAATAAATAGATAAAGTTTACAACTAGAAAAAAAACTTACTTGAAGGTTGGCCCCTATGATTTGAGGTTGGCACTAACTAAAACCGAAATTAAAATAACACTCTTTTGATATCGAACGTAGATCGACCAAACACACTTTATCGCTCGTATACTTTTTCTATCTAACTCTCATTCAAAATTATCGAACAAATCCCCAGGTATATTCAACCATACACGAATGAACAAGTACCGTTTTACATAATACATCGTCGACGTATTATGTGTATTGTTACAAGTGATAAAGGTGATAATCTCCGTGAGTAAACACCATAATACACTTTTATATCGGCCTGCAGACATAAACTAAAGCGGAGCTTTCTCCTTACAACACATCAAGTAAAATATTCCTCTATGCCATGGGATTATGATTATCATAAATATTATTAATCTATCAAAGCATTAGCGTTATGACATAAACATTATAGGTAAATTATGTAACGTAGGCTCATGTATGTTAGTTCAAGTTTATTGAGTTGGAGAACTTGGAGAGCTCTATCTACAATGACTCATCAATTTTATCAATTGCCAATAAGAAATGTTGCAATTAAGAAAATAAAATTACATTTGCTTCTACTTAATTGCAATACATTGTCTGTTAGGAGAATGTTCTAATTATATGTTGGATAATGCCACATGGCGTTAAGTTCGTATAAAAAGTATTTTAAATAAATACTATAAATAAAAAATAAATGATCGCTTAAAAAAATCTAACAATCTTAAATTAATTTTAAAACAGATTACGCTGCTTTTGTAATTGTTATGGTCACCCAAACAGGCGGAACTGTAGTAAAGGTTAGCCTAAATAGCATAGAGTAAATAACATAATAAAACATAATCACTACTCATAACTCACTAACAATAACATCGGATCAAGCAAACAAGCAATTAGCAAAAAATCTTGAAGGTCATACGTAATGCTTCATTACATCAGAAGTCTCCAAAACGGCAAATGACAATGCAACATACTTACTCGCAAAATCGAAAAGTGACATAAATAAAGAATCCAATTTCCTACTTCCGAAATTACTCAACTTGGTCGGTCGATGTTACGCAAGCCCGCATCTTCGGGGTCGGCGGTTGACATTAGTGACACACAAGATGTCAAGATGGGTTTCATAGCCTTGCAATCATAAATACCAAATACCTATTGAATTTGACCTTTTCTTAAACTGTCTTCTTTAAATATGTGCACTGAAATATTTAACCAGGTCACTCGCGTTTCTACACTTGTTATTATTCTTGCAATCAGATTATTCTTGAAGGAAAACTTTTATCGTCGTACATTGAAGTAATATTGTACGTAGTACATTATAACTCAATGTCGTCGTATCCAATAATATCACTACAAAATTAAAGAACAATATCAATATCTATCAGGCAGTCAAGAACAAAGAACTGGGTCAGCCGCAGTGTAACTCAGATTAACTTTAATGTCCTAATTATGTATTAATAACTCGAGTATTGATACGGCCTTAAGTTATATTAACAATGCCAATTGATGTGCGTGCGTACCTACATATGAAACCGTGCACAGGTATGTATCAGTTCTCATACAAATGTCACCTGTACAGACTCGCTGAGCTCGCATGAATCATTCAATCCCGTGAGAGAAAGTATACAGTATACATGACCACAAGTTTCAGCAGGTTATCGCCAATGCAAGCTCGACTCATTCTAAAAACGAAGACACAAATTAATCACAACGACATCCGGTACAACTCGTCCAATTAGATGTAATTAATATATTGTATCTGCTCATATTTCTCCTATCTGTTCTGAGCACTGATTTAATAACAATATCAGTTAATGAAAATACATCTTATATTTCATATTTAACTAAAATTTACACGAACGTCGTCAAATAAGAAATACTATCGTCATATTTAATGTATCATATTGCTGGAAAAGGTCCCTGATAATGCTGTCAAAGGCAATTAGCTATTCTGTCAGATGACCTTCCAAACGTCACGCATCAACTCTACTGAAGCCGCGACGCTCCTCTTCGAGTGAATTAAAATACGAGTAATAATTCTTATTCAAAAGTTATAAATTGCTCTTCTTTTTCATATCTTTTATGAATTAAAAACATAGAAGAATATAATTAGAACCATCTAAAAAACAATGTAATGAGGTTTCTTAAGTTTGTAATTGGTACTGTTAGGCGAGCTCTACACTGTGCTCAAGGCCGTGACGGTGTGTACTAGCTTTAAAGATAACTAATCTTCTGTATTTCATTAAGCTTGCTTAAGATTACGTAGCTTATATCCCTTAACAGCATCTGACACAGATAAGTACAATAAAGTAACACTTTCTTTCATGTTTAAATTTTTATGAAGGTGTGACGTGTTTCCACGTTTTATGTGGGTTACCGCTGTATAATATTACATGCATTAAATATTCGTCAACATTGATTAAAATAAATTTTTTTAGCCCTCGTGGTGATGCTTAAATGTTCATATTTTTTGTCCTATTTACTCGTACATACGCACGCAACATAAATAGCCTCAGACCCAAACAATGCTTATCTATGTACTAGGTCAGGGCTTGCCAAACTGTGCGGCACTATCCCAAGGGCGTTTGGCGATCTATAATATACTCGTAGATTGGCTCTGTGTTGCTACTAGACTAGAAGAAATTAATGATAGGTATTTTTGGGCAGAGGGGGCGCACAAAAATTTGAAATTGTCTAGGGAGTCGAAGTAAAATATGTTTGAGGAGCCGTGCTCTAGATCAGTGTTTTTCAACCTTTTTCATGACACGACCCCTCTAGTATGAAAAAATTTTTGGCGACCCCCCGACCCCATCCCCGACTTTTCGCTTTTTTTTTCATGCATGTTACAAAGATGTTGTAGGGACCGAATACTTCAATCCATACAACATTTACGCATTAGCATAATTAGATTTCGGACAATTCTATCTTAAAACTTTCTTGTTTATTTTACTGAGGTAGTTTTTCCACCTCTCGCGACCCCCCTGTAGAGGCTTCGCGACCCACACGTTGAAAAACACTGCTCTAGATAATAGAGCAAGATCTCTTCCGTACCGAAGGCTGGTCAGCAAGATCCTTGTCCGATAATCGCCGCACTTGGCACGCCGTTAGCGCATCAGCCAGCCCGTTACCGACCGCCGACGCAGCGTTCCGCTACGCGCCCGCTCTTTATTAGTTTAGTTAGGCTCTGATGGACGCTGGCTGCATTTGATTTTTAAACATTAATATAACAATAAAAAGAAAATTGGAATTGGCTTGATTTTCGCTGACATAGTTTCGGGGAAATAAATAAAGTAATTGTTGCAGCAATAGCCAATTATCTGGATTGGAACTAGGCAGATCTTGTAATGGCGGACTAAAATGCTCAACGTTAATGATAACATTCATATGTCTTCATGGCTTTAAATCTATTTATGAGTCAGCTCCAAAGATTCGTGTATCTTGCGAGATGTAAACCCACATTATTGGATTTCATAACTCGAATTGCTAGGCTTACCTATGAATATATCGTTATAAAGTAGCGTAAATAGGAGAGCTAGCATAAAATCATAGAGTCAATCAGTCAGTTAGCAATCGAAATTATGCTACTGATTTTTCGTTGGCGTATTGGGTTTTTTATTTTACTCAAAGTCAAAGTCAAAATTTCTTTATTTGTATAGACTATTAAATAGTTCTTACAAATCGTCAAATATTTTGCTCTTAAGGAGCCTCTACATGTCTCATAATCTTTTTACCCTACCAGATACCTACCTACCCTATTGAGGCTTCGTTTAGACTTGGAATCCTTTTGTCATAGTTTGCGAAGAATAGAACATTCTTCATTTTTAGATAGTTAGATAGGTTTGCTAGATTTTTTGAAACAAATTGCTATCCGCAAAATGCGCATGTTACTGCAAATGCATAACAAAAAGCAAATCACAGTAAAGTGAGCGCGTCTTAATTGCATATCACAAAACGTGGTTGTAGCTCACCGTAATAAAGCATACATTAGCCCAGAGAAAGGAAATGGCGAGTGCCTCATCACCTCGCTTCGTAGGAAAGCGGATGCTATCGCTGAAGATTTCCTACACACTGACATGCCCACTGATCTGAGTTGTATAACCGAAGGAAAACGGAAAGTGAATCCGACGACAACAGGTCTCGTGTACCGCTACCCAATTACAGCGTTTTGAAAAAAGGTTGAAGAAAATGCGGATGTCATAAGAGCCATTTGTTGTTGAGATGAAACGAAAGGGTGTGCATTATGTAACAGTGTTGTGCGAGACCCGTTAAGGCTGCTCTACCAATTTAAAATGATATGGAAAGATATAAAGGCAATATTTGTCTTTCTTCCCATATACGAAGAACTAAGGTAAAGAACAAACTATGTAAACCTGCGATGTAATCTTGGAAAAGAACAGTCAGAATAATTCAACAGATAAATAAATATAAAATGTATTAACATCGATATCCAAAAAGCTATAAAATGCGTAATTCATAGCAAGTGGATCATCATTATTTCTTCAAAGTAAACACAATCGATCGTCCAAGCAAGTGACCGTCCGGCACCACGCGACCTCAACCCTCGATGACAGAGCCACGCGCGCGCGCAGTCCGCCCGCAGCCGCGGCCCCGCGCGCACCATGCAGCGGCCGCGCCTCTCGCTTGCTATGCGTGACAACTGGCGCCATCTGCAGCGCCTCTACGGGCTCGAGCTCGACGACGAATGCTCGCCCCCGCGACGCGCGCCCAGCCTAGACTCCCTCATCAACTCCTCAGAGGGCGCAGCCTCCAGCGCCGACGCCTCCGCCCCCGAGGACTCCGACTCCGGCGCCGACACACGCGAACCCGAACCGCCCCGCCGCAACAACCCCGACCGCCACAAAAAATGCCCCCAGAGCTACTCGTCGTCGTCTAGCGGACACATGGAGACGATACACGAGGAGACCATGGAACCTAAAGTGTCTGTGAAAGAGATCCTGGCCAGGTTCGAGAATCTGACCGAAAAGACTGATACGCCCCCCATACAGGTAACTAGTGCCAAAACAGTGTTTCGGAATTTGTTTAAGCCTTGTTTGGGTGCGTCGAATACTTCGCCGAGCGTTCCATCGGATCTGTGCTATTTCGCAGGAATGCACCCGCGATGGCAATCTTTGAGAATGTGCTCAATACAGTTTTAGATATTTGCTACATTTGGTGTCGAAATAAGTATCGCTGCGTACTAAGGGGTGTCGAAAATTGGTTTAATCAGCTGTTTCGTAAGTGAGATATTGATGGACATTTCACAACTGTGACAGATTCACAAAATCGGTGTTTTACAATAATTTGGCGCAGTTTTCGCTGCATTGAACATTTGATTTTGATGTCGATTAATGTGGTTATCTTGAATGGTAGGTAATTATAAATCGGTTATTTGCTCTAGCGTGTGTACACTTTCCAATCTTCGATCGATGCTCTCGAGGTTACATTGATCTATTCATGAGGTAGCCATGATAGGTAAAAACTGCTGTTAGTACGAGTATTACCGCCACTCGTTGCATAAATGATATTAATGGTTCAGTTAGTGTCACATTTATTTATGTAATGTGCCTTTCCTGGTTTTTATTTGTAGAGTCGTAGTAATCGTAGGCATACTAGCTCATTTGTCTATTGCTTCCTGATTGGATCTTATTGTCTTAACGCGAGCAACGAGATGTCGTTAGATTCATATATTGTCTGTTTTATATCAAAGTTATATGCATAAACAAACATACTTAACATAATATTATGTCATAAGAAAGAACGTTGGATAGGCTTCCTATATGAAAATTCTTCATTTTCGAAAATAATTTCATACATTAATGATTTCTTAGTAGGCATATTTTAAACGATAAACATTTACTATTTTTTTAATCAGTTCATAAAACCTACATTGCCTTAAAATTTTTGAAAAGTAGATACTAATTAGGTACCCTCTCTAAAGTTGCTCAAAAGTGATGAAAAGTCCTCAACGCGTGGTGTCAAAACTTCGTAGTAATTTGGGCAGTCTCGCAACCGAAATAATTAAACTTATTAAGTGGAATACTCTCCATGCCTACGTCCATAGCTTGGTACTGTTAGCCGTAATTATCCGCCTCTAATTTCATTCTAGAATATTCCAATCAAAATGCCATTTCTAAAAATTTGCATCGTTTTTGTAGCCTTTATTGTATTCTGCATGAGCATATCTTATATTTCTGTTTATCACTAGCCTTTTCGAGTCTCGTACATTTTGTATGTTGCGTGCTCCAAATAAGTATCACTACTTGCCTAGATAGTACTTATTGATCTCTTGCAAAACATCTTAGTTCAGTACTTGTCTAGATTCTATAAAAATAGTATTTTCTCCAAGCGTCATCATCATCAATTCTCCGCCTTAATATTGAAACAAAGCAAGCCGGAAATCTTTCTATTTTTACATTTCTAGCGAAAACGATTGCGAAGTCACCAGATGGCTGACAATTGATTTTCTATTGCGTCTTCAATAGTCTTCGTATGCTAATGTTGTGGTAATTACTTCAACAACTCTATTGTCACCCGCCACTTCGCTCGCGTAGGTTTGTCAAAGAAGTACTTTTGCTTTCAATTAGAAATCCCAATAAATATGTCAAGCATTTATTTTATCACTAAAGGGATCACAAGGAATTAGGCTTAGCATTAATAGTAGATAAAAGTGACGTTGCCATTTTTATGATACAAACAAAAAATTGCCGCCCAAGTGAGATTCCCTTTATATTTTCGGGGAAAAAATACATGAAATTGCATACCTACACCTACCTACCCTGCGAGAACAGGGTAGGTTATGTGAGGCTACCCTTATCAGAAGGCTGAAAACCCCGGTGCTCCATCGTGGGGAAATCCGGACAAATCTTTAAACTAAACTAAACTAACTAACGGGAAACCCGGAACAAAGCCTTCGACTACCACACTCCCTCCCGGAACAAAGCCTTCAACTATCGCAGTCCCTACCGGAAGTAGTAATCCCTAGAGTAACCTTCTGCAAACAAACTCACAAGTAATCAGTTTCACCGATCACAATATGCTTCCGTAATATCTAATCACTATCCACATAATGTCTCCGATAGTTTCTAGTCTCAGTAGGCCACCATATTGCTGCTATTAATTACTTTTCTCTTCGCAACAGTTTATTTTCATTACACTTTCTGCTGCGCCGCGACACACTTTCGTACCTTCATTATAATATTAATTTGAACTAATTAATTTATCATGAGGAACTGAGGTGCCGTTCTTTATGAGGTTTTGAGGTGTGAACCAATTTGTTTTCGTTTTAAGTAGGTAATAAAAAGTGCCATTAAAACACTGGTTGATTGGAAACATTTTTGTTTCTCAAGAAACATTTCAATATGTTCGACATTTGTCCTATAGAAAGAAGTGTGGAAAATTAGAGAAAAGCTAAGCGCAGCATCTTCTGTTACGATTTTTACATTTTCTATTTAAATCTACATAATGTGGTTCACAAGATAGAGCTTCATTCATGACGGACGACGACGATAAGCAGTCGTCTGCCTGTCAGTCATTGGATTTACAGTCAGCATCTATCATATTATAATTTTAAACGATATTATATGTATACAATCATGATTTTACGGATATCTATCTAGTAGGTATTTTGCTTCTCAATCTGCTTAATTTGGTTTAAATAATCTGTACCATGACTCTATCTAATTCAAAGAACTATAGCACTTGCAAAAGATAATGCCCTGTCGGCAGCCATACACAAAATGACCATAGGCGATCATACATATAATATTTCACATTATGTTTTCACTTCTTAAATAACATCCCATCGTTCGGAACAATCGGTCTTTAGGATCCTCTGTAACCAATAATTTAGTATGACTTCACTACAATAGCGCACGCCCTCAGCCTCCGGCGCATTCTCGAATTATTATCTAACATGCGCTCGCGCAGCAGTTAGGTGTGAACGTGACCCTTCACAAGTCAAGGCCTCTAGCAATAATTTAATCGCTTTATTACTATAACGAGAGAGTTCAAATTGGATTAAAATTACTCTACCGCTTACGTTTGTCACTACAGTACAAAGATGCAGTTGGTACTGTGATTTATGGCCTAACAGGTTGCGATAATCCTAAATGATGACGAGGAATTTCTAATCCTAGCAACGGATTAGTATAACAACTCTAATTTATCATGGTTGTCCCATTCTTCAACTCGTACTAAACATAATTTATGTTGTTTTCCTCGATGCAATCGCTACATGTATCATTACTGCAACCTAACAAAATATTTGTCACAAAATATTCAAATTATACACAGACAGTTTTGAATTTTGAAAAGAAAAAATAATTTCCTAGAAATAACCAGCTCCAACAAGATCATTGCAAAGTAATTGCTGAAATAATAATAAATGATTCGAGTATAGAGATCAAAATCATTTTAGTACAACTGAGTTTATTCCATAAACTGTTAATATTTTTGCTGACCCAAGTTTAGTGCTGTGCTGTTCTACTTACAATGAATATTTCTGAACTCATCTACTTACCAAAAAGATAATAAAAACAACAATAAAACCACAGAAGAAATTAAAACCACCGTAACGTAACATAATTTACAATCCCATATTAAAGATCTGTATGTTACATAATAACTAAAAAAAACTCATAAAAATCGTGTTTTATGTGCCCAAACATTGCATAAAACAAAAATCTTAATCTTGAAAGATCTTAAAGTAATTTCGGTACAGTTCCTTACTGTTATTAAATACTTTCAGAATCGCTTTTGTTTTACTAAACTTCATAAAATTTTAATGGTCTTATGTTGGCAACTTGCAACATTAACTTTGTTGTTCACGTGAACTATGGTGAGAGCACTACTTTGACCGTAACGATCCATCATCAAGCAATACCCATTCACCAATTAAATTGTTGTTACTTTTTTACGCTGTTACGTCAATTGAACTGATGACATTTGAAACATAATACATCTTCGTATACTTACGACATCTCTGGAGCTCTAACATTCGACTGCATCTTGAGTTCTTGACCAATAATAGTTAAAAATGTTGGTTTATCAAAAATATTGTAATACCTGAAAATCCTGATGCTATTCTGAAAACGCATTTACAAGAATTCGATTTACAAATCGCTCAAATTAAATTAAAATAGATCTCAGCAAAAAAGTTTACCTAACTCGGTGATCTTTGACAGCACAAAAACAAAACAGACAATCATTTTTTTTAAACCAGCTGCTGTGCTTACTTATTATAAGTTTATGTGAAACGTGTATTCTCGGTAATTTATTTTTATTTCTTTGATAATCCAATGTGGAGTCGCGGAAGAAGTCTAGTTTCTTACAGCTTACAGCGAATGTCGTAAGGAACAACAATGGTTACAACGTCAATACTTTTCGTAATTGATGTAAAAAGTGAAAAAAATCGTCACAATGAATGCTCGAGGGAAAGTTGATCATATGCGTGTGCACAGACAGACAGACAAAGCTGTCAATAGTAAAGAATTGCGTGTTATTATGTGCAGTTGTCTTGTAATTTGCGAGAAACCATCGTTATGGACCGTGGTCGCATGGAGTTATGTTGCTTGATGGAGGCCCTTAGAACTACACTTTAATGACTATTACGAGTGAAAGACGCTAGGGCCTTTCAACTTAGGGACTTCTTTACTAATGTGAAAGAAAGTTGATAGAGATTCTTATTCTACAGACGTCGACATAATTAAGGGAGAGTCCGCTAATTTGGACCAGTTTTTTTCAATCCCATTTTACACATAGTTTTCTTTTGTTTTTGCTAATGTCCATGGTATATAATAAAAGATACATTATTCAAGTTACTATTTCATAAGTATTAATTAACATGACTGTTGTATATTTAGCACAAATCAACAAAGTACGAGTTCAGAGCTTCGGTCCAATTTAGCCAACCGGTTGGATAATTTGTACCACAGGGTTACTAAATTGAATTTCAATAAATTTCAAGCCTATAAAAAAACTATGGCAAAATATTATACGATACATTCTT